CTTACTGATGGACAATGAGGTAACTTCCAGTTTGTGACATTGTAAGTAATCCTGCTGATTATGAATACCCTTACGCAAACATCCTTTCACAACCGGGCAGTTTACATTTTGATACATATTGCCAAAGCTCTTTGCAGAAAGTTCTCAAGTTATATTCTTACCAACAGAACATAAAGTTCCCCACTTCCTCACATATTTGCCAACCTAATGGGCAAAAAGAAGAGCGCATTTCTTTTTCTTTGATAATTAATACAGTTAATATCATTTTATATGTCTACTGGCCATTCCTACATCTTCTGTGACATGCTTTTCATGTCTCCTGCCCAGTTTTCTGGGCAAGCACCAACTCTGCCAGGCAGCCTCTGCCCAAACTTTCCAATCTGCCCAGGGAGCAGGGAAGAGTACTCATATTTTCATATCTTGGATATAAACTTTGTTATATTTACAGTGACTATTTTTTCTAGACAAAGCTCTTAAATACATCTCTTCTTTCTACTCCCTTGACCCAAAGGCCTTCATCTTTATTTACCACAGAGCCTGCTAACTGCCTCACCCCCAGGACCCTCCCTCTGCCCATCCTCCTGGGGCTGCCTGAGTTCTTTTCAATATGTAAATCAAATATGTCCCCTCTCTGCCCAAATACGTTGCAGAACCCACCTCACCCATCAGCAGTTTTACTCTAGCTATTCACCACAGAATTCCTCACCGCGGTCTCTGATGCCGGCTGCTCTCATCCTCAAGCTCTGCACACCCTGTTCCTGTCTGGACATGCCTTTTCCTACTTCCTCTGTCCATCCTGCACTTACTCTGGCTTCAAGATCCAGGTCTTTCTTCTGGGATGCTGCCCCAGATCTTCCCAGGGACAGTGAATCATTTCTGTCACTGTGTTCACACCTCTACTAGGGTGTGCACCCTTCTGAGGCTCTTATCAGGTCACATGTAGATGCTGTAAGGGGATGCTGCAGTGAGGCGGCCCAGAGCTCATTAAGATGGGGACAGGAAACATTAACAGATGGTTGGGGAGATTTGGGAAGCTTCAAATCTATTCCAACAAAATGAGGCTGTGAATGAAAGCTGTGACTTGATTAACTGAATGATGTGTTACTAGGCAGGGCATCTACACGTGAGTGGGAGCCCATTAGGTAGAATCAGTGTTTATCTAACATTATGCAAGGGACAGGGACACTGGAGGGCTGCTATTGTACTTTGGGGTCTGAGGTCACTCACCAGGCTTTTTCATGGCCTGGGCCAATTCCCTGAACATGCCCCCAGCTCACCAAGCAATCTTCTGATCACTACCAAGGTTTTCAGGTACACTGAAGTCAGGAAGGTGGTACTGTGGGCAACAGAAAGGTATAGTCTCTTTTTTCAGTTAATACATTCACTTTATCAGTCCTGTGATTGGCTCAGCCCCTGAAAACCTGACTAGCTCCAAGATCTGAGTATGAGAGCCCGAGCTGTGGGGACCTCACAGGCACGGCCTATCTGTCTTGCCTCCATTTCAAAATGCATCCATCTCCCTCACTGAAGATGTTCTCTTAGGAAAAGAGCATTCCTTATTTACCTCTGACTTCTCAGGTTTGGCATGGCACATCTTACTGAAAAAGAGTTTTGTACTCAAAGAGCTAAGAGAAGAGTTTCCAATCGAATGTGCCCACAATGCTGCAATTGGTGCCCCCTGCCCTGGCCCTCAGCATGACCTGCCAGCTCAGGTCTGCTCACACCACGATCTGCAGAGGCAAGCACCAACTCTGCCAGGCAGCCTCTGCCCAAACTTTCCAATCTGCCCAGGGAGCAGGGAAGAGACACGCCAACTCTTCCAACAACATTGAGCATATTTTCTGTGCTAGAGGCAGGTGGGTCATAATCCTTGTCCTCAAAGAGCCCAATATTTGAATGGGTTTGATTTCTTACTTTTAAGTCATAACAAACCACTACAGAGCCTTTTCTGTCTCCTTTTTTACCCACCATATATCTCCCACTTCCCTCTTCTGCTTCTCTTCAAAGTAGAGGGTAAAAAGTTTGCTAGGATTATGGAGAAAGGATTTATGTTCCTTTTTATCCCCATTTCAAGGTGATATCTCATAAAGGCCAGAAACCTCACTAATACCTTATACTCAGAAGACAAAACCTAGATGAAATGTCTCATCTCTGGCACTCCTCAACATAACCCAGGTGCCTCAGCTCTCCTCCACCTCCACCTCTCCCAAAGTCTTCTCTTCACAGCTTCACATGCTATTTCCAGGCAGATGTGTAAGCATGTAAATTTATATTTATCACTGCTAGCATGTCTCCCCTGAACTCCAGACTCAAATATCAAGCTGCCTCCTCCACACCTGCACTTGGATGTCAAATAGACATCTCAGACCCCACATGCCAAAAATCCAACTCTTGATTTGTTCCTCCTGAAATCTCCCCGTTTTGCATCCTTCCAGTTGCTTCTGCCTCCTCTTTCTCTTACCCCACCCCCCACATCCAATCATGAGCAAATCACATTGACTCTTCTGTCAAAATATAGCCAGAATTGCTGGGCCAGAGTGGCTCAGTGGATTCAGCGTCATCCCATGGACTGAGAGGTTCTGGTCAGGGCACATGCTCGGGTTGCAGGCTCGATCCCCAGTACAGGGCATGCAGGAGGCAGCCAATCGATGTCTCTATCTCTCTCTCCCTTCCTCTCTCTCTAAAAAATCAATCAATATATTTTTTAAAAAATATAGCCAGAGTTGGACCACTCGTCACCACTTCCACTGCTGCCACACTATGCCAAGTCCGATTACTGCAACAGCCTTCTATGTGTCTCTTCACCCTCCTAATGGGTGCCTCCACCCCTGCCTCGGCACCCCACATGGTAGCTGGAGCAAGTGATCCTGTTAAAACTCTAAGTCATGCCCTGGCCAGTTTGGCTCAGCAGTTGAGTGTCGGCCTGTGTACCAAAGAGTCCCAGGTTCGGTTCCCGCTAGGGGCACGTACCACCAAAAAAAAAAAAACCAAAAACAGCTCTAAGTCACACCATGTCAATCCTCTTGCTAAAGTCATCTCACTCAGAATAAAATCCAAAGTCTTCACTGTGGCTTCCAAAATTCTTAAACTGAAGTGCATACTAGAATCACCTGAAGAGCTTTAAAAATTGCCAACTACAATTCCACGGCCTTACCTCAAGTGGATTCTGTCAGGATCTCTGGGGTGGGACCAAGCTTGCAGGTGACTAAAGCACACGGCTGGGCTGAAAACCCCTACCGTACAAGGACTCCAGTCGCCTCTGACAGCACCTACCACATTCCTTCCTACTCCCACCATCCTGGCTCTGCCTCAGCCACTCCTGTCTCCTGGCATTTCACCAGCATGTCTGAAACTCTCCTGCCTCAGGGTTATGTACCTGCCATTCCCTCTGCCTAGAAAGCTCTTCTCCTGGAGAGCCACAATGGCTTGTTTGCTCCCCACATTCTGATCTCCATCACAGATGTCACCTCGTCAGCGAGGCCTTCCCGGACAAATCCCCACATAACAGGGCAGCTCCTCTTCCTGCACCCTGTCTCCTTACCCTGTGTTTAGCTCTTTATTGCACCTACCCTCACCCAGCTGTTCTTTGTCTCCCCTGTTGGAATGCTAGCCCCTAACCCTCAAGAGCAGGGGCTCTATCCACCTCATTCATTGCTGTATCTTCAGAACCTAGAACAGTGCCTGGTACTCAATAATTGTTCAGTAAATGTGTGTTAGGTAGATGAATTAAATTTCACAAAACTTATTAAAAATTGTATAGAGATCCATTTTCATTAAACTAGTACCCTGTAAGATATTTGCTTTAAGAAAGCAAATTACTTTAAGGAAAAAAACTTACATTTTTAAAAAATGTCCAAAGCAACATAAACCAATCTGATATATAATTTTAGTAGGCAATTTAACAGAATCATTAAATAATTAACATACATTAGAATACTTTTCTTAGAAATATCTAACATGTTTATTTTTTATTTTTTTATCCTCACCCAGGGACATTTTTCCATTTTTTGTTCAGGTGGAGTGGGAGAGAGAGAGAGGGAGAGAGAGAGAAACATCAACGTGAAAGGGACACATTGAGTGGCTGCCACCCGCACGACCAACCAGGGCCGGGGACAAACTGAAACCGAAGTATGTGCCCTTAGCGGGAACCGAACCTGGGTCTCTCTGGACTGCAGGCTGACGCTCTAACCACTGAGCCAAACCGGCCAGGGCTAACACGTGTATTTTTAAGTGCTCCTACCCAAAGGTCTAAAAGGTCCACATTTTTATTTTCCTGATCTTAAATTTAAGAATCTGACCTGCCTTATTCGATCCTGATTCCTCTTTATCCTGAAGCTCATTTTTTTGGAGGTGACAATGCTTAAGTCATAAGTACTGGTTCTAGGAGAGAAAGTGGAAAAAAATCTTCTACATGTGTTGCCTTAGTATGGATGTTTCATTTTACTTCCTTTTCTAAAAAAAAAGAGGCCTGGCTGGTGTGGCTCAGTGGTTCAGCACTGACCCATGCATCAAGAGGTCACTGGTTCGATTCCTGGTCAGGGCACTTGCCCAGGTTGTGGGCCAAATCCCCAGTAGGGGGCATGCAGGAGGCAGCCAACTGATGTTCTCTCTCAGCAATGTTTCTATCTCTCTCTCCCTCTCCCTTCCTCTCTTTCTAAAGCCAGTAAAGAAAGAAAAATTAAAAAAAAAAAAAGTATCTCAATCTTGAATGCTAAAGTAAATTAATAGTGAAACAGGGAATTAGATTCTGACTTGTTCTATTTTGTGGTATTATATAAATTTCCCTAGATAAAAGTGCTCAGTAAGTAATCTGTTTTGCTAGTCTACAGAGATGTGACTTCCCTACAGATGCTAACAGCATTCTGTTTGGGTTTATAGAATCATAAAATTCCCACCCAATTTACAATAAACAATCTGAGGAGGGAACTCCAAGTACTTCATTTCTCACTCTCCTGAAAACATAAAGCATACTAGAAAGAAAGGATGAGACAGAATTTTACCTGTGTGTGTTCGTAGGTGTTTCTTCAGCTGAGACACGTCCATGAATTTGCGATGGCAGTGGTTGCATTCCGGTAATGAGTGGCCTTGTCGCAACAATAAAAAAAGTGTCAGTGCGTCTTTCTGCCATCTTGGAGCCTGCAGAGGCCTGCTGGGAACAGGACTTCTATAATGACAGATATGTCTGGAAGGCTGCGGTGCAAGGCCATTTTTGCTGGCTATAAGCAGGGTCTCCAGAACCAGAGGGAGCACATAGCTCTTCTTAAAATTGAAGGTGTTTATGCTCGAGATGAAACTGAATTCTATCTAAGCAAGGGATGTGCTTATGTGTTCAAAGCAAAGAACAGCACAGTGACACCTGGTGGCAAACAGAACAAAACAAGAGTCTGGGGAAAGATTAACTCCTCTTGAAAACCAGGGCATGGTTCATGCTAAATTCCAAAGCAATCTTCCTGCTAAGGCCAATGGACATAGAATCTGTGTAATGCTGTACCCCTCATGGATTTAAATTTATTGAAAACTTATACATAAAGATGGATTTATTCTCTTGAGAAAAAAAAAGTTTTAGTGCATATATGATCTCCCTGCATTTCTTCAGTGATTTGTGTTACAGTGCTTCCTTGAAAAAGAATCACTTTAAATGTGGTACTTTAATAAAACCACAATAATTTTAAAATTAATTTGGTAACAGTTAATATTTTCCTATACATCTCAATTTACTGCTTTCTAAGAAAGCTGGGACCCTCCCAATTTCCCTAATTATAATCTTTTTTCCTCAAAGCACTAGTGTGACTGTGGCCAATTAATGTCAAATGACACTCCCATACCACCCCCACCCCCATTCATTTCTTATCTGTTGTCAGGAAAGAAAAAAAGGCAAGTGGGTGGAGCCACGTTGGAGAAAGCCTGGAAGGCAAGGGTGGTGACATCTCTCTCCAGGCACCACTAACAACCAATCCACTGGCACCTCAGAGTCAAGAAGCACTTTTGAAAGATACCAATTCTGTGGGGTTTCTGTGTGTGGCACTAAAACTGTAGTACAAAAATTAAATACAAATCACAAGGTACTGAGAATAACACAAGAACATCTAATTTAGATTGCTTTTAGGACTTTTCCTAAATACTCATTTATCTTCCACAATATAAACCTAATGTTTCAGAAACAATTTGTACTTGTATTTCTCTCCCACCAATCCAAATTTTCTCTCACTTTATTGTACCTGTATGTACTCGGTAATGGCTTTTCAGTTGTCTTTTCTGGCTGTAATATTTTCCACACTGATCACAGGTAAAAGACTTCTGTCCTGCCAAATAAAAAAACAAAACACGAAAACATGCAAAAAACTATAAAGAACTAAGATGCTCACTAATATGGTAAATACCAAAGTGGGCCCTGGTCTCCATTTTCTACAAATGATACAAGTGACTTGTTTACAAGCCCAAATGCCTTCAGAATCTACCACAGTAAACCAAATGTGCAAAGGCATGTAAGGCAATAAGGAGTGGTGGAGACTGGGGCAGAACTGGAGAATTCAAGTTTCCCCCAAAGGCATTCAAAGTAAAATAATTCTATATTCTGGTGGTTAAACAAAACATGTTTGCATACTGAACTACTGGCAACAAGTTTATAATAAGTCTTAGTTTAAGGCCTGATGCTGTGCAAAACTCTAAACCACACTCTAACAGATGCATAATTCTGCCTTCCAATGACACCATATCAGAAATGGCACCAGGCTGAGAAGACACTATTTTGATCATGGTAATGCCCACCCCAGGAAAAGGAAGCCTGGTGGCAGTTGGCCCTCCCGGTACAAGCCCAGCTACCTGAGTGCAGGCTCATGTGCTCCAGCAGCGAGTGCTTGGTGGTGAGAGCCTTGCTGCACACGGTGCAGGTGTACGGCCGCTCGCCTGTGTGAATCCGGGTGTGGACCTGCAGGGAGTGCTTCTGGGTAAAGCCTTTCCCACACTCATTACATTTGAAAGGTCGCTCCCCTGGAATAAGAGCCCCAGAAAATTAGGATAAGCAAGAATCTGCACATCTTTCTGTTCACTCCCAAATTAAAATGACAATAAAGGGATTTCTCTTAAAAGCCACGTATCCAAAAGGCCAATGAACAGGAGAAACAATATCAGCAATAAAATTTTGCAAGCTGGAACAGCTGAATCTGATGCCAGCAGTGAGGAACACTGAGATACTACCTAATATTTAAGACAGTTTCCAGAAGACTCAGGAATTGGTGGTACTTGTTATCTCTGAAAATGGGGGTAAGGAGGATAAAAGACAGTCTGTTTCAAAGGTGGTTAGATCCCTAACCATGGAGCCAGGAGACTGGCCCTCTCCCCAAAAGAAGATGGAGACTATTTTCTGTAGAGGGTAAAACAAAGGGTCTCTGTGCATACTGGAGTCCTGGGTTTACTTCCTGCTAAGGACACGTAACTCAGTTGCAGTTTGTTCCCAGCCCCGGTTGGGGTCTTGTGGGTGGCAACCAGTCAATGTGTCTCTCTCGCATTGATGTTTCTCTCTCTCTTCCTCCCTCTCTCCCTCCCGCTCTATCTGAAGATAAACGCAAAAATGTCCTCGGGAGAGGATAAAAAGACAAAAACAAAAGGTCTTGGGACTAGAGGGGTCTCTGGATTAGAGGTCTCCCAGTATAGTGGAGTGGGACGAACATAGGGAGAGCAGGTCAAAGTTTATGTTTGGGATGATGAGACTCCCCCAGCCTTCTTCTCCCTCCTGCTCTAGACACTGGCAATCAAGGAGCATATAGCCTCCAGGTGGAGAGTAGAGTGGAGAATCTTTGCCTGGAATGTGAAGAGCCCAAGATAAGAGAGCATCAGCAAGGAAGTGTAGGCCAACCACACCACCCTCAATGAGGACACTGTCTATAGGACACTACCAACGAGGACACTATTTATAGGACACTACCTACAGAGTTACCAGTAGCTTTTAGGAAACCATTCTTACAAGATTATGATTTTTTTAAAAAAAAAATCATCTTTCAAGGAAAACCTTTAGTAGTTGAAACAGATGCCAAAACAAGAAGAAAAAAGGCAACTTGTAAAAAACAGAAACTGTCCAAGATGAAGAAAATGTTAAAACCTAACAAATAGGGGTTGGGGCAGGGGGAGAGATAAACCACAGAACTTACATGCATGTATACATGACCAATGAATATAGACAACAAAGCTGGGGATGAGGTGTCGGGGAAGGGGAGGAGGGTGTCAATGAGGGAAAAATGAGAAACATCTGTAACAAAAACAAATTAATAAATAAAAAATTAATTAATTAAAAAAAACCCCTAACAAATAAGTAAATGTTATTTGAACATGCTCACAGAGGTAAGATATTACATTGTGCAACAACAACAAATTTTAATAAAATTAACTGAAGAATTTATAGGAAAAAAGTGTACCTAGAAGTGGGGGAAAAAAAAAGAAATTAGTGCCCTAGCCGGTTTGGCTCAGCAGTTAGAGCGTCGGCCTGCGGTCCTGAGAGACCCAGGTTCGGTTTCCGCTAAGGGCACGTACCTCGGTTGCAGTTTGTCCCCGGCCCTGGTTGGTTGTGCGGGTGGCAACCACTCGATGTGTCCCTTCACATCGATGTTTCTCTCTCTCTGTTCCTCTCTCTCCCTCCCACTCTACCTGAACAAAAAATGGAAAAATGTCCTCGGGTGAGGATAAAAAAAAAAAAAAAAAAGAAATTAGTAAGTGGAACTCTCCCAGGTGGAAAAAAGGAGAAAAAAGATAAAGAAGTTAGAGGATGGGTCCAGGAGGTTCAACAACCAAATAACAAAGAGTTCTGGAAAGAGAGCAAGAAAATGGAGAAATCATCTATGAAATAATTTCAGGAAAGTTTCTGGAACTGAAAGATCATGAGTTTCCAGAGAGAGCCCCTCTAAAGTGATTCAGTGGAAACTTTCAGACACTGGGGCAAAAGGGAAGATCCTATGTGCTATTTTCCTTAAAAATTTTTGTAGAACTATTTAATTCTTTAAACTATGCTATATTACAGTTCAACAAATATTTCTCAAGTGTCTACTTCGTTCAAAGAAACAGAATTCAGGGTTCTCACCTATCTTAAAAACACCAAGTCCCCAGATAATTAAATCAGAAGCTCTGAGGTTGGGGCTCAGGCACCAATAGTTTTAGAAGTTCCCTCGGTGATTCTAAGGTACAGTGCAGCCAGGTTTAGAACTGCAGTGCTAAGTGCTGCTGAGTCACATGACAGCAAGCTGCTGGATGACAGAAGACTTAAGCACCAATCCCTATACATAAGCTTACAATGAAGTTGAAAGGTATTTAAGTGGTAACTACAATAGAACCCAAAGCAGAGTGAGTTAGGTCTGTGTGTAAGAGAGGGTTCAAAGGAGGAAGAGATTTTTGACTTGGGCTACACTGTCCAATACGGTGGTCATTTAAATTACTTAAAATAAAATAAAAAATTCAGCTCCTCAGTCACACTTGCCACATGCCAAGTGCACAAAATCCACATGTGGCTAGCAGCTACATTGGTCTGCACTATATTTGATGATGATATTTCCATCATCACAAAAGGGTCTCTTGGCCAGTACTGAGCTAGAGAGACCAAAAAGAAGACATTTACAGCTAGATTATAGCTAGACGGCTGAAGGAGAAAGCTGTCCACACAGACCAAAAGCATAGCTATGGTCAAGATAAGGAATGTTCAAGAGTCAGAGATCAGAATAATTTGACTAGAGTTCGATACCTAGATATTATAGCCGTGAACAAACTACAAATAAGAGAAGTTCTGGAATCAGGCTACCCGGGTTCAAATCCCAGCTCTGACACTAAATGGATAACCTGGGCAAGTTATTTAAGCTTTCTAGGACTTGAAACAGATGCCATCTGTGTAACAGAGATAATATAAACTATTTCACAAGACTAATGTGAGAACTAAATGCAATAACACGTAAAAGGCTTTATTACAATGCCCATGACCTAAAAGTTGCACAATAAATGAAAGCTATTTTTTATCATTACTACTCCAAAACACATTCCAATAAGCTGTGAAGGCGTAATTACCCGTGTGGCTCCTCTGGTGGATTGCTAAAAAGTGGTTATACTTGAAGACTTTGCCACAGTCTTTACAACGGGCCTCAGGGCCAATGGGACGCTTTCTCCTTCCACAGACCCTCTTGGCTGAAACCAGGTCTTCTTCATCCCCAACAAGTTTGTAATCTTTCAGTTTGATGGATCTCTGAATCCTCCTCTTGCTGTACCGAGTCTGGTGGTCCTGCCCATCCTGGATCTTAGGATCACAGTTCTCATCTTTTTCAGCAGGCATTCCCGTTTCCTCCCCTCTACCTAGCTCACAAGCAGGCTCAGATTCTTCCATTTCTTTTGCTCCAGTCTGTTCATTCAGTACACCATTATCTCCCTCTTTAACCACAAAGTTTTGTCTATTCTGAACGGAATTGTTCACTCTCAGCTGTATTTCTTCCTCTGCAGCCAGTTCTGATTTTCCCTCCTGCAAATTGTTGACTTTTCTTGGTCTTCCCCGTTTCCGCTTCGGTGGATCATTTTTCTTATTAGAAATAACAACCACTGGAGCACCAGCTGTGTTCAAAGTCGTCGGTTTTGGGGAGCTATGGTTGTTTTGAAAATCTGTGTATGCCTTTACCAGGTCATAGACTTTTAAGAACTGAGCAGTAGCCAGGATTTGTTCTGTACTTTTCTCACTGGCCTGGAGATAACCCGTGTAGATAAACTCTAGCAGGATACCAAATGTGTCGGCTACCATGCCTTCCAGCATATAAATGGACTGGCCAATCTCCCCTTCTTCAGCAAACATCATGGAGAAGTATTCGCTACTGGCAGCCAGTAAGGCTTTGTGGGCCCGGAAATGCACATTCTCCACAATTAAAGTAATGTCACAGAGAAAACCTTTCTTCCTCTGGTCCTCGAAACTGGCCAGGACAGTGTCACTGTGAGTGCCTGAGTGTACAACAAGCTGCCCAAGTTGCCCAGCAGGCTCGGATGATGTTTCTGCCATTTTCTTTAGAGGCCAAGAAGGGTTAAGCCTGAAATAAGGAAATAATGTTTAAAAAGGAGGAAGCACTGTCTAACCAGGTTAATCCCAGACCAAATGAACCTACTATTCACTTCACATTAACCGAAATTTACCACTCAACCACTTTTTAAAGTCTATTTAAAAACTTAGCTTTGGGTTCTCATTCCTGTTGTACCATTAACTAGATGGGGGATTTTCAACATCCACGTTACCTCTCAGGGTTTGGTTTCTCCTTTGCAAAATTAAGGAATGGGGACCAACCATCCCTAAAAGTCCTTCCCAGCACTCCCTTTCCATAGTTGCACAAATATCAGAATGAGAACTACCGTGTCTCGATTTCACACATTACTAGCCATTTTGTTCTGTGAAAACAAATATGAACGGGCGAAGAAAAGGTACATCTGCGAAGTGAATTTTGGGGGTAGCTGTGATTAAAGAATAACGTCAGGCGCACGGGGCCTCGCTCTGGAAGGGCGGCGTGCAGCGTCCACGGCTGGCGCCACACGGCGCTCGGCGCACAGGCGGGGTGGCGATCCCCGCGCCCGGGGTCACTGAGCTGGGAGCCCGGCGCGCGAGGCCCCAACTCCGGGCCCGAGCCCCTCCGGCCGGGGAGCGGACTGAGGAGGGGTCCGCACGGCCGCGGGTCCCGCACCCACGGACGGCGGATTCGGGGAGGACCTACCTCTCGGGGCGCCCGACAAGGTGTGGATCGCGGCCCGTCCCCCCGGCAGCCTGGCGGGCGCACCCACGCGGGGCCCTCCGTGGTCTCCAGCTCCGCCGGGCCTGCCGCTGGGCTCCTGCGCCGCCCGGGCTCCAGCTCCGGGGCCGCCGCCGCCTGCGATGCTGCCAACCCGGAAGCACCGGCGCCGGGAGCCGACAGCGCGCGGACGCCGCACCACGTGGCCCGCGGAGACGCCCCCTGGCGGGGCCGGGGGCGGGGCCTGGGGTCCGGTGCCCCCCAGGAGAGCCCAGGCGGGTCTTGTGTTTGCCGTGCCCTGGGAGAGGGACAGGGAGAGGGGCGGGGATGACGTTGTCACCCCGCAGTTGTGGAAGTTTTTTTTGTCATATTAGACCGTTAGCGCCTCACCCCAGACGCGAAGCTCACATTAAGGTCTCGAATGTGTGACGAATGAATGAAATCGCCTTTATAGCCTCACCCTTCTTCCCCTTATCCCTCCCCTCCTCTCCTCCGTTATTGTTACTTGCCTCCTAAGGGACTTTCACACCTGCTTTCTTTCCTCACCCACTTCCAGTGCCTTCGCCCAGGGGAGTGAAGAGAGCGCTCTAGTCGGACTGGGTGGAGTGGTCTTGGGCGAGTTACTTATCCTCTCAACTTTTTTTTTACCTTACCTATAAATCGATGTTACACTAGTGCCTACTAGGTTGGGTTGCAAACAAGATTAAAGATTTAATGAGTTTAGTAAGTGCCTGATTTAATTCTCGACTATCGTGATTTAAATTATTATTGTTCAATAATATGTAAATTTGTAGATTTCAATGAGTGTATTGTCCTTGTTTTTAGGAAATACCCACTGACTTATGGGGAGGGGGTGGGATTTTGTATCATGTAGTCAATTTACTATCACATTTGTACTGTTGTTGCAGTTTCTGTAAGATTGAGATTGCTCAAAATAAAATTCATTGTAAAACAAAACAAAAAAATTATTATTCTTCAGACTTTCATAATCTTTCTTCTACAGATTAGTCAAGGTTTCTAACTAGTCTTAGTTGCAGTGTTGTTCCCTACAATACACAGGAGTAGGGGAGATCTCTCCAAGTACAAATCACATCCAGAGAACGGAGTCACTCCCCTGCTTAGAATCCATTGTGGCTCCCATGTACCCTACTGATAAAGACCAAGCTTCTTGATACTGTCTTCAAGCCCCACCCAAATCCAGTCCCCTCATACTCCTCGCCAACCATTTCAGCATTTTCTCTCTCAATGTATGCGTCACCAACAACTAATTACTTATCATTTATCCACTCAAAACCGACACTTCCAGACCCCCCACCATACCATCTGCTGCCTCCAAGATTTTCAAACTGGAAGTATAATTACCAGCCTGGCTCTTTTACAATGTTACTGGTTTTTATTAAAACTAACCCCTTTGTCTTGAATAGCCTCTAAATACCAGGATTTGTGGGGGTCCAGGTCAGATGGTGGGCTCTGCCTGATTTCTGCACACACCAGCAGGAAGAGAAGTCAGCCTGTGGAGTTTGCCCCGTTGTGTCTCCCTGTCACAAGAACTGCAGTAAAAACACTGGTCCTCCACAGACCCATAGTCTAACAGCTAGAGATGACCGTGTGGAGTTAAGCTAGGTATTCCTACTCCCTCAGTCTTTGCTCACTAGAGCACAAGCTCTTCAAGGATATACTGCTACTCACAGTAGAAACCAGCCCTTTCTTCAGTTTTGTTTAGAACCCTTGTTGACTTTTCTTGAAATGTTTGTTGCTGTTTTTTGGTTCAGGTCTACCTTTAACAGGTCTTCATAACTTTAAATCTTTCAGAGAAGGGTTTGGGTTGCCTATCATTCATCCAACAAATATTTATTCAGTGCCTACTAAGTGCCAGGCACTATGTCAGGTGCTAGGGAATATAGCAACTAACAAGGTCCTTGCCCTCCTGAAGCTTACATTCTTCTATGGGGAAAGGGACAAAAATACAAGCAAGCAAGTAAATAATATAATTTCAGAAAGTGTTAAGTTTTATAAGTAGTGGTGATGGAGACTGACAGGAAGTGAAGTCAAGATAGGGTTACATTTGAGCTGAGATCTAAATGATATGAAGCCAGATGTGTGAAGATCTGGACTAAGAATGTCCCAGTCAGGGGAAAAGCAAACATAAAGGCTCTGGGACTGGAAATGAGCTTGCTACTTTTGAGGGACAGAAAGGCCTGTGTGGCTGGAGCACAGTGAATGAGGGGGAAAATAGCAGGAGGTGGACTGGAGGTAAGGTGGCCAGATTTTGCAAATAAACACACAGGACATCTGGTAAAATTTGAATTTCAGATAAACAATGAATAATAAATGAATAATTATATATCATGGAATATTCTTATATGAAAAAAAAAAATCCATGTGATTATCTGAAATTCAAATTCAGCTGACTGTCCTGTGTTTTATCTGACAACCTCATTGGAAAGGATGCCTGTATCTGACAATATGGGAAGTTAATATTGTGAAAACCCTTTCCACAAGATAGCTAGAAATGACAATAGAAAATGCATAACTGAGCTTAAAGAGAAGTAAAGAAAATCCAAGGTGCCAGAAAATAGGGAGAACATCAGAGTAGTAAGCTAACCTTGGAGCCATGGCAATCCTAGGGGCAATTTATTAAACCAGGACCTAGAGGCTTAGGTTTTAATGAGTTATTTGGGACCAGTAGACAAAGCATTTGCTGTGTCTGAAGTAAGGAGTTAAAAAAGAGATCCTTCTGCTCTGGCCGGTTTGGCTCAGCTGTTAGAAAGTCGCCCCTGGAACAAAGAGTTGTAGGTTTGATTTTGCTCAAGGGCATACCTCAGTTGCATACCCTGGGGTTGTGCAGCAGGCAATCAATTGATGTGTCTTTCTCACATTGATGTTTCTCTCCCCCTCCCCTTCTTCCTACTCTATCTGAAAATAAAAATGGAAAAATATATTCAGGTGAGGGTTAACAACAAGAAAATTAGCATGTTATACACTTTAAGTATATATAATTTTGTCAATTATACCTCAATAAAGCTAAATCATTAATTTTAGAGATTAAGAAACAAAGGCTCAGAGAAATTGAGATTTACCTAAGATTATCAGGTTGTATTTTTAAAGAGCCAATCTCGCTACTTCACATTCTAGATTTCTTATGCTACTGCTGAAAAACTGATAATCTTATATCTCATTCAAATTCAATTTAGTAAGTTTTCCTCTTGCATATATACTTTTTTGATAATGTCATATAAGACTCTAGATTTCATCCTTTTCAAAACTCCCAAGTAATTTCTAATTATAAATAATGTACAAAGTATACTTCCTTGAATACTTAAAGAAAAAGAAAAGAGGCAGCCATTTAGTTATCTCAAAATCCATTTATTTTGTGGGAAAATGATAAAGTATCTTATGTGCATAAAATTACAAACAACTCCTTATTTAAAAAGTATAACCAATATTTCTATTTATTGATATCGATGTTAATTTTGTTTCTTGAAGCTTTCTAACCTTTACTGAGTAATTTTCTTTAACAGAGACTGACTTTTCAACTGAAAATGTTAAAAAGGAAAATGAACAATAGATTTATTAAGTAAAATGAATTACCTAAATATTCTAAATGGAATTCTAAATGGAACCACCATTTTTGTTAAAGCATAAAATTTCAGGCAAAGAGCAATAAACTTGAACATTATAGGAAAACTTATGTTTCCGGAAGAGCATTCCTTCCTGGATGGCAGAGCTTTGAGTCCATGTGAGGTCTGACAGACATGAACAGCACTGAGGAAGGAGAAGAACATCAGAGAGGGCCAGGTTTTCAATCTATTTCCCTTTATGCCTTTCAGATAACTCTGCAGATTCTAGTTGCAGTTACCCAAGCAAACTATTCATTAACTGGGTCTATATTTCTGAGAGAGAGAAATGTCTGTAATTTATGATCGAAGTCAATGGCTCTAAACTGAGGTTCCTTGTATTTTCTGGTCATCGTGGCACTCAGGTATGTAATGAGTTCACATCTCTCTAGGAACTGCTCCATCTTCTTCTTATACTTTTTTCTTGTATATTCAGAACCTTTGGGATTAAAGGCTGTAGGAAATTTCAAGGACTTGTGAATGTTTTCAGTTCGGCCAATAAATCATTAAATCACAGAGAAAGAGAACTGTGTGTGTTTGAGCTGAGAAGATATTCAAATCCCAAATAATAATTGGGTAGTCTATTTTAGATCATAATGGCCTTTTCACCTTCCTCTATGGCATGAATTTTTGAAAGCTGACTATATTACTCAGAGTCCCTGCTTTAAAAACTAGAAATTTAGTTTTGGTATTTTTGTTAAAATTTTTGCGCCCCATTCAAGACGGCCACCCAACCACACACATCCCATTCAAGTCCCAGCTCAATGATCCTATTTAACACATGTACTACAATTAGCGTTAAATTACATCTGAGTAGTATATCATTAAAAAAGACATACCTTTGAGATGAAATGCTATATAGAGTAGTGCAGATTTCTTTATACTTAAGAAGGGAAATTTTGGCTTTAGGCATCCTGCTGCATTCATTGCTTTAATTAGAGAAGTTGCGATACCCTGAAGATAGGAAACAATTTAAATTGTGTATATTTGAGTTTGATTTCTTTTCTTAGTGGCAAATAGATAAAGAGGCTATTCTTTGCCCCTAATAGCCCCCGGGGCTGGGAATGGGGCTTATAAAGACGGTTAGATGACCACTTAACCAAGAGAAAAAAAAAGCTAAAATATGTTTGGCTAGGAAAAATGAAAATTATAAATTGGGTTAGGGCCAGCTAGGTGATGGCCACAAGGGCTTTGTTACAGTTTCCTCTATTTTTAGACATTTGACATTTTCCATGGCAGAAAATTAAAAAAGAAAGAAGGGGTCACTGGGCTTTGAGTTGTTTGGGCCCATCTCTGCCTCCATTGCTCAGTACTGGCCAGACTGCCTCCCACTATCAGGACCCTTGGCCACCTGACAAGGACTTTCAGAGACTACAGAGATCACTGCAGTCAAGATTCTGGACCCTGAGCAGGCAAAGAAGGGGTGAGGCCCTCCTGATGACACTTGGCCTTTATGAGAATACCATCTCCAAGTGAGCCTCATCTTACATTTTGATATTAAACCAGACTGAAGGCCAAACTGGAGAGTTGAAAAAAACAAAACAGTGGTTAAGAATTTTTGTGAGAAAGGCATGAAATTGTGTCTTGGGCATTTATTGTATAGAATTAAAAACAGTGGTTGGCTACTGTTAAGTTTTACTGTTTTAAAAAAATTTGTTTTCCTTTATTGATTTTAGAGAAAGAGAAAGGGAGAGAGAGATAGAAACACTGATGAGAGAGAACATCGATTGGCCGCCTCCTGCATGCCCCACACTGGGGATCGGGCCCACAACCTGGGAAGGTGCCCTGACTGGGAATTGAACTGGTGACCTCTTGGTGCATGGGTTCAACACTGAGCCACACTGGCCAGGCAGTTTTACTATGTTTCAAAAGAGTTATCTTTAGAAAAATAAAATGTGATTTCAGTAGATAGCTTCAGTGACACTATAACTCAACTCTGAAGCAGGGAATAAGCCTCTCAGAATCTGTACATTTCAAAATAAAATGTTTTACAGACACTGAAATTCAAAATATGGACCAAACTACATGTCAAAGATAAATAATTTTATGACCATCTATTCTCTCTTTACTTTAGTGCAGGTATTTGAAAACCAGCTATTTCACACCTCTTATTTTCATAAACACACAAACAAAATAGGTTAAAAGTGAATTTGCAGCTTAATATCAGAAAATTCTGCCTTGAATTTTATCATTACCAAAATAAAAATTACTGTTAAAGAAGAGATTGTTGCACTCTTCTAATATATATATATATAGAAAATATGTAACTGAACCTGCTCCAGATATCCAGGCAAAGGAAGACTGGTAAGATGTATCGGGTCCTTTAACGGGGGAAGTTTCTGTGGAAGCTTCTGATTCCAGTATTTCAGTGGTGACCTAAGAACACCAAGTTCATTAGCTAGATGCTCACAGACATACTCATTGTGTACCTAGGAATGTAGATATACAAGAGACTAAAGGATAAAGTTCACTACCTGTTGTTCTCCCCTGGAGCACCTAGAAATTCATGCCCATCACGTACGCCTCAGTCCCTGGACCTGCTCACCTATTCTTAGTTTTCTTCTTTTTTTGCAGCCATTGTATACAATTTTCTTTAGTCTCTTCAAACTTCCAACTCTCCCAAATAACCCCCTACATAGATACCATGCTATACAAAGAGCAGATATATGAAAGGAACTTCCTCAATTACTCAACACCAGCAAAGCCCCACGCAGGCTCCTCTTTCCATGAGGAAGTTTATGTCCCATCTAAGATCAGTCACCACCCCCACTTCTCCCCAGGTATCTTACTAGAGCATTTCTCTCTCCCCCTCACCTTTGGCATTTCCTTCCCATGCACTGGATCTTCTATGCATCTGCCTTTAAACATGCTCAAACCTCCCCCATTGAAAAAAGAAAAACGACCTGCAGTCCTTCAACCTCCTATCTCTTCCAGAAACTGTCTTTTCTTTTTACAGTTAAACTTCTTCAAACAGTATGCTTCTCTAGAGATCACAGACTACGGCACAGATTCCATTTGTAGATGTGATTGGATCCACATATTATTATTATTTTTTTATTTGAATCAGTCACAAACATTTAATAATCGGGGGGGAGGGGAAGAAAAGAAATCTGGTTTTCTACTTCTTGTGAAAAACAGAAATGTCTGGCAGTACAAGTAGCTGCCCCCTTTGGTTGGGCATCTGCCGTCCAGGGTGCAGCCGTCCCCATCGCTTCCTGTTGTTTCACACACAACCTGCTTCCCTCACGGATGTCAGCTTTCTGGCGCTGCAGACATCTGTGTTTGTAACCTCTGGGCTACGGGCAAGGTCTTAATTTTGTCACCTCACATCCATCCATGGCACTCTGTAACTGGCTTCTGCTCACCTCACTTGACTGAAACCATTCTTGCCAAGATCACTGACAGCCAGTTATAACCTAAATCTGACACACTTTTCAAATCTTGTCTTGCTTCATCTTTAGAGGTGAAGCATTTAAACCTGTTGGCCACACCCTCCCAGAGACTCCCTCTCCCCTTCACCTCCTGGAGCTCCCCCACCCCCATCCTAGCTCTCCTTTCACCTGTCTGTGGATTCTTCCTTTTCATTCTCCCTTGTAAGCTCTTCTGACATTCATTTGTCAGCATTTCTCAGGGCTTGTCCTAAGCCTGCAACTTTTCCCACATTACTCTTCACGAGTGACCTCAAACATGCTATATTATTTTGGACAGGGTTACTCCAACAGCCTCATAACAGGTATCCCTGCCTTCAATCCATTATCAACATTCCAACGATGGTCTCTCTCCGAAGCAAATTTGATTATAGCACTCAAAAACCAATCAATGTATTCAGACTGCCCATTGAATCAAGTCCAAATGATTTATGGTGATTTTACTTGACCTTCCACACTCAAGTCCCATTGTCTCCAGCCTCAACTCTTGCTCCTTTCCCTCTCCACATCACTTCTAGCCATGCAGAATTTCCTGAAGCTCTGTGATCACCGGGCCAGGTTTGTAGGTCCCTCTGGTTAGAACATATCCCTTTTTCTTTCATCTAGCCAATTCCTGCTCCTCCTTCAGGTCTTACACAGACAATCTAGTCAGACGTTTGCTCTACACTTTCCCAGAACGCCTAGCATGTCCTCATCCTAAACCCCTTCACATTCTTTTTTCCTATCAGGTACTTAAAGTATGATTGTATCTCTGAGCCTCAGGCTTTGGGACAGCAGGGACCAGTCTTGTTCACCATCATATATATAAATATATATGTATATGTATATGTACATACATGCACATATACCCCATCACAGTGCACTGAACATAGCAGATATTCAAGAAATATGTGACTTAGTGAATGGTCTCACCTCAAAAATTTCTGAAGTTTTTCACTACTCTCACAAATATATATATGATCACGATATTCTAAGGCATAGTTAATGTTACCAGGTACTAGGGCTTCATATCTGAAAGACAAAAAAAAAAAATCTATAGTATAACTAATATGCAGTATTGTGTAAATAAAATGTCAAAATGTTTTATTTTTCCTATCCATGCAACTCAAGAAAGAAATAAAATATTTTCCAGTTAAACAATAATGACATTTTTGACCACAAAATTAAGACTGTTGTATGAACCACTTATTCTGAGTACAGATATCATTCTGTGCTTCCATGAGGACTTGCCTTTGATTTCCATCCTGATAGGTCACTGGACAGTAGCCCTGGAGCTCAGCACATTTAGGGAATCGTTTCTTCAGCTCTGACACGGTTAGCCTTTTGGGGATCATGTCATCAGGTGGGAGTGGATAAGGAGCTAAAGGAGGCACATATAATTCTGGGTTCTCCAAAAATTTCTATAAAGAAAGGATTACAGCAATGAGACTATTTACAACAGGAATACCATGCCAACCAAAAACCCACCGAGGCTCTCCTGGTACTGCACCCCCTTTTCTGTAGCACTACAATAACCCCTTCCCTGGCTGGAAGTTCATTATAGTAATACTTGCAAGTGATTGAACCTAAGGTCTCTCCTTATCTGTCTCATTCACTCACTCCCTTGCTCATCCATTCACACAAAAATATTTTTCAGGCCCCTAATATGTGCCAGGCACTGGAGAGTACACAGTCCCCTGCCCACCTGTCTTCCTGTCCTACAGTATAATACTAGTTGTGTGCCCTTTGCCAGGTGAGCTAACTTCTCCAGCTTCAGTTATCACTCTATAAAATGGAGGGGGCAAAACAGATATATGATCTCCAATGTCACTTTTGGTTTTTAAATTCTGTGATTATCATTTAAATAAGCAGAAAGAGCCCTGGCCAGTTTGGCTCAGCAGTTGGAGTGTAGGCCCATGGACCAATGAGTTGCAGGTTCAATTCTAGTCAAGGGCATGTACCTCAGTTGCTGTTTGTCCCAGGCCCTGGTCAGGTTGTGCAGAGGCAACCAGTTGATATGTCTCTCTCACATCGGTGTTTCTCTCTCTCTCTCTCTCTCTCTCTTCCTCTCCTTCTCTCTCCCTCCTCCCACTTAATTGATGATAAATGGAAAAATATCCTTGGGTGAGGATTAAAAAAATAATAATATTAAATAAATAAATAAATAAACAAACAAACAAGCAGAAAGAAACAAATGTCTCCTTAATTAAGTGATAACAATCTCTAATTCTTCAGAGGAAAATAAAATGTTCAGAGGCATCTGTTTAGTTTTCAACTACCAACCTTTTTATATCATCAAATTATGGACATTATATTATTAGAACAAATCTGTATTTTGATCCAGTAAACAGAAGAATAACATACACCGAGAATTCTAGTGATAGAAAAAAATTTAGCCCGGCCGGTGCGGCTCCATGGTGGAGTGTCGACCCATGCCACTGGTTCAATTCCCAGTCAGGACACATGCCCAGGTTGTGGGCCCAATCCTCAGTGGGGGGCAGGCAGGAGGCGACTAATCAATGTTCTCTCCCATCGATGTTTCTCTCTCTCTAATATCAATAAAGACAAAAAATTAAAAAAAAAAATTAAAGCACAGGAAACATTGCTTCATTTCTACTGACTTTGACTTCCCTTCTGTTCTGTTGGAGCCTTAGCCCCTGGATGCCCTTCTGTGGGCTGAGCCCTGATGCTCAGCAAGCATCCTCTCCACTGGTGAGGCTCACTGTTTGGTCTCCCTACCTGTTAAGCTGGCCCAGGTGAGGGCCCATTACTGACCCTGAACTTCTGCTTTGTGCTAAAATATGTTTGGGATGCAGTCTCAAGGCTGGCTTCTGAGTTGCCTCATTGGTCCCAGAGCCACAGGTTTCAATAATGGGGCTCCTGGTCCCCAGCTCCTAGTGTTCACAACTGTGCCCACCCCTACCTATTTAATGAGTTCTGAGATAGGAATTTTCTTTCCCTAGTAAGTATTTAGAGTTAGGAATAAGCTCACATTCAGTTTTTCCTGAGAACTCATTTTATAATAATGCCCTCTGAACTCTGCTGCAAATTTCAAGGACTCAGTTACAGAGCAATCAACTAATTCATATGATTCTGCCAGGCTGACAGGGCAGAACTGTCCGAACTCGTCCAGGCGAGAAATCAGTTCTTGAGGTGTGATGCATAGCTTGTCAATGCAGGAAGCTTTCCCTATTATTAAGAGATTAGCTATTAGCATACATACTTTTTTTTTTTTAGTAGAAAACCCAATGATTTTAAAAATTAAAATAACTTTAATTACACAGCATTATACAAATGCACACGCATTGTAAATTTCTAAACAATAGAGTAAAAAGTAAAACTTTCTCTTCACACCTCTGCCCTCACACTCCTGCCTAAGAGGTGATCACTACTGTTTGCATCCTTTTCAGACTTTTTCTATACAGTTGCATGTATACATGTGTATTTTTTCCCATATGGTATGCTTATATTACCACACTGTAAACCTTATTCTGCAACTTGTTTTCCATCAGTTAGTTGTGCTCTTTGACATCTTTCCATATTACATTATATGATTTACCTAATTTTTAAAATTGATGCATAGCATTGCATTGTATAAATATACATATAGTTTACTTAACCATATATCTGTTGATGAATATTTTGTTGTTTTCAATTCTTAGCTATTATATATGTTATTAACAATACATATACACATATATGTGCATGTACATGTACATGTATATGGATATATACCCACCCACTCACACATATACATTGGCTTCATATTTTTTATTGTTCTATGGATAGATTTTAGGAAGGGCAAATAGTTTGTTAATAAGATGTTACTGCACAAACTTCTCCCTGTACCCAGATGCCACTAAAGAGAAGTGAATTTAACAGAAAAAGACTAGGTTTATCCTAAAGGGTCTATTTTTAAAAGGAATCACCAAAGTTCCTTTAATGGATACATTTAAGAGTTTTCTCCCCAATAGTCCACTAGAATGGGGACTCAAAAACAATATGAAATATTATAGAAAATAAAACTACTTTTTTAATATAGCTCAATAATAATAAGTAAATTTTGACCCCTATATATTTTATTAATGGTACCTTTCACCAATGAAAGGTCTCACCTTCTTTTCATTATGCCTAGGAGGGTCTCAAATTAACTATGAAAGTATGAAGCAGTTATGTAATGGTATGAACACAAAATTAATCCTCAGGATCAGAGTTATGTGTCTGCAAGCCAAGGAGTGCAGAGGATTCCTGACAACACTGGGAGCTGAGAGAAAGGCATGAAACAGATTTTCTCCTAGGACTTTCAGAAAGATTCCGGTCCTGTCAACACTTTGATTCTGAGCTTCTAGCCTCCAGAACTGTGAGAGAGTCCATTTCTGTTGTTTAAACCCCCCAGTTTGTGGTACTTCCTTAGAGCAGCCCTAGGAAACCGAAACAGTTACAGATGACTGTGAGGCTGGTCTTGTCAGCACTCTTTCTTGCCTTCTCAGCTGTTCACTTGATAAAGCAAGTTGCCATGTTGAAAAGGTCCATATGGCAAGGGGCTGAAGGTGGCCTCTGGCCAACAGCCAGCAAGGAACTGAGGTCTGCAGTCCAACGATCCTCAAAGAACAAAATCTTGTCAACAACACACGAATAAGGCTTCCAGTTGAGCCTTCTGATGAGACCCCAATCCTGGCGAACATGGCCAACACCTTGCTTGCAGCCTTGTGAGACCCTGAAGTAGAGTAGCTGTGCCTGGATTCCTGAAGCACAGAAACTGTGTGTGTTGTTTTAAGCTGCTGAGTTCTAGAATAATTTGTTATGCAGCAATAGACAAACTAACACACTATTCCATCTGACAGAGATGAAAAGACTAAAAAGCTCCAACATCCTTTCCTACAAAGAATATTATACTATAGTGGCATCATATTATTATAAAGTGTTATAATGTATAACATTATGATATAATATATGGTACTATTGAACTATATAGCATTATATAGTACTATAATATTATACTATATGGTATGATAGTATCAAAATACTGTATATTCCCAGGTTGCTCTTTAGCTCAGATGTACAGAACCTTACTAATCCTGATAGATTTAGTAATTTAGAATCACCTGACTTCAAGTCCCAAATGACACTTAAATATCTCTTTTTCTGATTCTTGTGATATCCTTGGTGACATCTGGCAATGTCCATATATTCTATTCTATCTTGTATTTTATTTTTCCATCACCATTTATCCCCTCTATGCCCTCTTCCACCTCCACCCACCCTCCTCCACCCACACAATCACCATACTGTTGTTCATGTCCATGAGTTCTCTTTCTCCTTTTTTTTTTTTTCATTTTTTGCTTGGCAGAATGAGGAAGAATCTCTTTAATCTTCTAGCCCTGACCTTGCTCCATTTCATTAGTAGAGTAAACCTTGGCCCCAAATGGGGAGGACCATTTGAATAGTGTGCAAAGAAAATGTAGAATGAAAAAATAAATAAAAAATAAATTCAAAGAATTGGGCCCAGGTTAGATTATCAGGTGCAAATTGAAGCAGCAGAACAAGAGGGCAGACTTCACTTAGCTTACTCTATCCAAGTCAGGGGAAAGCATATTGGAATAAGGTAGTGGAGACCATGATGCCCCATCCAGATCCCTCCTCGGGGCTCACACACTGATCCCCTAGCTGCTGGCAACATCGGTGCTGATGTCTCGAGCTGCACTGGGAATGGCCCCTATGTCACAGGTTATACCTCCTCCCAGAGTGATCTATGGTCAGTAACAGGCCGATGGGAGTATACGAAGTGTGGCCTTCTTCTCAATTTGGCAAAGTCTGAAAATCCATCCCAGCTTCAGTGCCCTTCCTACAGGATCTGCCGAGGCTTCCATCCCCACTGCGTGCAGTTCAGTTCCCCCTCTGCCCACTTCCACTGTCCTCGCTCCCCACAGGAGCATCTCCTCCGAGGGCTGGCAGATGAAAACAGGATGCCTCCTGCGATATTTGGGGCATACTTATACTAAAAAATTACTAGTTGTTTATCTAAAATTTAAATTTTATTGGGCATTTTTATTTTGTAAATCTGGCAACTCTACTCCTGAGGTTACTTTCTGATGAAGCTTCTGCACATAATTTTTCATCTTGAGTTTGTTTCCAGGGAACTCTGTCTCAGGCAGGGAGGGTGAAATAAGATAATTGAAAAATAAATGAGGCATGATTTTTGTTTCCAAAGTCTGTTGTGGAATGTTTTACTAGTGTGATGCTATCCAAAACTTATTAGGATTAGGTTTCTAAAAACCCAATTCTTCCTTCGATTGCATTCTTATCTTCATACCTTCTAATACTCAGGTGAAAACAAATTCCCAATCTGTAGACAAACAGGAACCAGAGAGACTGGTTATGCCCAAACAATGAAGCAAGTCAAGACTCAATGATAACAGTTATCATCAGTATCCTCACTGCATTTTCTTTGTACAAGATTGTCTGAGCCATGTTGCTGTCTCATACCTTTTTATATCTTCTTGTCTATAGTTGCCAAAGTTAAACAAAGTCATTAAGCAGATGTCTGTAAGACACCTACAGATGAACATTTGGAGTCATCACTGTTTTTAGACATAGCAGGTGTAGATAAATTATCTTCTATTTTGTGTATTTTTGGAGAAAAATGAAGAAACTTAGAGGAATATATAATCAAACATTTTCTTTCATGGATTCCAAATATAGATAAAAAGACATTTTGTGCTCAATTTAAATTTCTATAGACTCAACATTTATATAATACTATAATGCATAGGAATAGTAAGAATAACTTTAATTCCACATTCCTAAGCAAAATTTTGACAAGTGTCACTCCACACACCACTGCCCTCATATAACCATGGTTCTCAAAACTGGCTTGTTACATCTCAAACACCATAAAGTCTTCTAGTGAAAAAACCATGTATTATTTTAATATGCTAGGTTCACACAGGCACTCAATAAATGAGAGATTGAGTAGCAGTAGTCATTTATTAGAACAAATATATGTGTTCACAAAAATTGGATCGTAATATATATTTAAAATACTGATTAAAATTGTGGGAACACATGTTCAAATTGAATAAATTATAGTAACACGAGCCATGCGTGCGTGGACTTTAAATTCATATTTTATTGTACGTTAGCAATTAGATGTTTTCTTACCTTCTTTTATTCTTTCCAGGTATAGCTGCATGCATCTATTCGTCATTTCAATTATCTTACTGACTTCATTCCATACCCACCATTTGCTGTGAAATCCATCAATCACATGCCAGTTCTGATGTTGTTTTTGATAATATTGCCTAATCTCAGTAATATTTTTAGCATATTTTGAGTTCTTGACAGCCATAATCTGTGTGCTATTGTGTAATGGATAAGGCAAACTAACAGAGAAACAGAGAAGGAATGGAAAACGCTGTTTAAAACATAGGTTTTAAAAAAATAAATAAAGTTCATTCCTTCATCACTGTTTTTACTACATTCATTACCTTTGTTGCGTTTTTTTTTCTAGGAGCAATCTTTTGAAAATCTCCTTGGAAGGCACATCCAACTCAAAGATGACCAGGGGGATGATTGACCTGTCTTCTAAGATATTCATTTGATATTTAGTTACAGGATATCCATCAATGACAACACTAACAAGGAAAAACATGAACACAAAATTTCAGATTTCTTTTCTCCTGTATCTTTATTTCTGTCTTCCAGAACCAATCTCTCTCTTTAGGAGTAGCCCATCTTCTCTTCCTTATGTAACCTGATTTATCTTCTTTGAAACAAAAACTTTTTTCTTTTTTTTCTTTTAGTTTTATCCTCACCTGAGGACATTTTTTGTTCAGGTAGAGTGGGAGGGAGAGAGAGGAAGAGAGAGAGAGAAACATCGATGTGAAAGGGACACATCGAGTGGCTGCCACCCGCACGACCCAACCAGGGCCGGGGACAAACTGCAACCGAGGTACATGCCCTTAGCGGGAACTGAACCCAGGTCTCTCGGGACCGCAGGCTGATGCTCTAACCGCTGAGCCAAACCGGCCAGGGCAAAACTTTTTTCTTTATTGCTATTACGGAGAGAGAAGAAGAGAGAGGGAGAGAGAGATAGAAACATCAATGAGAGAGAGCATCGATTGGCTGCCTCCTGCATGCCCCCCACTGAGGATCGGGCCCACAACCAGGGCATGTGCCCTGACCGGAAATCAAACTGGCGCCCTCTTGGTGCATGGGTTGACACTCAACCACTGAGGCACCTGGGCCGGGCTGATTTATCTTCTTTGTACTCTACTCTCTTAATCTCTTTCGTTCTATTTTAGTATTTTATTTATTTATTTATTTTAATTACAGATGTCCCTCCTTTCCCCCCTCTTTGACACCCTTCTTCCCGCTTCTGCGCCCACCCCCTGCCTTCACCGTACTGTTGCTTGTGTCCATTGGTTATATCTATATTTTAATTTTAGTTTATTTATTTTTCATCTTCACCTGAGGACATTTTTCTATCTTCAGACAGAGTGGGAGAAAGGGAGAAAGAGAGAGAGAAACATCGATGTGAAAGGGACACATTGACTGTTGCTTCTTGCACAACCCGACCAAGGCTAGGGACTAACCACAACTGAGGTACGTGCCCTTGACCAGAATTGAACCCACGACTCATTGGTCCATGGCCGACGCTGTAACCAATGAGCCAAACCGGCCAGGGCTATCTATTTTTTTTTTTTTAATCCTCACCTGAGGACATTTTTCCATTTTTTGTTCAGATACAATGGGGGGTGGGGGGGAGAGGGAGAGAGAGAGAGAAACATCGACGTGAAAGGGACACATCAAGTGGCCGCCACCCACATGACCAACCAGGGCCGGGGACAAACTGCAACCGAGGTACATGCCCTTAGCGGGAACAGAACCCGAGTCTCTCTGGACCACAGGCCTATGTTCTAACTGCTGAGCCAAACCGGCCAGGGCAGGGCTATCTATTTTCAATCTCAGCCAGCCCAAGGCCCAGAAGGAGGGCAGCATACATAGGAACACACCTCTCAATTCATACACTTAGCATCATAGAGCTAGGATTTGGCAGGATTTGAGAGAGAATACACATAATACCTTGAATATTGTGTTATTCAGTTAAAGAGGCTGGGGTGTGTGGAAGGGGAGATGAAGAGTTGGTGAGAAGAGTTCTATAATATTTGGGAGAAAATCATTCCATCAGGACTCATCATGCTACTGAGCAGAAATGAAGGAGAATTTGTTAGTCCAACAGTTTGAGGTAGTCGGAGTCTTACTATCGAACTCAGAGGAGGAATAAAGGCTAGTCACACATTCTGGGAGGAGTGGCCCCCAAAGTCTGGGGCATGCTGGCCGATGGTCATCAGGAAGGGCTAGTTTGAAGTAAGTCATAAGATGTCCTCCCTCAGTGCTCTCCAACCAAATCTCTAGGCACTAACTAGTTCTAAGTTCCATGGCCAAGAAGATTGTAAGCTAACCTAGCAGGCAAGCCCAACAGACCATGTGTGGGAGTGTCCTTGCTGTTGTCTTTAATGGAGAGTAGCTCAACTTCTCTGTCCTGTGAAGCGTCACTTGAGGGGCCCTCAGGATTAGGGAAATTCGGGGTAAATAGGTAGTCCCTCTCTTGGTATTAAGGTGAAATACATTCTTTGGGACTCAACCAAGACTGCTCTTATTGAGATTTCTTGTATGCAAAGCTGAACTCCAGAGAGGAGGTCACTCAATTTGCATAAAACCAGGGCCTTCTGGGGAAAAAATAATCTGACATCCCAGAATCTGCTCCCTCATAGCTGAAATTAGGAGAACTCTCCAACGATTTGCTTAAGGACCAATTGCAGGGGAGGGCAAGGAGGCTTCTAACACAAAACAGCTTTGAGTAAATGAGGGATTCTAGGTCACTGACCTGGGCTCGAGAGCAGGGCCTTAAGTTTCACGGTCTTTTGCTACTGAGTATGACCAGTGGCTGTGCTGGGGGAGCAGTGGTTGAGCAGAGGAGTGTAAACTGAAGACACAGTGCAAGCACAGAGAGCCCTCCTATCTAAATGTAGCATTAAGGGAAGGGGGCACTGCTACCTGTGAATGGGCAAGGCCACTTATTATTTATTTTTTTTTAAGAATTTTTATGGATTTTTAGAGAGAGGAAGGGAGAAGGAGAGAGAAACATCAATGTGCGAGCAAAATATCAACTGGCTGTCTCCTACTGGGGATTGAGTCTGCAAACCAGGTATATGCCCTGACTGGGAATTGAACCGGCAATGTTTTGGTGCATGGGAGGACACCCAACCCACTGAGCCTCACAGGCCAGGGCAAGGGCCACTTCTTTATCACTCCAGGGGGCAGTAAGAAGCTCTACTGGCCTGTGGAAGTCACACTGTGAAACAGTATGGTAATATTGCTTCTCCCCCAGAACTACATCAGGACACCAGTCACCAGTCAATGGTAATGTCAAGTGGAGGTCTGGATAAGCCCAGAGACTTCTGGACAGCTCTGGCTGCTGCAGAGAGTAAAGCGGCCTGCTTGTTATTCTGGCAGGTTTTAACCTGACAGAAAATTAAAATATGGAACCATATCGGTGTCCAAAGTTTGACAAGCAGATCACACCTTTTACAAGAACTTTGAAGCCTATTTAAGATAAGTGCTTTACATTCCAGTGAGTAATTTCTTGAAAGACTTAACCACCCCTACAAGGCCCCCACTTACCCTGCAGTATTACATGCACTTTCCATCAGACATACTTCTAAGGCTTGAATAGCCAGTTTGTCAGGTACTGTCATTCCTTTATGAAGATGCCAATTTAACATAAGTGCCAACTCTGTGTCTGGTTGGTTGTTTAATATATAACGCAAAGCTTCTCCTACTGACAAACGTTTTAAGCCATATTCACTTGAAATTTTTTTGGCAACTGAAAAACATTAAAACTTTTAAACTTACTCCATTTCACAAATTCATCAGTTAACCTTAGTTGCAGATTTTGGTCAATTGATATTGACGGCAAACTAATCTTCACATTCCTCAATGAAATTTTCAGAATTAAAATGGCTACATTTTACTAAATTAATACAGTCAAAGGTTAATCATTATTAGCACTTCAGGTATGTGGCTGATGGAGCCACCTCTGTGGGTTTTTCTCATAACCCAACCAACATTTAAGTTTTCTTTGCCTTCTTTGCATGAAGTAGCAAAATTATTGAGAGCGTTACAAGGCATCCTATGTGTACTATTAATATTTGGTAGTATGTCCAAAATAACTCACTTAATCCTCTGAGAAATAATTTAAAAAAATTATAATGGCATACTAGACATTTTAATGGCAATTTACAGCTTATGAGGCAATTTTTCTTCTGTGACTTTATTTGATAGTTTCAACTATTCCAATAGATGGGTAGAATGAATATTGAAATTCCAATTTTATACATGAAAGAACTGAAGCCCAATTAAATGGAATGATTTGCCCAAGGTCACACAGATATTGCCACTGGCTGAAAGAAGACTCACCGGGGCCTTTGTTTCTCCTGTACGAGACCAAGCAATGGCTCCAAGAACTAATATGATATGGGAGCATGCTCTGTCAGTGTCTACACTCCGGCCTCTTCCCTGGCCGGAGACTGCAGTGTGTAGAGGACACTGAGAGAGCTCGCCGCAGCCCACAGGAAAGCAGATGAACTGACTACAGCGAAGATCACGCAAAGGGAAACCCTTGTGGAGAGCCACAGAACCCTCAGCCGCACTTCTGCCACAAATGCTGAGATCAGAGCTACTGTTATAAAGGTCTAAAAATAATTAAGCTTTTACAATTTGACATTTTGTTTAAAAAAATTAACCTCTATTTCAACAAAGAAATGAGAAATCAGATCGTTTTGTCTCCATTTTCACTTTTTGCTGTGGTTGTGGGATCTTAATTTGAATGTCAATGTTCTTCTTTCTTTTGGAAACATTGTTTTCCTTTTTTAAAAATTTTTTTCCCACCTTTATTGACTTTAGAGAGGGAAGAAAGGAGAGGGAGAGAGAGATAGAAACATCGATGAGAGAGAACATCAATTGGCTGCCTCCTGCACGCCCCCCACTGGGGATTGGGCCCACAACCTGGGCATGTGCCCTGACCGGGAATCTAATCGGCAACCTCCTGGTGCATGCATGGGTCAACGCCCAACCACTGAGCCACACCTGCCGGACATTGGTTTCCTTTTAAATATCTCCTGTATCTGTCCTTTCCATTCCATTCTCATTGCAATAACCATCGTTCATGATGTTACTATGTCCTTTTGAAATACAACCTATTGTTGGATTATTTGCCTTTAAACACACACACACACACACACACACACACACACTCCAAAGTTATACACAATTCAAGCATTATAAGAATAGTTTACCAAATGCCTTATTCAATTCAGCAATAATTAAGATAATAGATTTTCACTCTTTAAACTATCAATACAGATTATACTTACAAAATATTTTAATATAATTTTTATGCTAATATAATCTTAATATACTGCCATTTGACTACATTTATATTATTTGTAATTTTTTTCTTTGTATTATCTTTGTTAGATTTTGATATCAGAATTATGCTAATTTAAAAATGAATTTGTATTCTTTATACCCTTTGAATTAGATGAAACATATTCCTTAATAAAAAAAAAAAATTAAAAATAAATCAGGGAGCTGTCTTTTCCCTTGCTCTGGAAAAGCTTATAAAAACACAGGAAGGATCCCTTGAGCTTTTAATGCTTTGAAAGTTTGCTATAATTTTCCTCTAAAACCATTTGATTCTCAGTTGTTTTGGAGTAGGGCTATATTTTTGAATGCCTTCTCTCCAATGGTTATTGCCTATTTAGGTTTTCTATCTCTTTTTGAGTCAGTGTGAATAGTTAGTGTCCTGGAGAAGTGGCGCTACTTTTCAGGGGATTCCTTTAGGCTATGGATAACAAAGGCAAACACATCCTTACCTGTAGTTTTCCCTGATTTTGGAGGCCCCACGATGGTGATCTTAATGGGCATATTAGGCTTAGGTTTGGGTTGGCGAATATATTTGATTGGGTTCTTCATAAATTTTTCTTTAGTTTCCTTAGTAGATAAAAAGTAAATATACTGACGATGGATTACAGGATAAACTGGATTCTCTGAATTTATAATTGGCCTGACTGTCTTTCCTTCACTGAGCTGCAATAGGTACACAATCAAATTTGAAAGTTAGCTTTAATTTATACAGCATTTCCCCCAAATATAACTTGTAAAACAAGAACATTGGTAAAAATAATCAAATATTAATATTAAAAAACTGTTTAAAAAGAACAAATTATTTTATACCCATAAGTCACCTGTCTTAAAAGGCTTTCAGTTTATGACTCTTATAGTTCTTTGATTTCCTGTATGTCTTTAGTGTGTATACTCAATGTTTCTGCCAAGGAGCATAAGGTTGTTTAGATATATTCATAAAAGAATTTATTTTTACAAACAGGTCCATTCCTAAGGTAATGTTATGGATGGGAATGTTATGGTTCCCCCAAATGTATATGTCAAAACCTTAACACCTAGAGTTACTGCATTTGGAGACAGGCTTTTAACGAAGTAAGGTTAAGTGAGTCATGAGAGTGGGGTTTTCACCCAATAGGACTGGCATCCTTACAGGAAGAGGAAGAGGAAGAGGCGCCAGGAGAGCATGAGCACAGAGGAAAGGCCGTGTGAGGACAGAAAGAAGTGGGTGTCTGCAAGCCAGGAAGAGAGGCCTCACCAGAGTACCATGCCAACATGAAACCTCGGTCTTAGATGTCCAGTCTCTGGAACTGTGAGAAAATAAGTTTCTGTTGTTAAAGCCACGAGTCTGTGGTATTCTGTTATGTCAGCTTGAGTAGACAGGTGGGGTCCTGGTTATCTTTTAGGGTATACTGGTTGGACAAATCCCACTTCCATATTATTATACAGATGAAATCCCACTCACATAATTAACAGCTGGCACAAAATGAAAAACTCCCCCTAAAGGCAGCCTAAGGTGCAGAGAAGGAATGGAGTGGGAGGAGTGGTTCCACATCTTTGCATTGCTGATGGTTAGAACTGGGTCTTTAATTGATGCTAGGTTTGTTTGTCTCTTTTACAGCATCAAGTGACCGAGCATCTACCATTTCTAGACTTGACTTTGCCTGCTTTTTTCCCTGTTTTACCGATCTCAGAGAGAACATTAGGGCATGACTATTTTTCACAAGCTTCCCAGGTAATTCTAATACATGCTTCACTCTATCCAATTTTCTGCGGAGGGTACTGTCATAGTGTTTTTGTATTTTAGTATGATTTTTAAAAGGTTTCTCTTAAGGTTAGGCTAAAGAAGACAACACAATTAAGTAGAATGGAAACTGACTGTGTCAATATCCACCAGGAAGGAGGTTTCAAGTAACATGCACATGGCTTCATTTGGACCCACTCTCCAGAATGCCTTTTATCAGTGACCAATAATGATAATAATACATATTAACAACAATAACTCATATTAATTGAGTACTTACAAAAAACCAAGCACTGTTGCAAGCACTTTACAATAATTAACTCATTTAAAATTGTAACAGTATTTTAAGCTAGGGACTATTCTTATTCCCAGTGTATAAATGGGAATGGCTCAAAGAGGTTAAGTAATTTAAGTTCACTAAGCTAGCAAACGGTAGCTTTGAACTTAGGCTATCTGGTCCAGAGGCAATGGTCTTCTCCACTGTGCTACATCACTGATAAAAATAAGAAGGTAACCTGGTTGAGTGAGCGGATCACTATTAGATGACATTCTTTTATTGTCTTTATAGTGTTTAATACTATCTGATAAGAACCTATTTGTTTGTTGACTTATTTATTGCCTACCCTCCTTCTCCAACCCACTGAAATATAAGCTCCATAGCAACCTTGTCTGTTTTGTTCACTACTTTATTCCCAGAGACTAGAACAATGACTGGCATGTTCTTGGTTTAAGATTTGTTGAAAACTATCCTGGCTATTATCAATAAATCATCAGACAAGTGCTAGTGAGGGTGTGGAGAAAAGGGAACCTTCGTACATTGTTGGTGGGTTGCAAACTGGTGCAGCCACTATGGAAAACAGTAAGAAGATTCTTCAAAAAATTATAAATAGAACTACCTTATGACCCAGCAATTCCACTTCTGGATATTTATTCAAAGAAATCTAAAACATTAATTTAAAAAGATATATGCGCCCCTATGTTCATTGCAGCATCATTTACAATAGCCAAGATATAGAAGCAACCTAAGTATTCATCAATAGACAATCGGATAAAAAAGATGTGAGATATATCTATATCTGTATCTGTATCTGTATCTGTATCTGTATCTGTATCTGTATCTGTATCTGTATATATATATTACTCAGTCATTAAAAAAAAAAGAAATCTTACCATTTGTGACCTAGAGGATATTATGCTAAGTGAAATAAGTCAAACAGAAAAAGACAAATACCATATGATTAAACTTATGTATGGAATCTAAAAAGCAAAACAATGAACAACCAAACTGGAAATAAACTCATAGATACAGAGAACAAACTGATGGTTGCCAGAGTGGGGGAGGGGTGTTGGGAAACTGGGTGAAAATGGTGAAGGGACTGAAATACAAATTGGCAATTACAAAGTAGTCGCAGGATATAAATTACAGCATAGGGAATACAGTCAATAACATTGAAATAACTATGTATGGTGTCAGGTGGGTACTAGATTTATTGGGGGGGGGATCACTTCATAAGTTACATAAATATCTAACTACACTATGCTGTACAACTGAAACTAATATAATATTGTCAACTGTAATTGAAAAAATAAAATTTAAATTTAAAAAATATCCCACAATTGAAGTTATTGAATTCCAATTGGATATCTATTTGTATACACTGCATCAAAATACAGTACTTATAAATAATTTTGTTACTAACACTAATGGCTCATTTTGTATTGTGTCTCACACTTTCCAAAGGACTTCAATACTCTTACATTTGATCACCGTGGCCTGGTGCATTTCTCTTCTATCTTACAGTTGAGGAAGCAGAATAAAGAGGTTAAATGACTTTAGACAGCAAATTAGTATCAGAGTTCAACTCTCTATTGTTTAGTTTGAAAATATTTCCACTACCATCTTCTTCTGTTACAAAGTTAAAACTAAGCTGAAATTGGGTTATCTCTACAGACTAAAATAAAGAAATTAAACCTTTCAACTACTTTTCCTACTTCAGAAAGGCAAAACAACCACATATATTTTTTAACATTTGTTTTTACTGATTTTTTTTTTTTAGAGAGAAGAAGGGAGAGGGAGAGACAGAAACATTGATGAGAGAGATACCATCAGTTGGCTGCCTTCTGCAGGCTCCCCACCGAGGATGGAGCCAGCAACTCAGGCATGTGCCCTGATCAGGAATCAAACAGGCGACCTCCTTGGTGCATGGGACAACGTCCAGCCAACTGAGCCACACTGGCCCAGCCAACCACATATTTTTATAGCTAGTTAAAATTACTGGCCCTGGCCAGTGTGGCTCAGTTGGTTGGAGCATAGTCCTGTACACCAAAAGGTTGAGGGTTCAATTCCCACTCAGGGCACATACCCAGGTTGTGGGTTTAATCTCCAGTCAGGGTGTGTTCAGGAGGCAACTGATCCATATTTCTTCCTTAGAGTATCGATGTTTTTTTTTCTCTCTCTCTCCCTCTCCCTTCCTCTCTCTCTAAAATAAATAAAAACATATCTCAGGTGAGGTTTAAAAAAATATACTGTACAATGCTTACAATTTAAAAAAAATTATCCAGTGTCTTGTTAGATATATTTAAAAAAATAAAAGAAAGAATATGGCTTTCAGAGGTTACATTCCTGACATTACCTTTACAGGGTCCCAGTAGCCAAATGTGCTAATATATTTATAGGTAAAGTTGAGCATTTTCTGGGCAAGGTGTGATGATATTGGATAACATTTCTCAAAAATGCTTGCACGATTCTCTACCAGTGGTTTCAGTCTTGTATTTAACACATACTGTACAATGTGGATTTTCCGAGCTCCATTAATGGGAATTACTGGTATCAAAAACTTCTCAAATTCCTCCTGATGAGAAAAAGCATAAAACCAAATATTTTTAGTGGGAATAAGGCTGCTAGTATTCAGTGGCAGCACACAGACATTGCTGGTGACTGACTACATGAGTCCTAGAGCGCAAATATTTTTCAGCTTCTGCATGTTGGTAGCTGGAACCGTTGACCCTGTGTGGCTTCCATGTTGTCCTTATTTATTAACTTGTTTTCATATTGTAAGTAGTGCTGACAAAAGGGAATATAACTCTAAAATACACATTTCTTTGAAATGTTAAAAAGAAACCAAGGCATAAACCAAATTTGTTTCATACTCAAATGTTACTTTTCAAATTATGAAAGTGAAGAAAAATTAATAACCTGTATTGTTTGTAAATTATGAATATCTGTTTCAAATTTTTCTCCCAGTTCACCTCTCAGGCGTTCAATGGCATCCGTTTCCTGTTCTTCTTCCTCACTCATCACTTCCTCCTCTTTTGGAAATTCATCTTCGAGGATGTTGTCAATATCATCTTCTTCTTCTTCGGGCTCTTCTTCACTGTCTTCATCTTCTTTACCAATCTGAAAAAGAAAATATTCCCTTTTACTATACATCTAAAATATGTAACAAATGGCACTGCTAACTGGAATATTTTGTAATAATGATCTTAGTTTGTGTGGCATGGCAATATTCATCTACTAAATAGTAAAAAAAAAATTTAAATATCTGGCACCCAGAAATTTAATACCTTTATGACTCTGACACCACAATGATCCCATAAATAAATGCTCAGAAAAGATATTAAATGCTATTTATGTCTATGGTGGTCAGAATGTTACGTTTTTGATGGTCTTTAGTAAAAATATTTAATGCAACCCAAAGAGTATAAAGTACTCATTCTCTGTGTTAGCTTGGACAAGTTCAATTTCTCAACTGTAAAATAGGAATAACCAAGTACCTATCTCACAAGGTTGTGGGGACACTAAAGTTAATACATGTAAAGCCCTTAGAAAAGTATCTGGTACATGGTAAGCATGCAAATGATAGCTACTATAGCTATATTGTTACTTTGTATAAAGCACTGTTCGAATAGAACAGAGCACGCCCTCTAGGAGGTTACAGCGCATCTGAGGAAACAAGAATAATACATAAATTATTAATAAAGTAACGGAATATTGACACTAAGTACTATTGTATAGGCTTTAAGTGCTATAGTTCAGTATGCATAATACTGAACCCTCTAATATTGATACTTCTGCATTGCCTCCGAACGCTTCCTGAAGTATTCCTTGTCTCAATTAGAGAACTGCCCCCTCACTGGAAACCTGAAAGTTATCTTGACTCCTTGTGCTCCATCTCTGCTCATCCAGTTTCCAAGGACTGTCATCTGAAATAATGGTCATCCTTTCTGCTCTCACTCCACTGTTTGCTCTCTCATCTCTTGCCTGCAGTTTTCTGAGTAGCTTGACATGTCCTAATCTTTCTAACCGATTAGACCCTAGTGTCTTTAAAAGGTGTCAGGAGCTGGGATTTGAACTTGAAGGTGCAGGGAGGAAGGGGAGAGGATAAGGGCTCATTCTTGCTCTGTGTCTACACTCCTTCCTCTAGTTACAAAAGGAGCTTGGCAATGGGATAGTGTTTATCTGTTCTGGTCCTTCCTCCCTCCTTCCCTCCCTCCCTCCCTCCCTCCCTTCCTTCCTTCCTTCCTTCCTATTAAAACCTTGACACCATTTTGTCCTCCTGTTATGTTTCTCTTTTTCTTATACTTTGACAATTTTTAATCCTAAAATAATGATTTTCTAAGGATCATTGGCAGTGTGGTGGGATGAGCCCACACTACCAGCCGGGCACATTTTAGTTTCAGGTGAACTTGTGCTCGCCTCAGTACTTAGGGTGCGTATCTTTATTAACTACTCAGCTGGGCATCGTGTCACGCAGTTCAGCTTACTTGCTGCCCTGGCTCCCTGTCCTGGCTCTTCCTGGCCTTCTCCTGCCTGTGGCCGCTCTACACTGTATAGAAGGGACACAGGCACCAGAGAAGGAGCCAGTGGGCAGGGAGAGAGCCAAGATTATGGAGCCAGGAGTAAGAGTAGAAGCAAGGCCTCCAAGGAGGTGGAAGATATACAATGTAAACCTCAAGATAAAGGGTGGTTGGCTTATAAAATATTCTTAAAAATTTTTTTCTCTTTATTGATTTTAGAGAAAGAGGAAAGGAGAGGGAGAGAGAGATAGAAACATCGATGAGAGAGAACATCGACTGGCCGCCTCCTGCATGCCCCCACGGGGTTTTGGCCCACAACCTGGGCATGTGCCCTGACCAGGAATCAAACCTGTACCTCTTGGTGCCCCTGGGTGGACCTCAACCACTGAGCCACACTGGTTGGGCAAAATATTCTTTAGGCAGCCCTGGCTGGTTTGGCTTAGTGGTTAGAATGTCAGCCCACAGACCAAAGAGTCATGGGTTCGAGTCCGGTCAAGAGCATATACCTCTGTTGAGGTTGTCCCTGGTCCTGGGCGGGGTCTTGTGGGATGCAGCCAATCAGTGTGTCTCACATCGATGTCTCTCTCTCTCTCTCTCTCTCTCTCTCTCTCTCTCTCTCTCTCTCTCTCCCTTCCTCCCACTCTATCTGAAGATAAATGGAAAAATATCCTCCAGTGAGGATTAAAAAAAATTCTTTAGTCACATTTGGAAACTAAAGTTCTACATGATGGCAACATTTTCCCATAAAATTAATACAAATAGTCACCTTGAGACTTTGATTTCTCATGTTAAAATGTTTTATTGCTGCTAAAAAGTCTAGATAGTAAAGGCAAAGATTTTTGTCAAGGGTGAGAAGACAACACTGGGTAGGACTTGATCTGCCTACGGTTCCTCAATTAGTTGCAAAGAGGTGAGTCCTGGAGCTGCATATTCTGTACAAAGAAGCAAACGATGAGAAGGTTCCTGTTTCTGTTCATAAAAGCCAACTCCAGGGTCTCTGTAGTCAGGACGGTTTTGGCTCAGGGTATGGCATTAACTGATGACAGCAATCACACTAAATGATCCTTGAGATGCTATATTTTGTTTAGTCTTTCTTTGTCTTAGGCAGTAGCAAGACATATAAAATTCCCATCAAAGGAGTTGAAAAAAAAATACACAGTTTTAATCGTTGATTTACCAAAAATCTCAGGAATTGTCTTCCTCTCCAAACAAGACATACAAATGGCTAAGAGACATATGAGAAAATGCTCATCATCACTAATCATCAGAGAGATGCAAATTAAAACAACAATGAGGTATCACCTCACACCTGTCAGAATGGCCACCATCAACAAATCATCAAACAACAAGTGTGGGCGAGGGTGTGGAGAAAAGGGGACTCTAGTACACTGCTGGTGGGAATGCCGACTGATGCAGCCACTATGGAAAACAGTATGGAGTTATCTCAAAAAATTAAAAATTGAACTGCCATTTGACCCAGTGATCCCACTTCTAGGAATATACCCTAAGAAGCCTGAAACACCAATCAGAAAGAATATATGTACCCCCATGTTCATAGCAGCACTGTTTACAATAGCTAAGATCTGGAAACAGCCCAAATTCATCAGTAGACAAATGGATAACAAAGCTCTGGTACATACACACAATGGAGTACTATGCAGCTGTAAGAAAGAAAGATCTCTTATCCTTTGAGACGACATGGAGGGACCTGGAGAGTATTATCCTAAGCAAAATGAGCCAAGCAGAGAAAGACAAATATCACATGATCTCACTTATTTGTGGAACATAATGAACATAACAGTCTGAGGAATGGGGTAGTCCCAGAAACGTGGAAGTGGGGTACATACTGACAATCCCCAGAAGAGAGGTTGGGGGGGGAGATAAACCACAGAACTTATATGCATGTATACATGAACATTTGACATGGACAAAAAAGCTGGGGACAGGGCGGAGAGGGTTGAGGAGAGGGAATCAGTGAGGGACAAAGGAGAAACAGCTGTAACAAAAATAAATAAATTAATTAAATAAAATAAATAAATAAATAAGAAAACAAAAAAAAGTCAGTTTGTATAAAGTAATTGTGTGGGATATACATAGTCAATTTCATAAAAGATTAGGTCTCAAGAGAGTTAACTTACAAGAATTTATTTAATTTATAAGATGGAATATTGAATCTTTGAATGAAAAATAATATAAAATTTCTCATTTTAAAGTTCACAAATGGAAAACTTATAAATTAAGAACACTTAAAATTTATCCTGAAAACTAATTCCCTTAGGAAAAAGAAAATTTAACTATAAAGAATAGTAAAGAAGGGAAATTAAAGTATTATTAATTAGGGAAACTAGGTATTATTAAATTTTCCCATTTTCTAAAAAAAAAAAACCTAGGCTCAGAGAGCTTAAGTAATGCTCAATGTCATATGACAGCAACAAAACAACTGTAAGTTGAGTGCCTACTGTGTGCCAGCATTATGTTAGGCACTGGGTAGCCATCAGTGAACAAGTTCATAAAGAACTGGAGAGATTATAGCAGTTTAGGTCAATTCCACCCCAAAGTCTGTAATCTTTTGGTAATATGTGCCTGAGACCTTTGACGTGATTCTTAAGGGGACCACTGAGGCCCTGGCCGGTTTGGCTCAGCGGTTAGAGAGTCGGCCTGCGGTCCAGAGAGACCCGGGTTCAGTTCCCGCTAAGGGCATGTACCTCAGTTGCAGTTTGTCCCCGGCCCTGGTTGGTTGCGCGGGTGGCAGCCACTCGATGTCTCCCTTTCACGTCAATGTTTCTCTTTCTCCCTCCCACTCTATCTGAACAAAAAAATGGAAGAGTGTCCTCAGGTGAGGATAAAAAAAAAAAAAAAAAAAGAGGGACCACTGAGGACGTCCAAGAGCTAATGGTACTTAACTGTGGTTGGTCTCAGGTTAGGATGCCTGTCATTTTGATCCTAAACATTAGCACGACTCCTTCAACAGAATAACATTTCAGAACATGTTTGTTCAGGGAATAAGTGTTAGAATGAGGCCAGAGACTTTTGTGAATTCTGTTCAGGGCTGATTCTCCAGTGTCTGGAATACTGTTAGGCAATAGTGAGTGAGTAGTAGCCAGGTAGTAGTGAGTAGTGAGTTAAGGTTTACTGATAAACTGACTGGATGAATGAAGATCAAGACACAAAAAGAGGGTTCTTATTTTTCAGATGGTGCTATAACTTCTTCAGTCCAATGGTTTTAGATCAGCTTTGGTTGTAAATACTTTGGACAAAGAAACAATTGTCCCGGGCCCTCTTTTGCAATATTTTCACCCACAGTTACAGTCTCATTTTATTAGAAGTCTTCTCTACATAAACCGAGCATGTGCACCCCAGGGTGATACATGGTTGCATGTGTAGCCAACCCTATTATCTGTTACTTCTCTTTTGTTGAGTTAAATTTTTATACAGATGGAAATCAGATTACAGAAGAGTAAGTCTTGAAAAGATGTTGCAAGGGTGCTTAATCCAGAAGGAAATGGAATAAAGCAGAGACTATCTTATTATTTGCCTTGGTTGCAAGGGTTACTTATAAGCCGATCGTATAAATATGAGCTTCAGGTCCTTTATAGAACTAGCTGGTCTAGTCACACCTCCTCTTTAACTCCTGTACCCCTGAGGCAGACTTGGTTGTAGCATTTGGGTCAGCAAGGTCAATTTGAGAATAGTTCCTCTCTAAATAAAACAAAATCCTCAGTCTTTAAGGTTTATGTTTTTTAAAAATCAGATGTCCGGTTGGTGTGGCTCAGTTGAGTGTCGACCCATGCACCAACAGGCCGGTTCGACTCCTGGTAAGGACACATGCCCAGGTTGTGGGCCCAATCTCCAGTGGGGGCATGCAGGAGGCAGCCAGTCGATGTTCTATTTCATCAATGTTTCTTTCTCTCTCTCCCTCTCCCTTCCTCTCTCTCTAAAATCAATAAAGAAAAATATATTTAAATAAATAAATAATCAGCAGATGGAGAGAAGGAGCTGTACTGAGCATCCTGCACAGTATATGACTCAGGCTGTGCCCTATTGCATACTTTATCTCGAGATAATCTATATTTTAGTTCCAGCAGTTTCATAGGCTCTCTGTCTAGACCTCAGTCCCAAGCTCCCAGCCTGTCTCCTATGGCACAGGCTGGAAGAGTAAAAGAAAAACTAAAATTCCAAAAGAAGTATAGTTTAATGTAGTATTATAATTTGTATTAGATTATTTAAACATCTCTTTCCTTTAAACACTTTCCTTTAAAAGCGTTCATTTTTCTGATTTCTAAAATAATTAAGGTAATTGTAAACAGTTATACAAAAGATATAAAAAATAAAAATTATATATAATCTCACTACTTGCACATGAATTCTGCATTTTCTTCAAGACTTTTTTCTATACATCTTTTTATTTTATGCTGTACACACACACAAAATGGGTGTCCTGCTTTTAAAAAAAATCTTACTGCTCAGCTAGTGTGGCTCAGTGGCTGAGTGTCAACCCATACACCAAGAGGTCACCAGTTCGATTCCCCGTTAGGGCACATGCCCAGGTTGTGGGCCAAATCCCCAGTGGGGGGCATGCAGGAGGCAGCCAATTGATGTTCTCTCTCATCGATGTTTCTATCTCTCTCTTCCTTCCTCTCTCTCTATAAAATCAATAAAGAAAAATAAAATTTTTAAAAATCTTACTTACCTCCTCTTTCTTTCTTTTCTCTTTCTCTGCTACAAGTTCAGCCCTTCTTTTAGCAATCATATCATCCTATAAAAGAGACATTTACAAATTTTAATGGTTAATGATAAAATTACTTTCGATGTATTAATACATGTCTATTTCACAAAGTGGGAATTGCATTCGCGTGGAAGGACAGTGAGTTTTCCAACGAAGTATGTGATGGTGGCGATTATGTTACTATATCCTCGTACCTTGGGACCACTTGATCAGCCACTTCCTTTCAGAGGGCTAAATAGCCCTTGGAGCCAGTCACTGTTCTAGAAACTGTAGAATTTCTTTTCCAGTTTGTTACCTACTAGTTTGCTTTTGGTGAAGAGGTGGATTTTGTATGTGGAGGAATAGAGAAAAACTTGGAGATTATCTATTAAAAATGTTTGATAATCTTTTATCAAACTATTAAAATATAAGAGCCTAATAAAATCTAAAAATATATATACAAATGAGTAAAGCATATGTATTTTGGATACGTTTACAGACACGGTATATGGGGCAGTCCTCCAGGCTTTCTAGGGGGCTCTAAATCTAATGCAATGAATTCTCTGGTATGTCCCGAAGGTTTGCATGAAAATTAATCAGCTCTACTTAGGTTTTGGGTATATTGACTAAGGGTTCTCCAGACTGAAATCTTTTAAAATCCTAGGAGATTAGAGCAGTAGCTGAAGACATACTCTGGGGGCTCAGGTCTAGGTCCCAGGACCCTGCTGTTTTTACCTGGCAATTACTGAGTATACATTCTAAAGAATTTATGTTATGTTGACACTCAAAAAATATTTGTAGATAGAATTATACAACGGAATGGAATTGAATTCATTTCGGTTTTAAGCCCCCAGAGAGATTCCCTAGCTGTACAGAGGGTGAGAAGGTACAAAAACCCTTATTATTCCTATTTTTTTAAACAGGGTTTTGCCATGGGTGGGTTAACTGTATAGTTGTGAGAACGGTATCCTTTTCGTTTTCATAATATACATAGAGAACATGGTCTAACCACAAAGAAATGCAAAGTATACACAACCACACACATATATATTTTGAGTCTATTTTTCCTCTGATCTTTTCACCCAAACAAGTGGTTAGTGAAGTTTAATTATTGTGTGTCTGCTAGATGCCACCACTCTTATGAATACTGTGGTATCTATACACTTTCATTTTTCTATCTGCAAAGCAGCATAGTATTATTCAACTTTATAGGGAGCTAGTAAAGTCCGAGGGTTTAACTCATGTAATGTCACTTGGCTAGTGGAGGAGGGTGTAAGAAACTTCCAGGTAAGAGATTGGAAAAGCAGATGGTATTTTGGGTGCCGCAGAGGAAGGTTTGTGTTTGTGCTAAGAAACAAAGTCAGAAAAAGGGTTTGGAACAAGATTGGTAGGCTTTCAATGCCAGAATAATGAGTTCAGACCTTCATAGGGTGGCTTGGTCAAAACAAGAGTTTTAGGAAGATTAGTCTGGAAGTGGCTAGAAGGATGGCCTAGGGGGACCAGAGATGAAGCCAGAAGGACAATTAGGAGGTCACTGCAGGAGTGCTAGGTATGAGCTAAGAAGGATCTGAACCAGGGCAGAGTTGTGTGCGACAAGGAGCGAATGAATGAGGTTATAAACTAGCTCCTGAAATCTATTCTTTCTTGTTTCCATATCCCTAAAATTCCCAGGACATGTGATGTCTAGGAGGTCTTTCATTGCCCGAGAGCTGCTCTGTACAGTAAATAGTGTGGCTATTTACATTAAAATTAACTAGAATTAAATATTTGATTTCTCAGTCTTATTAAGCCCATTTCAAGTGCTCAACAGCCACATGTGTGGCTAGTGGCTGCCGTATTGGACAGTGAAGATACACAATATTTCCGTCTCACAGAGTTCTATGACGGTGCTGGTTGAGAAATGTCCAGTCCCACAGTGAAGTTAACAAGCAAATGTGCTTTGGTATTTCTTCTTTCTTCTCCATTCCCATGCTCGAAGAGCATCTTGCCTGGCAGACACTGTGATCTATTTTCTTCGTTGAGATCAGGCAGCAGAAAAGGGAAGAATGTCGTTAAGCATAGTGTGAAACTGGGTGTCTTCCCACATGTCTCTCCTTACTTCCACAGTTCCTGGGTGGCTGAGAGCTCAGCTTGCCTGGATTTGGGGTGGCATAGGGATAGCCTGGGACACACAATCTCAGTGTGGTAGAGCAGAGGGATGGATGGCAATGCTCTTGAAGGGATTTCCTCTGGCTAACCCCAAGATGAATTTGCCAACTGTGTCTGAGCAAAGAAAAGAGGAACTTCAGGGTTTTAACACTTTGTCTAGAATTTAATGAGTATTGAGTTGTGAGAATGTATTAACTAACTTAATTTGCAGTATCTTAGAGTTGGAACTAAGTGATCAGTTCTCTGACACTACAGAGGTTTCTTCCATACTCTCCCTGCCAAATGTCCATTCTGTCTATACTTATCTATTAATAAGCAGCTCATTGCCTTCAGTCTCGGTTCTTTTTGGAAACTCTTACGACTAATAAATCTCTCTGTAACTTCCTCCTACCAATGGTAGTTTCTCCTCTTCTAGCCACAGGAAACTACTATAAACTCTCTTCAGCAGGAAAACCCTTCGGATAATTTAAGGGCTGCTCTCATGTTCTACCTTGGTCTTCCTAGTTCCAGATTCAAAAGCTTCATTTTTTTCTACTCCTGTCTAGATCTATATATTTGCCATGTTAAGACACATCAAATAAATGTAATTAATCGTATAGTATGTACTATTTTTTTTTTTTTGGCATGGATTCTTTCACTTAGCATAATGATTTTGATAATTATTCCTGTTGTAGGGTATACTGACAGTTCATTCCTTTTTAATACTGAGTAGTAGCCATTATATGGATGTACCATTTTATTTATCCAGGTTTATACAATTATAAGATATTTAAAGTGTATATTGTGATGATTTGATATATGTATACAGTGTGAAAGGACTCCTCCCTTTTAGTTAATTAAAATATCCATCACCTCACATATTTATCTTTAAATTTTTTGGTGACAACCTTTAAGTTCTACTCTCTTAGCAAATTTCAATTATACAATACAAGGTGGTATTATCAACTATAGTCACCATGGTATATATTAGATCCTCAATTTTATTCATCTGATAGCTGAAAGTTTGTACCCTTTTACCAACCTCTTCTTTTTTTTTTTTATCCTCACCCGAGAACATTTCTCCATTTTTTGTTCAGATAGAGTGGGAGGGAGGGAGGGTTGGGGGGGGGGAGAGAGAGAGAGAAACATTGATGTGAAAGGGACACATCGAGTGGTTGCCACCCGCATGACCCAACCAGGGCTGGGGACAAACTGGAACGGAGGTACATGCCCTTAGTGGGAACCGAACCCAGGTCTCTCTGGACCACAGGCCAACACTCTAACCGCTGAGCCAAACTGGCCAGGGCTACCAACCTCTTCTTATTTCCCACAACTCCAAAGCCCTGGCAACCACTATTCTACTGTTTCAATGAATCTGACTTATTTAGATTCCATATGTAAGGTGATACCACGCAGTATTTGTTTTTCTCTGACTTACTTCATTTAGCATAATGCCCTTAAGGTCAATCCATGTTGTTGCAAATGGCAAGATTTCCTTCTTTCTCATGGCCAGATAATATTCCATTATATATGTAAACACATCATTTTTATCCATTCCTCCACTGACAGACACTTGGGTTGCTTTCATATTGTGGCTATTGTGAGCAATGCTGCAATGAATGTGGGAATGAAGCTCTCTCTTCAATGACCTGTTTTCTTTTTTTTATCCTCACCCAAGGACATTTTTCCATTTTTTTGTTCAGGCAGAGTGAGGAAAAGAGAGAGAGAGAGAGAGAGAGAGAGAGAGAGAAACATCGATGTGAAAGGGGCACATTGAGTGGCTGCCACCCGCACGACTGACCAGAGCTGGGGACAAACTGCAACCGAGGTACGCGCCCTTAGCGGGAACCCAACCCGGGTCTCTCAGGGCCGCAGGCCAACGCTCCAACCACTGAGCCAAACCGGCCAGGGCTTCAATGTCCTGTTTTCATTTCCTTTGGATATACACTCAGAAGTGGGGCTGGTGGATCATATGACAGTTCTACTTTACAAATTTTGAGGAACCTCCATACTGTTTTCCATAATAGCTATACCAATTGACATTCCCACTAACAGTGCAAAGGGTTCTCTTTTCTCCACAGCCTAGCCAACTCTTATCTCCAGTCTTTTTTAAAAATTAATTTTTTTATTTATTATATGTTTTTTCCCCCCTAGTTTTATGGTTTCAGGTCTTATGTTCAAGTCTTTAATCTATTTTGTATTGATTTTTAAAAATTTATTATTAATGTATTTTTGTTACAAATGTTTCTCCTTTTCCCCCCATTGACCCCCTCCTCCTGATCCTGCCCCCACACCGTCCCCAGCATTGTTGTCTATGTCCATGGTTATGCATACACGCATATAAGTTCAGCCCTGGCCAGTTTGGCTTAGCAGTTGGAGGGTTGGCCCGCTGACCAGAGAGGCCTGGGTTTGGTTCCCGCTAAGGGCACGTGCCTCGGTTGTGGTTGGTTCCCGGCCCTGGTTGGGGTTGTGTGGGTGGCAACCACTTGATGCATCTCTCTCACATAGGTGTTTCTCTCTCTCTCTTCCTCCCTCTCTCCCTCCCACTCTATTTGAAGTCAAATGCGAGAATGTCCTTGGGTGAGGATAAAAAAAAAAAGTTCTGTGGTTTATCTCTTCCCTCCCCTTTGACTTTTGTCAGTCTGTACCCTACTATTGTCTCTGAGTCTATTTTGTTCATCAGTTTGTTTTGTTCCTTACATACCACAAATAAGTGAGATCATATGATATTTGTCTTTCTCTAATTGGCTTGTTTTGCTTAGGATAATACTCTCCAGGTCCCTCCATGTTGTCTCAAAGGATAAGAGATCTTTCTTACGGTTGCATAGTATTCCATTGTATATATGTACCACAGCTTTTTTATCCACTCATCTACTGATGGACACTTGGGCTGTTTTCCAGATCTTAGTGATTGTAAATAGTATTGCTATGAACATAGTTGTATTGATTTTTGTGTATAAGATAAGATAGGAGGTCAGTTCCATTCTTTTGCATATGGCTGCCCATTTTTACTAACATCATTTATTGAAAAGACTGTACTTTCCTCACTGTATATTCTTAGCTGCTTCAATGTAAATTAACTGACAATATAAGTGTGAATTATTTCTGGGCTCTCTATTATGTTCCATTGATCTATGTGTTTAGTCTGCTATTAAACCTTTCTACTGAATTTTTCAGTTCAATTATTATACTCTTCAACTCTGTGATTTTTGTTTGGTACTTTCTTATACTTTCTTTCTCTTAGTTGAAATTCTTATTTTGTTCCTTTACTGTTCTTCTACCCTTGCTGAGCATCATTATGATCATTATTCTGAACTCTTTATCAGGTAAATCACTTATCTCCATTTCAGTAAACTGTTTCTGGAGTTTTATCTTGTTCTTTTGTTTAAAACTTACTTTTCTGTTTCTTCATTTTCTTTGATTCTCTGTGTTGATTTCTGCACATTAAATAAAACAGATACCTCTCCTAGTCTTGACAGAGTACGTCTTGCTTAGAAGATTAAGCTTATTGATCAGCCTGGCCCAAGTTCCTGGCTGTCTCTCAAATCTTTGTGATCGTCCACGCTACCTTCTTTGTTCTTTGTGGCTTCCAGTAGTTGAGGGTGTGCTTCAACCCATCAGTGTCCCAAAGGGAGGACTGCAGTCAACACAGGCTGATGGGAAGCTAGACTTCCAGGCAGCAGCTGTTTTGGTGTGTATGATATGGGTATCTTCTTGTTCTCCCAATGTGTAGGCGTAAAAAACACAAATTCGCTCAACTAGTTTCTGTTTCAGAGGGAATTGCTTTGTATGTAGATTCAGTGTGTCTCCACCTTGGGCTAGAACTCAGGTACTCTATCTGGATGTCTAACTACATTTAGTTTATCCATTCATCAGTTGATAGACATTGGGTTGTTTCTACTTTTTGGTTATTATAAATAACGTTGTTATGAATATTAATATACAAATTTTTATGTGGATATGTTTTCATTTCTGTTAGACAGATTCCTAGGAGTGGAATTGTTGGGCTTCTATGATACTTTTGAACATTTTATGGAATACTCCTCACACTGTAGTTTTAGAAAAGATGTTCTAAGCTAATATCTGGATCTGTTTCACTATAGGCTTACACGGTGCTCATGGATGGTGTCATAATTCCAGGAGCTAGTGAAAAAAAACCACTGATAATTTTAATTCTTTGTATTTCAAGGCCTGCTTCACTTGCTGCCTCTTCCATTATGCGCCTGTGTCTGGTATAGGGATATTTTGGTGCTACCACAATCTTTAATTTTATTTGCCTTGGCGAGAGAAGTATTAACCTGTTGATAATCAGGCCTCACATAAATTTTAATTCTTTAATTAGAAATACTCTTAATATTTGATGAGAAGTGTTTTCATATTGACTGTGGTATTAAAATCAGAAGACTACATTTTTGTAAAGACCACTTTATAAATTGAATAGATGCTGAAAAAATTTACTCTCATACTTTTTTACGAGATACGTACCTTGATTTTTGTCTTCATTTCTTTGATGAGTTTTTTCCTTTCTAATTTCTTCTTTTGTTTCAGTTTCCACTTTTCAATTTGGGGCGGCAGGAGGCGATCAGAAACCTCTTGATCATCAACTTGTATTAAAACAGCAGCATCCGGGAAAAATCCATGTTCCCCCAGAAACTGGGCTTCATCAAGATAGCGTGGGAAACCATCTAATATAAAACCTGTGGAACTAGGTGTAAATTTCATAGTTTACTTAAAATGTTATGTTATAAATCTTGATTTAAAAATTAAAAAAGTATTGGTAAATCTCAACTTTATATAAGATGTGCAATGAGTAGTTTAAAAAGTATCTTTTTGTTCTTTTAATATTTCTACTTATATAAGCATGATATGTCTTCTCTCAAAGGTATTGAATTAGATAAAAGCTATAGTGTTTATACTTATATTTGTGGTATAGATAAGTTCTCTTTAACTGTAAATAGTCTTAATATTTGATGAAAATTAAGAGAGCCTGGCTGGTGTGGCTCAGTGTTTGAGCATTGATCCATACAGCAAGAGGCTGAAGGTTCGATTCCCTGTCAGGGCACATGCCCAGGTTGTGGGCCTGATCCCCAGTAGAGAGTGTGCTGGAGCCAGCCAATCGATGTTCTCCCTCATCGATCTCTCTCTCTCTCTCTCCTTTCTTCTCTCTCTAAAAATCAATAAAGAAAAAATATTTTTTAAAAAATTAAGAGAAAATAAATTCTCTGCCTGAGAGGAATGCCCGGCCTAATGAATGTGTCACTTTCTAAAATGGTGGGTTTGGCCAGCCTACCTTTAGGGCAAAGCCACCCTTTAGTAGTTTTTCTTTTAGTGATGTTTCCTTTCATGAGATAATTCATACCCTCTTCCCTGGGTCCCCTTGTAACTGATAACAATTATTTATGTATGTATCCTGGCTCACATGTATTAAGATGATTATAATCAATTAGGATTATCAGACTTGTTTGAGTATGATGAAACTTGAAGAATCATGAAATTAACACATTTTCATTGTGGAGTAACTAACTGTACAACAATCAGGCTTTGAGAACTTGGCCTTGTTTAATTGAGAAAACAACATTGGTCCCCTTTTAAATGAAAGTTTATCCTGTTTATCTAATATTTGGTTTATTTAAATATTTATTATTTAAATATATGTTTTCTTCTTAATATGAGCAGGACTTTCATGAACATTTCAGCGCTTAATTGGCATTTAAAAATGTTTTCTATCTTATTAAATGGGCAAATTCCCATACAATGGCCATAAAACATGTCCTTTTGTTTAAAGCTGCCTTCAGCATTGTCTAGTACGTGAGGAACAATTTCATTCCTGCCGTTCCAGCTGTCACTTCTTTGTCAATGACTTCTAAATCTTCACCTCTACACCCAACCTGTTCTGAGTTTCAATCCAGAATTTTCAAAAAGCTGCTTAATTTCTCCATCTGAGTGACTGTCAGGAATTACATATGCATCATACTGTCAAAAATTGTAATTATTGTTATTTTTCTATACTCTTTTAACGTCTAACTCACAAGAATTCAGGTGGCAAACTTCAGAGACATCTGGACTGCTCCCTCAATTCCCTCTTGGTTCTCACACACAACAGCTAAGTCCTGGCATGCTCTCGTCTGTACCCACATTTCCATTCCTAACACTACACCCTAGTTCAGGCCCTTACTATATCTTCCCAGGACTAATGCAGTGCCCTTTTTAAAATGTGTTTCCTGATTATAAAAGCAACAAATCTCACTATAGAAAAAGTGAAAAATACAGGAAAGCATTAAAAAAAGGCAAAATTATCCATAATCTCATGTTCCACAGGTTATTGACATTTTGTTTTGTTTCTTTCCAGTTTTTTATTCATATTCCATCTCTCTATCATATTATAAGTAATTTTGTATCTTCTTTTTTAACTTACCATTATATGATAACATTTTTTATGCCATTACAAATCCTTCATTATAACACAATTTTATGGTTGCATAATATTCTGTTATTTTATTTAGGCTTTTACAATTTTACATTTAACTTTAAATTCTGCAAACCACATGCTTTTTAAAAGAAAGTATGGTGTGAGGTCAGGAGCTAAATTAATGAAGGACAACTCATGGCTGTTGTTGCAACCTACCTAAGTTTACTACAACTACTAGTCTAATTTAAGGAACAGGAAATTAAAATTAAAGTTGGTAACTAATAATCCCACTCACTCATTTAGGCCAGGGACTAAGTGAAAGAGTGTCCAGAGGAGTACTGGAATGGGCCAGTTATTTGAATTCTCTATGATGTAGTTTCCTTATCTCCAAAACAAGATAAAAGTTTCTAGTCATAGGGTAATAGTAAGGATTAAGTAAATTAATATGAATAAAATGTAGTAGAACAGTACTGGGCACATAGTAAGTTCCATTTAAGTGTTTGCTATTAGTACTGTAAATATCACTTTACTTTCTTCTGGTGGATACCAATGCAAGGGATTCTGGTTTAAGAAAGCAAAGTGAAGTGTTTTTTGGGGGGGTGGGAGAGGGGGGAAAATCTTTCAAAGGATTAGCTAATTTGGCTGATTCGGTCATTTGCCCATATGTTTTTAAGTTTTATTACTTCAATAACTTCCTATTTAAACTTTGTGAAACAATCTCAGACCAGGGGCTGAACCTGGGACTCTCTGGTCTGCAGGCCAACACTCCAACCACTGAGCCAAACTGGCCAGGACCAAAGTGGTGACCCAGAGATTCTTAGATTTGTCCTGTGTGGGGTCAGGCTTGTTCTTGGCTTTTGGTTAAGGGATAACACTATGGACAGCTATTAAGTGTTCTTAACTGTAATTACTAAATGGCAACAAGGAAAAGAGTCTGGCACATAATTTTAGATTGTGGGTTTTCAACCACAACTATACCTTAGAATCACATGGGGAGCTCTAAAAATATCAATGCATCCCAACCACACATACCCCTAAAGATTTTTTTAAAAATATTTTTTTTCTTTATTGATTTTAGAGAGAGAGGAAGTGAGAAGGAGAGAAAGATAGAAACATCGATGAGAGAGAACATCAATTGGCCACCTTCTGCATGCCCCCCACTGGGGATTGGGCCTATAACCTGGACATGTGCCCTGACGGGGAATCAAACCGATGACCTCTAGGTGCATGGGTGGATGCTTAACCACTGAGCCACATTGGCTAGGTGATCCATAAAGATTTTGATTCAATTGTTTTTAAAATAATTCTCCAGATATTTTAAATATATCAAATCACTAATTTACATAAATGTACAGAAGAAAATTTTTAAAGTTATCTTGAATTACATTTTGAATTTTTGAGAGTAAGGCAAATAAAAGTCAATAAATGTATAATACTATATAAATTAAGATACCGTATTGGTTCCTTAAACCACCACTCAGAAAGAATGGTGTAAAGAATCTCAGGAGGCAGTGGTTCATTTTCCATTAGACTTAGTCTCATTGCTTCTTCTTCTTCTGTAAATTGTATTTCTAGAGGCTAATCACAAAAATCAGAAAACAAAACAAATTTAAAACTCTATACATCAATGCACAATACCCTATCACATAGTTGATTAAGATGACACTTGTTTTTCTCAGGACATTTTTTTATACTATTAGTTGTAAACATTTAAAAATTTGCATTCTTTCCTTTAAACTAATATTTAATATAATTTTAAATATCAAATTATATCTACTATAGCTAAGAGGAGTTACTAGCAATTAGTATAACTGGTTTTCATACGTGGCCTCAGGATATCTATTCCATCACCTTTTGCTAAAACCTTCTTCAATCTATAAATTAATTTTTGTCATCTATCTTATAATTATTATACCTAATCCTGATTAAAAAATGAGCTAACCAGGCGGTCATCTAAAATACAATCTGTACCTGGGCCAATTTCTAGGGGATTCTTTGAGAAGAAAAGGGTCTAGCTATATCAAAAATGGTTAAAAAGGGAGTTAGGATGAAGAACTTTCTCTTTACAACCCAAAATAGAAACCAGCTAAGAGAATCATACAAACTTTCTTATGAGGCACCATGAGAAATTAATATTTTGAGATTACCATTGGCATTGGGGCAGATTTTTATAATACATCATAAAAACAAACAAACAAACAAGCAAACAAGCAAAAAACCAGAGCCCTGGCAGCTGTGATTTAGCTGACTGGGTGTCGTCCCGAGCACCAAAAGATTGCTGGTTTGATTCCCATTCAGGGCACAGGCCTGGGTTGTGGCCAACTCCAAACGGGGAGTGTACAGGAGGCAGTCAATCGATGTTTCACTGTCTCATCGATGTTTCTCTCTCCTTCCCTTTCTCTCTAAAAAATAATAATAATAATAATAATAATAATAATAAAATAATAATAATAAAAAACCACTTAAAAACAAAACAAAAAAACCCCCAAAAAACAAATAACACAATAATAGAAAACCTTACAGTCTAGGTCAGACATATCAAATAACGTAGCCTCAAATTAATGCTATACAACAGTTTTGTTAGGGAAAGCTTTTCTGATTTTTACTGGAGTTGTATAAAACTCAGTAATTTTATATTATAGATTAGCAGTAAGATTTGTATCCAACATATGGGGAGGATGACTCTTAAGTGACTTTTATGGGCTAATTTTTTTCTTTTTCTTGGAAATTTTAAGTTTTATACTGTTTATATTCTACTTTCCAAAAGCAATACCAGTAAACACAACTATCTGCAAAGAGAGTATTAATATTACTACCAGCTTCTTTGTATTTTCTTCCTCAATTGTGACATTGGCCTGAATTGCAAGGTCTTCAATTTCTTGTCTTACTAGTTGTTCTTCCTCAGCATCTTCTTCAAATTCAGGTCCAATTTTCTTTTCAGTTTTGAGCATTAGTTTTTCTTGTAGAAATTCTTCAAACTGAATGTGAAAGATGCCCAAGTTTTCTGCTAATTGTCTTCCACAGACAGTTTTGCCAGAGCCATGGGGGCCCAGAAGGCATATTCTTAATGGAGGAGCCTGACACAGGAGGTTGGGTCAGGGAAAGATGGGATAAGGGAGAGTGAAGGAAAGAAAATTTTGAGTTATTAAAAACAAAAAGACTAATTAACTGCCCTCCCTAAGACTTAATTATTACTTCACAAACTCAAGGATGCTTTGACATTAGGATATCAATTAACATGATGCACTGCATCAACAATGGCTCTCAGGCAGCATTAACAGCCATAAGAGCATCCTGATGTCTTGTGCCAAAAGGCATTTAATAAAAGAGAATTCGTTGTTTTTTTAAAATTTTTAATTTTAAAAGAATGAAATCTAATGAACAAAATAAACTGACAGACAAAATGGAACCAGAAGCATGAATTCATGGAACAGACTGGCCAATGCCCAAAGGGAGAGGCGTAGGGATGACTGGATAAAGAAAGTGAAGGAAATAGCTAAAGAACATATATGCATACTCCATGGACATGGATAATAGTTTGGTAAAAAGCAGGGAAGGTGGAGGTAGGCAAAGTGTGGGTGGAGAACTCCTGCAACAATGTCAACAATAAACATTTTTTAATTAAAAAAAGAAAATAAAAAGAATGAAAAAGATAAGTTTTTAGCATGATAGAAACAAATTATATTAAAATGGTATGTTAAAACATTATGAGATCTATGTAGAAATACATAAACTTTCTATGATATAATATTAAGAGATTATCTCTCTCTATATATGGACATATATATAATATACACTAGAAAGAATATATATCCATGTGAAAGAGGATGAGAAAGTAAAACATAAATATGAAAACTTGTCTAAAGTTGGTGTTACTATGTGTGTGCTTTGTTTTAAAAACTAAATAAAATATTGCCACAATATGTTCTTTTATTATTGTGGTAAAATATACACAACATAAAACTTACCATTTTTAAGTATATAGTTCAGTGGCATTAAGTACATTCACAATGTTGTGCAACCTTCACTACCATCTCTCTCCAGAACTTCTTCATTATTCCAAACTGGAACTCTGTACCCATTAAACAGCAACATCTATTCTCCCTTCTTCCTAGCCCCTGGCAACCACGCTTTTATTTTCTGTCCCTATGAATTTACCTATTCTAGGTACCTTGTATAAATCGAATTATACAGTATTTGTTCTTTTGTGTTTGGCTTTAATAAATATTTTTTAAATAAGGTAGAAAATTGTTCCAAAGGTGATAAACAAGTAAGGATAAAAATATTCCCACAAACTTAGGAAAAGATTGATTGTTCTATAGCTACTTAAACCAGTTTTTTTTTTTTTTTTTAATCCTCACCCAAGGACATTTTTGCCTAGAGCAAGAGGGAGAGAGAGAGAAACATCTTTGTGAGAGAAACATATTGACTAGTTGCCACCCACATGCCCCCAACCAGGGCCGGGGACAAACTGCAACCGAGGTACGTGCCCTTGGCGGGAACCAAACTGGGGTCTCTCTGGACCACGAGCTGACGCTCTAACTGATGAGCCAAACCAGCCAGGGCGCTACTTAAACAAATTTTAATTGATCAAGAACTCACCTCTGGAAACACTCTTTTGCAATCTTTTTAATTAGCGTCATCCCTTGCCCTTGAGAATCAAGCAGTCAGACATGAATTTGCCCAATATTCATACCTCTGAGTTTGAAAAAGGTTAACAGCAGTCTCACCTGAGTAATCACACTTCTATAGAGGATGACACCCCAGTGAAGGCCACAAGCCTCTGGATCCTACACTTCCCCCTAAAATCCTGTCTTATGATTAGTGGATTGCTCTGCTCAGAGAGACTAACTGGTTAAGGAGAAAAATAAATTCAATAAATTTATAAACAATAAATTCAGCTGTGTCTTTTTATTTCAGCTAAAAACAGATATTAAGTGTTGGTTTGACACAAGGCATTACTGTAGAAATACAAACTGATAATTATTTTAGGTTATATTCTAAAAAGGTGTTATTGGAACAGATACTTTCACTATATTATTATATCAGATTGGGAACTTCACTATTAAATAAAAGGGTGGGTGTAATAAGTCCCTAAAAAAGTACACAAGGGCAATCATTAAGATATGAATATAGTTTTCACCTTTAATGGTTCTTCATGAGCCACATACTCCTGGGGATGCTCCAAAAATTTTTCCTTAGCCTCAGGACTTGAAAAGTAGTAGATCTTATCTTGATATTTAGCTGTTTCTTCTGTGTTGCCTGGTTGTAGGACGAAGTTTTCTTTGAGAACTACTGGACAAAAGTGCTTTGTGTCTCCCAAATGCCGTTTCTTCTCTTTTATTCTATCTTCATTCTAGAAATATTATTTAACATTTGGAGACTATTTTAAAAGTATTTTGATATAATACTAAAGAGGGAATAAAAAAATAATATCTCTTGAACAATTTTTAATCCATAACAATACATCTTTAAAACAATTTGTAAAAGCCAGTTCTTATGTTGGCCTTTTAATTAATTAATTAGAAAATCAGTTTCCCTCTAAGTTCACATTTCAAGCTTCTTTATTTTTATAAAGAAAATAAAGCAGCATTGAGAATCAAGGTGTCCCCAGCCCTCTGTGCTCTGGTGCAGAATCAGTTTCTAAAATAAAATTAAGAAGTAAAAGCTGAGTCAGGGTCACAACTTCTTACCCATTAAAAATGAGATGGGAGATGCTTCAGGATTTGCTATGTTTCCTAATAAGTACATATGCAATCACTCCAATGAATTCAATTAAAAAAAAATGAAAAAATAATTTGGAAATATTTATTTCATTCCACTGGAACTGTGTAACATATTTTTATTTATAAAAAACAAAGAAACTGTGTAAAGTCCTTTAAGGATTCTTGCAATTTATTTAAAGCAGTGGAGGTACATGAAAAATAATTTTCTGTGTTAAAAATACATGCTCATTATAAAATACATGCTTATTATAAAAAAATTTAAAACACATCACTGTGCATAAAGAATAAAAATTCTCTCTCTCCTTTTTCCTTCCAATACTATATTAACACTCTTAATGGTTTTATGTGTATTTTTTTACTCTTTTTTATAAGTATATGCTACCAATATACATATAAAATAGATACTTAGGCACAAATACATTATTTTAAAAAATACTAATGAACTAATATTTTACATGATTCTTCTACTACATGCCTCACTCCTCCCACCAAAACAAGATATAATGAAAAACTTTTGGTAAAGGTGCAAAAATGAGACTACTCTCTATTTTTTCACACCACTCTTTTAAATTAAAAAAATATATTATTATGATTTTTTAAAAATTTAAGTTGTTTTTTCAATTACAGTTGACATACAATACTATATTCATTTCAGGTGTACAACATAGTGATTAGACATTTATATAACTTACAGAGTGATCACCTCGATAAGTCTAGTACCCAACTAACACCATACATACTTATTACAATATTATTTCCTATGCTGTACTTTACATCCCCGTGACTGTTATCTTGTACCACTTTTGTTCAATTTATTTTTATTTTTTTTTATCCTCACCTGAGGATATTTTTCCATTTTTTGTACAGATAGAGTGGGAGGGAGAGAGAGAGAGAAACATCGACGTGAAGGGACACATCGAGTGGCTGCCACCCGCACGACCAACCAGGGCCGGGGACAAACTGCAACCGGAGTACGTGCCCTTAGCGGGAACCGAACCCGGGTCTCTCCAGACCGCAGGCCGACACTCTAACCGCTGAGCCAAACTGGCCAGGGCTCAATTTTTGTATCAGGATAATGCAAGCTTCATAATGAGCTGGGAAGTATTGATCCTTTTCTATGATGTGGATGGTTTGAAACAACATAGGAATATCTCATCAAGAAAGGTATATTAGAAATAACTTAAAACTCTCGTGTTATTTTTGTTTGTTCAGCTTTTATGTTTCTTTCAAGGCAAATTTTAGTACTTCATATTTTGAAAATCTGTTTCATCTTGGTTTTAAAGTTAATTTATTATTATAAAGTTCCTGTAGTTTAAAATAACCCTCTTTTTTTAATCTCATTATATACCAGTATATTTTTCTTTCAAGTGTTATTTATTGCTTCTTCTTCTTCTTCTTTTTTTTTTTTTTTTACCTAATTCAACATAACAGAAGTTTGTCTATTGCTCTTGCCAGTGAACCAACTTTTCATTTTTTGAAATTAGGTCTACAGTTTTTATTTGCTCTTGTTTGCTATTCATTAATTTTGGCTTTTAATCTCCTGCGTTCTACTTTCTTTTGGTTTATTTTGTTGTACTTTTTCAGGTTCTTGAGTTGAATGCTTAATTAATTTTTCTAGTCTTTCTTGTTTTTCAATAAATGCACGTACAGTAGGGTTGCCAGAGTTAGCAAGTAAAAATGTAGACTCTGCAGTTATATTTGAATTTCAGATAAAAAATAAGTTTTTAGTATGTACCATACATAAGTATGTACATTACATAAAAAATTATTCATTTATATGAAATTCAATTTTCATTGGGTAATGTGTTTTTTATGACAACTCTAATTTCTACTTCCTTCATACAAAAAACTTTTATATGTTATCTTTTAATTATCATTAATTTTTAAATAAGCTATAGTTTCATTTTTTGTTTCTTTTTTTTTTTATCATCACCCTAGGACATTTTTCCATTTTTTGTTCAGGTAGAGTGGGAGGGAGAGAGAGGAACAGAGAGAGAGAGAGAAACATCGATGTGAAAGGAACACATCGAGTGGCTGCCACCCGCACGACTGACCAGAGCCGGGGACAAACTGCAACCGAGGTACGCGCCCTTAGTGGGAACAGAACCCAGGTCTCTCAGGACCGCAGGCCGACGCTTTAACCGCTGAGCCAAACCGGCCAGGGCCATTTTTTGTTTCTTATTTAACTCATTAGCATTTAGAAAGAAAATATGTGTATGTATTTTTAAAATTTAGAGTATTTATTTTGGGGGAATGGGGAAGTACTATCCTTCTGGTGTTAATTTTTTGTTTTATTGTATTGTGATCAGAGACTGTGACCTGTAAGATTTCTACTTATTATAATTTACTGTGATTTTCTTTGTGACCTACTAAATGAACATTAAAGAGAATGTTCATTCTTTATGGATGCAGACTTGAACACTGACAGGTGAATGAATGGATCAAGAAAGTGTGTATTTATACACAATAGAATATTATTCAGTCATAAAAAAGAAGGAAATCCTGCCATTTGCAACAACATAGATGGTCCTTACGGGCATTATGCTAAGTGCAATAAGTGAGATAAAGATAAATAATGTATGATCTCACTTATATGTGGAATTTCAAAAAAAGCCACACTCATAGAAACAAAGAATAAAATGGTAATTGCTAGGGGTTGAGGGCATTGGGAGAAATGAGAAGATGTTGGTCAAAGGGCAAAACTTATAGTTATAACATTAGTAAGTTCTGGGGATCTAAGGTACAGCATGATGACTATAGTTAACAATAGTGTATTGTAAACTTGAAAGTCACTAAAAGAGTATATCTTAAATCTTCTCACCATACATAATAAAACTGTAATTATGTGAGGTGATGGATGTGTTAACTAAACTTATTATGGTGATTATTTTGTAATATATAAGACTATCAAATCATCAGGTCGTACACCTTTAACTTATACAATGTTACATGTCAATTACTTCTCAATAAAGCTGGAAAACATTTTAAAGGCTTTAATAAACATTAACATAGACTCCACCAGGTCAAGGCCACATCCCTAAGATGACCCTACTCTCTCTCTCAGTGCCTGCCTGAGAAAACTCAAGGCTGCCACAAAAATTGTACTGTTTGTTTCAGCCAAGACCTGAGGCTAGGCTCTCTGTCTCCTAGTCTCTGAGGGAGGACAGAATCCTGACTTCTATAATTGTCAGCTAGCAGACACAGCTGGTTCGACTGCTATTTTATTTTATTATTAATTTTGTTAATCTTCACCTGAGGACATTTTCCCATTGATTTTTAGATAGAGTGGGAGGGAGAGAGGGAGGGAAGGAGGAAGAGAGGGAAAGAGGGAGGGAGACAGAAACATCGATGCGAGAGAGACACATCGATTGGTTGCCTCCTGCACAACCCCAACTGGGCCTGGGGATCAAACCTGCAACCCAGGCACGTGCCCTTGACCAGAATCGAACTTGACCCTTTGGTCTGTGGGCAAACGCTCCAACTGCTGAGCCAAACCAGCCAGGGTTCAGTTGTTTTTTATATTGACTAACCCTTTGTAATTTTCACTTTCCTAACTATATGGGGCTCCTGCTTGCCCCCCTCCCTATTCCCTAATTCTCCCTTTCAATTCTTTATGTCCATTCACCTCAATCAAAGTTGATTTAAGTTCACACTGGATTCCTTTTCCTATTGCAGTAGTTATTACTGATTAAAATCTGTCCTTACCACTTTAACTAGTGCCCAACTTTATCTTTAACAGAATAAAGTATCTTTTTGTTGTTTTAATGCATTTCTCCTTAAATTCTACTTTGATTGGTATTCAGAATGCTATTTCTTCTTCTTTGCTGTTATGGTCAGCACGAAAGGCTAAGGGAGACTCGCAGACTGAAAGATCGGTCAGATCAAACAGAACATAAAGTCTGCAACACAGAGATGGAAGAAACCCAATCTCTGAGTAGAAAAATAATAAAAGACATTTATAAAGATTCAAGTAAACACTAAAAAGAGTTTACAAACACCAACAAAATATGCAAATGAGCTAAAGAAGACAGTGACTAGTTGTGGTTGACATAATAATGTCCCCCACCCCAAGAGATCCCTAGGACCTGTGAATATATTACCCTATATGTGTGATTACGGATATTGATCTGGGAAAAATATCCAGGTGGGTCTAATGAAGCGTCCTTGTAAGAGGGAGGGAAGAAGGTCAAAGGCAGGAGGAGATGAGATGGGCAGCAGAGGTTGAAGTGATTTGCTTTGAAGATGGAGGCAGAGGCCATGAATCAGGAATACAGGTGGCCAGAGGCTGGAAAAGGGAGGAAAAGGGCTATCCTACAGAGGGAGGGACATAGCACTGCCAATACTGATTTTAGCCTTAAAGCCAGACTCCTGACCTTGAGAGTTATACAATAATTTGGTTGTTTTAAGCCAACAACTTTGTGGAAATTTGTTACAGCAGCAGTAGCAAACTCATACACCACTCTAGAAGACCCTAATGATGTCTATATTAGAAGATTAGGAAGACGTACCTACAAGTATATGAACAAAATATAAGGTGATATAAAATATGAGGAAAAACATAAGATATTTGGAGGATAGATCCAAGAGAACTAACCAGTAATTGGTATTGTGGAAGGAGAAAAAAGAAGAGATGGAGGAGAGGTAAGAATTTATTAATTTAAAAAATAAAAATTACTTATATGTCCATCATTCAGAGATGATGGTTTGTTATAACCACCATTAATACTTTTTTTTTAATCCGCACACAAGGATATTTTTCCATTTATCTTCAGATAGAGTGGGAGGGAGGGAGGAAGAGAGAGAGAGAGAGAAACATTGATGTGAGAGACACAGCGACTGGTTACCTCCCGCACAACCCCAACCAGGGCTGGGGACTAAACCACAACTGAGGCAAACCAGCCAGGGCCCACCATTAATACTTTTAACAGCTTTATTGAGATATAACTGACATTAAAATACTGTACATATTTAAAGTATGTTATTTGATAACTTTTGACATATGTGTTTATATCTGTGAAACCATCACCACAATCAAGATAATGAACATATTTATCAATACAATTGCTCATGCCTCTTTCCTGACTCTATTTGCCTCCTACCTGCCCCACCCCCAGGTAACCACTGCTGTGTTTTCTGTCACTATAATTAAATTGCATTTTCTAGAATTTTATACAAATGTAATTATACAGTATGTTTCCTCTTTTGTGTGGTTTCTTTCTTTTAGCATAATAATTTTGAGATTCATCCAGACTGTTGCATGTATCAGCAGTTCTTTTTTTGTTTTTATTTATTTTTTACTGTGTACTATTCCAGGTTAAACTATCCCCATTCCTGAGGCTTAGACCCTGTTAGTACTACCCAGTGGTTAGTGGGAACAGGCATTATTTCTGGCCCTGTATGAGATCAAAGTACTCTTCCCTCTAATCTCATCAGGTGGTACTTCCCCAGCCCGGAACAGCTTTCTGATGGGCAAATCTGATCAGTACTCTGCTCTGCAGGTCTCTGGAATTCTCCCTCTGTGCACTTCTTTCCTCTCTGGTCTTGTCCCTGTGAACTCTAGCTGCTTTGGTGCCCGGGGATTCTCTGCTCTATCTCCTCCAACAACAAAGTCTGCCAGGCTGTGCCTGGGTCCTTCCTCCCTAAACCATGGCCTGGACAAGGTACATGACCTTACAGATAGTAAGCTGGGGAAATAGCAGGGTGCACCTCATTCCCTCTGCCCCATCTCTCTGGGATCACTGCACGTCACTGCCTCATGTCAATGTGTTGAAAACTGTTTCATATATTTTATCTTGTTTTTAGTTGTTTCGGGCAAGAGGGTAAATCTCATTCCCAAAATGACTGTTGAGATTTTAGTACATATCTTCCCACAATTTTTCTTACGATGTGATGTATACCTTTTGCTTTTGTCTGTATAGCACCTTTCTTCTCCTTTCTAGTAAGATAACCTTTCTCCCTCTTCTTATGGAGAACTGCTTCTTCCACATTTCAAGGAACTCAAGTGGACCAGACAATCACAGTAACTCCCTACCTCATAGTCATGGGTGGGCATGTTACCAAGGCTAGTTCAATCACATACTAAGTCCTCTAGTTACTATGATTAATCAAAGAGACTGACTGAGATGGGAGAAGAAAGTTCTTTCTTGCTATTTTTCCAGGTGGATGTCAGGATAGAGTGTTCTTTTGCCTCCTAGATAAATTTCTAAGAACCCCTGGCATCCTTATCTGCCTTGTTTGAATAAAAACAAAAAAACATCTTTGCAGATGTCATTGAGGATCTCAAGATGATATTTAAATTTATTATCTAGGTGGTCCCTAAATCCAATGATGAGTGTCCTTAAAAGAGAAGGAGAAGACATGGAAGAGAAGGAAAAGACATGAAAGAGAAGGCCATGAATAGACAGAGGCAGAGAAGGGAGGTAAGCAGTCATAAGCTGTGGATTATCTGGAGCCATCAGAAGCTGAAACAGGAAAGGGAAGATTTTCCCTAGAGCCTTGGAAGAAGCATGGGCCTACTGACACCTTGATTTCAGAATTCTGGCCTGGAGGCCAAGAGATAACTAGTTTCTGTTATTTTAAGTCTTCCAGTTTGTGGCACTTTCTTGTGGCCACCTTAGGAAACCAAATCCAACAAGAAAAACAAATTTGTATTGTGGTAAATTAGGAAGAATAGAAGTGAGGAAAGGACACTATTATCAAAAAGAGAAGTTTTATATACTACAGACACAAGAAAGAGACATTCTCTTGCAGAACAGAACAGGACACAGAAGAACGGCAGAAGGAAGACTGAAAAAAGAGAATCTGAATATAGGCAGGAGAAAATCCGTAGCTGTGAGCCATTCGTTCTGACTGAAAGTTATCAGAATCACACTATATAACATTTGTTGTTTGACACACACATATTTGGGTTTAACTTAATTACAACTGTATGTTTATCTAATTTATTACATCATTTTGTTTCCTTCATAAAGCCCCAAATTTAAAAAACTTCCTATTTTATTATTGATAGATGCCTGAATTGGGTAGCTATCAATTGAGGATGGTTATCAAAATTCTTGTGACAAGGGAATAGATCGGCGCCTAACATGAGTTGTTTCTGTTTGAAAATACCACTTGTTAATATCATGCAATCAGCCTCTCAAATATGCCATTGCTGTATTTTACATAGAACACTTACTTCTGTTAAATTTATAAAATATTTCTGGCTCTAATATATATAGCTTTCTCCATGAAAGAAAAAATTAAAAGATTTCTCTTTTCTTTTTTCATGGGTATAACAAACTGTCTAAGCAGCCCTGGCATTTCAGGGATCAAGGGAAGCTGGGATGAAGGCAAAGTGTGTTTAAAATGTTTCTGTGTAAATATATGAACAATGTATAATCAATACAAACTATTCTTAAAAAAAAAAAAAAAAAGAAAGAAAGAAAAGAAAATGTTTTTAGTAAAACTGAGGAATCCTGGGGTCCAAGAGTGCTAATTGCAACTCAGGATACGTGCACTTTCAGTGATGTACCAATGTGAAGGAGCAATAATAAAAGACTCAGACCTCTTCCTCTTCCTCCTCTTCCTCGTCTAGCTCCTCATAACCCTCCGCTTCAGCCTGAAAGTCGTCTGTTTCTTCCTCAAAATCTTCAACGTTTAACTCCCATGCAGCATATTGGAAAGGTTCTGTAAAAAGAAAAAAAGAAACACGTAGGAAGATATTTTGTGCTAAAATGATATTTGCATATATTACAGTATTTAAAGATTAGGAAAATTAATTGTAGTGACTGATCTCTTAGTTTAAATGTGTAGGCAACTTGGCCTTTGGAATTTTTTTTTTTTTTTTTTTAAATCCTCACCTGAGGATATTTTTCCATTTTTTGTACAGATAGAGTGGGAGGGAGAGAGAGGAAGGGAGAGAGAGAGAGAAACATCGACGTGAAGGGACACATCGAGTGGCTGCCACCCGCACGACCAACCAGGGCCGGGGACAAACTGCAACCGAAGTACGTGCCCTTAGCGGGAACCGAACCCGGGTCTCTCCAGACCGCAGGCCGACGCTCTAACCGCTGAGCCAAACCGGCCAGGGCTACCTTTGGAATTTTTAAGGCAATAACTGGCCAGTTTGGCTGGTGCTGTTTCTGGCCCACAGCTGTTCTGATTGGCAGGTGCCTGCGTTATGAGAGTTGTTAAATACTTTAACCATCATCACTTGATATGTTGAATGTTTCCCTTTATGGACCATCAAAAAAGGTTTTAAACTTGCACAGGGCTTTTAATAATATTACCTGCTCTTCACAGTAAATGTTAGGATTACAGCCCTTACTTTCCATAATCTCAACTGCTTTTTGAAGTAGTTCCTCTGGAGTTTTGCCAACAATCTCCAACTTGAAAATTGGGACGAAAGAGTCAGCGATTACTGTTTCTGTGGGTTTCCAGTTGGAGATGAAAGATTTAATCTTCTCTTTAAGTGGTTCCATTTCAGGAACATCAGGGTAACTGTCTTCAGGAAATTCAGGTAGCACAACTTTTGAATAAAGGTTAAAGAAAAGAAAAAAAGAGGCCTCAAACATGGTATCTTGACCCACATTGCCAAAATAATTTATACTCTATAATATTTTAAAAACATAGGAAAGAAATAAACATATTGTTCTCAGCAATGTATATTGATAAATTCATATTTTAATTATGCTCTATTCTGTGTATTGTTTGTAGATGAATTATTACCTATTAATAAAATTATTTGGACAATTACCATGTATTTCATATGGTAACTTTAACTATTAATAAAATGTATAAAATAAAATTTGATGAAAAACAGTGTTATAAGCTGGCTAGATATATTTTTACTATAATAAGCTAAATAAATATACTACATCAACTGGCATACAATATAAAAAGCAGTAAGTAGAAAGTTGGAACTATGCCTAAAATAAGGGAGTAGGCCCATTGTAGGAGAATACAAAATGCACTTTCATGCACTAACTACTTTTATTTTATAAGCTAACCTGTTTCATATAATTTAGTTTCCAGGCCCTCTTTGGATTCTTTTGGAATTTCTGTCCCAACTGTAGTTTCCTCAGTAGGATCATATGCTTAGAAAAGAAATCTAATAGTTAGTGTTTGAACATTAAAACATTGTTTCTTTATGAAAGTTTTGGCACAAAGAAAATTTCAAAACACAGTTTAAATTGTATATGATATGTCTGATTGAAAATACAGTTCTTGTTAGAAAATGTATGGCCTAAGAATACCTAATAGTATAAGATGGAAAATGAAGGATATTCTTTTTTTTTTTTTAATCCTCATCCGAGGACATTTTTCCATTTTTTGTACAGACAGAGTAGGAGGGAGAGAGAGGAAGAGAGAGAGAGGGAAACATCGATGTGAAAGGGACACATTGAGTGGCTGCCACCCGCACGACCAACCAGGGCCGGGGACAAACTGCAACCGAGGCACATGCCCTTAGCGGGAACCGAACCCGGGTCTCTCCGGACCGCAGGTGGACGCTCTAACCGCTGAGCCAAACCGGCCAGGGCATGAAGGATATTCTTAAACATACTGATGGACAATGACCAGAATAATAACTGATACAATTCTGACTGATAACAGTCCTGTCTACAGCAATGAGCTAGAATTGATGTTAAATGGAGTAGGAGGCTGGCTTTAGAACACCCAAAGGAGGTTCCCTGGGAGAAACAGTAAGGAGATAAAAGGCAGTAAAACGAAATTGTCCTTTAGACCTGTTAGATTAGTAAATACTACTTATGAGACACTCTGGGTATATGTTTGATATGTCATGTTTAATGGATGTCTGTTTCCTTTATTTATTTAATTTTGGTACTTTATGGCCTGTCTTCCTGCAAAAGAAAATACTAAAGTTTCTGGGTGGCTGCACAAGTCAACAGAAGTGTGGGACTCTTAAAAGGAAACTAGGTATTTCATCCTGCTAGCTCCTCTGTTGGGCACAAGGGATATGATTTTGTACTTATTGTCCCATAAACCTAATGTCAACCCCTGTAGTAAAAATGATCTATGTTGAACTTGAGATTTCTCAGTGTGAAAATCCCCCTTAGTCCTGGTTCTTTTACCAGCTGATAGCAAGTTCCTAGTCCTTAATTGCCCCAGGCTTTGCGGGTATTTGAAGACCTTTAGTTCGCAGCATTAGTTTCTAATCCAATACTAACTGTGCATTTAGGAACCTCATTCCCATCGTGCTGGGTACCCCACTGTCTTGCTGCTTAAGGCCCACTTTCCCATCTTGAGAATGACTTTCATTGCCCAAAGACTCTGTCTTGCCCTGCCCCACCCACCAAACTGCACTGCTGCAGCAGGGCAGACTCCATGGGTGTGAGACCTGAGCAGTTTACAGTCTCTCACTCAGAATGGCCTCACACTTAGTTTAGTGCTCTTTGGTTGTCAATTTGAACTTTTTAATAGTTTTATCTTTGAACTTTGTTTTGGAAACAAAATCCAAAGGGGCTCAATGGGACAATAGAGCATGCATATGAGCAGAGATATACACAATATGTGTTAGCCAGTCCTTGCCACCGCATTCTCATGAGAGTTCCTGATGCCCTGTCATGAGTATAGAATTCTGGGGGAACCCATGATGTGTGGGAGTAAGTATGATTGAGTGGTGGGGGCAGGCTGGGGAAGATGCTGATAGACCCGAGAGACTACGCTTTCCCTTTGAACCAGAACTTGCTTCAGATGCAGAAAGAAGGTGATAGCATTCAAAGAGACAAGAATGACCAAGGAACCCCATTTCTTACTCATGTCACTTTCCGGTAGTAACTAAACACATAGGCTGAAAATGAGAAGGAAAGGAAAAGACAGGGCAACCCAGTGTTTTTTCTTTCAGTCCTTCTTTCATTACCAGGAAGCTGAAGATAGAGAGTGTTGGTAGAATATGTGCATATCAAGAAGTGAAATAAAAAGCTGAGTTTGCTTTGTGCACAAAACTTACTAGTATTCTGGTAAGAATGAACTACATATGTATGTACGAGCTACCAGATATGAATTGTGTCAATTTCAGTGATTCTGCATAGGAATTAAATGTTCTTTGATTGTCATTTAAAAATGGCATTGCACAATATAAAGATGAATGGTAAAATTCATGCTAATATCTTAACATTTTAATATTTCTTTACTTAGGATGACATTAAATAACAAGTAAAAATCAATCCATGAGAAGTTGAGAGAGAGATTATGGAAGAAAAAAGCTTTATATTTGAGTACCTTTAACGGCACTTTTTCCCTGCGTTTTGAACAATGTGCCCCACTAATGACGTAGACAGCCCTGTTCCTGAGTACCAGATGGGGCAGAGCAGCAGCGCTCTCCTCCGGTACTGCAAACCATGACATTTGGAATAAATGGCTGCTCTTGGGGGCCTCATTTCTCCATTTTTAGCCTGTTTCTATTTTCTTAATATATACACACATATGCACACACAAACACACCAATGGACATGAGTAGAATTAAGGATAAAGTCTAACCTGATTCAGGTTCTGTTTCAGGAACCTCGGACACTTCAGGCTCCTCAGGTAAGAACTCGCTGGTCTCCTCGGTTACTTCAAGGGCCTCAGGCCCTTCAGGAATATCAGTCTCCTCACCTTCAATCTCCTCAAAAGCCTCAAGCTCAGCTTCTTCCACTTCTAGGAAAAGTGAGAAGAAATAAATTATCATTCAGATTAGATCAGCAAATATTAATTGGGTGCTAGGCACTCTGATAAGTGCTGAGACCCAAAGAACAAAGAGGAGTGGTCCCCTGCCCTGCTGGAGCATGGGGGTTAATGAGGGGGAGAGATACATTTTCTATATATTTTACCTATTACAATGTAGTGGTATGGAATTATAGTCATATACTCAGTGCATTGGGAGCACCAGTCTAAGGGTTCATTTAAAACAGGAAATGTTTATAGCAGTCCCAAATATTATAATAGTAAAAAACTGGAAACAGCCCAAATGTCCATTCAATAAGGAAATGGCTAGAACTACACTGTCTAACACTTACCACTACAAGATATGGCTATTGGGCACCTAAAATGTGGCTAGTCCAAACTGAGATGCGTTGTAAACATAAAATACACAATGGATTTCAAAGAATTAGTATGAAAAATTGAATGTAGTCCTGACTCAGTTGGTTGGGCATCATCCAATGTATTGAAAGATTGCAGGTTTAATTCCCACTCAGGCCCAGGTTTCAGACTCCATCCCCAGCAGGAGACATGAAGGAGGCAGCAGATGGATGTTTCTCTCTCTCTCTCTCTCTCTCTCTCTCTCTCCCCCTTCCTCTCTCTTTAAAAATCAATTAAAATATCTTTTAAAAATATATTATAAAAATTGAATTAAACTATATCAATAATTTTTGCATTGATTACATGGCAAAACAGTAGTTTGGATATAGCATATTAAATAAAATATAATTCATTTTACCTGTTTCTTTTTTACTTTTTATGTGACTACTAGAAAATTTAGTTACATATATGGCTTGCATTATATTTCTATTGGGCAGCACTGAGCTAGACTCTATATTTTCTTATAGTTAATAATAAGTAATAGAGCATGTTAATCAATATGTTAAATGGACATTTAAAAAGCAATACTTCAAATTTTCTGTAGTTGCTGATGACCATTATCAGAAATATATGCATGGAAATCTTTCAGGAAGAAGATGGAGTGAATGGTGGAGTCAGAAAAATCCATCTTCCCAATTCCTTTACTATATTTATTAAATTGTCTGAAAAACTAGGTAATTTCTATGCAAAGATGATGGGAAAAAATAAATGAACTTGACTTCTGGATCCTTGTGGGAATTCCTTCCTCCCAGTGAGTACCTTCTAAGAATCACATTCAAATTCATAGACTCCTGAATTTTATCCGTGGACCTCAGGTTAAGAACTCCAGTCTTAACAGAAACTTGTTGATTAAGTTCTTCTATAATAGAAGTTTAAGTGCAAAGACAATGGGGTATAGTAAGAGTTTGACTGTTTTGTCATCTTCTGCAGGATCCTTCTAGTAGAAGTAATCCCAATAGCCATGTCATCTATGACCAGATCAACCATTTTAGGGCACGCTGCAAGTTCTCCTGCTGTGTACCCCTCTTAGAGGGTGCATGAGTAAGTAGGTATGTGTATCTTTGACCTATGAACCCATTATTCCAGTGACCATATAATTTTTATCCAAAATGGAAGACGTTGAGAATGAAAGGGGGTCAAATAAGTACTTCAGGATCATAGCCATAAACCTGGACTCCCATGGGCAAATAAAAAAGTGTGGTCACCCTGTCTATAATTCACTGAAATACCGCAGTTGCTTACAACAATACTACAAAATTAAATGACACATTATCTTTCAACTGGTGTGACACATTATTAGTCGTATCCCTCTCTGCTTGCCTTTCAATTTCTCATCCATAGCTTCCAATAGCCTTTGATGTTCTTCTTCTATTCTCAATGCCTCTTCTTTGGCTTTTCTGAAATAAAAAAAAAAAAGTCCACAATTTAATTATCTTTGGAAATTCAAACAGCTCATAAAATTATAGGACTTAAGGCTTAGAGTAGTAAAAATAAAGAGTAAACTGTTTATAATAGTCATTGTATTTTTACTTCACAATTAAGTGTTTAATTTACTCATACTAAGGTCAGTTAATATTCAGGGTATGTTTTTTGGGACACATCGAGTGGCTACCACCCGCACGACCAACCAGGGCCGGGGACAAACTGCAGCCGAAGTACGTGCCCTTAGCGGGAACCGAACCCGGGCCTCTCTGGACCGCAGGTGGACGCTCTAACCGCTGAGCCAAACTGGCCAGGGCAGGGTATGTTTTTTGGAAGAAAGTTTGGAATGTTGCACTTTGAAAAGCTGTGGCTATTTATTAGGAAATCTGGCAAAATTAATAAAGGACTAACTACAGGTTGAAAAGGCAAATGAGAGAATTGTGCCATTTTTTTCCTTCTGATTGAGAAATGTTTAGAATATAATTTTAAGTGAAAAAAGTATAATATAGAACTATGTATAATATAATTTTAATTTTGTATTTTAAATGTATATAAACAATAAAAGACTAGAAGGAACAAATCAAATTGTTAATAGTTATAATCTGGAGGATGGCATTATGAGTTTTTAATTTAATTTTTTTGCATTTAAATTATTTTTCATATTGAATAGAAAATTTGTAAATTTATCTTTGCAATAAGAACAATTCTTTTCTGATTTATTTTCTTTCTAACACAGTCATGATGAAATTTAAAGAGACTCGGAGTATGGAAACTTTAATATCTGGAGGGAATGTTTTTCATTAGGGTTAAAGCACTAAACTTGCCTTAAAGGTGAAGACTAGTATAAGAAAAGTTAGTAAAATGGCACAGAAAAGCAATATATATCAAAAGTAAAAAAGTGTATACTTTTGCCAGGCTAGTGTGGCTCAGTGGATTGAGCGTGGTCCCATGGACTGACAGGTCCTGGTTTGATTCCTGGTCAGGGCACATGTCTGGGTTGTGGCTTGATCCCCAGTAGGGGGCGTGCAGGAGACACCTAATCTATGTTTCTCTCTCAATGTTTTTGTCTCTATCACCTTCTCCCTTCCTCTCTTTCTAAAACTCAAGAAAATCAAATAAACATTTAAAAGGCGACATACAGAAACATAGAAAAGTCTGCTTCAGTCTGGGCAGGTCTTTAATATAAAGAAGTTTATAAAGATATACAAATTTTGAATCAAACGAAGTAAAAACTGATTATAGAGATTGCTCAGAAAATTCTATATAGTAAAAGAATAGTGGGGAGAACGTGAAGATCTCTTTTCCCTTTATAAAATTATAGTTGTATATATTTTTTATATATTTAAAATACCTCAGTCTAGGAATCATATAAACTTTGTTTTACTTTTATGTCAATATCTTCATCTGTTCTCAAATATTTGACTATTTCTCATACACTAGAAAGAAATTAGGTAATCCCTTAAATCCTAAAGATTGTAGCTTCAGTTGTAACACACATTTAAAGGCTATAAATATATGTAATCAGTTTGTAATTGTTCTCAAAATTAATAATACTTCTTAGTCTATATATCAAATAATTTTATTAATTAGTCTAACTAAACTTTGTACATTTTTGTGTTAAGTTCCTAAAGAAATGGTTAACTTAGATCAGCGACTTTCAACTGGTGTGCCACAACAACTTTTAAAACATGCAATCAATACCTGATTATTTTAGTCACGGGCACTGATCTCTTTTCCCTTAGATTGTCAAATAAAAAAATGACACAGCCAACACAGTAGCCGTCTGAGGTGGGAATGAATAAAAATTATACCTATTTTTTTGTCTGATCAGCAAAAAATATATGTTTTGGTGTGCTGCATAATTTTAGTAATTAGTTTATGTGTGCCATGGGATGAAAAAGGTTGAACATTGCTGACTTAGATGAATAATGAACACTGAAAAAAAGCCCCTGACACACACTTATCAGTTATCTGCCCTCTATTTCCCAATAATCCAGATAATAGATTCATAATTTCCAGAGTTTAGATAGCTCTCCTAAATCCCAATTAAAGTTGTTAATATCTGAAGGGGAAAAGAAAATAGCATTTGAGAAGGCTCCTACAGGTGCCATCATTAATTGTAGGAGGTTTAGTGGACTAACATGAAATTTAGTTACTAAATGTCTTGGCTTTTGTGACTGACAATTAGGAATCCCAGTGAACAACCTAAAACTTAAAGTATTTAATAGCATATTTCACCACGAAAGGACAGTTAGCTAATGAAGTCACTGTTTCTTATTATACTTTAGTTCCCATTGTGAAGGACTTCATAGTTTATTAAAGTTTAGTCTTGACCCCAGTCACAAAGATATATGTTTACATTCCTAAAACTTCATTGCATCCACATTGGAGAATAAACTTGATGTTAAGCCTCTGAGTATAGTAAGTAACTAGACATTTCTTTTCCTTATTAGAACATAGTTGGGCTTTGGATTTTAGTCATATCACACAAGTGTATTTTCATTTATTTTTTATCATGTTATTTCTTCAATTTATGAATTCTAGTTAGCAAAATTATTTAAATCACAGGTAAATATGGTAAAAAAAATCTTATCTCTGCTTATTTATTTTGCAGTGTCTCTTGAGAGTCGATATTTGATTTATAATAAATTTGATTTGGGACTGTGAAAACACCCACAACTCTGTAGAGATTCTGAAAGTATTTGTGAAATGATTGTTTTTCTTGAAATTTATTAGAATTGGATCAGTTATACTACTATTTTGATATTAAAAGAGATTTCATAAATATAAATTGTGAGTAGATCTTCAACAGCTTCATAAATGATTCATTAACCTGTTTTATTAGCCAGGCAGATTTTACCTTGCTGCTTCTTCCTCTGTCTTTTTCTTTTGTAGATCATCTAATAATCTTTCTAATATCTTAGAGTCAATTTCAGATTTATTCTCTAAATACAGCCTATTGAGTAAATATTTTCCTGAAATATAGAGAAACAGAATAATATTAATGTTGAAGCTCTATAAAGTATAGTGAGATATATTTTGAAAATTAACAATAAAAAATTAATTCGGCCTATATCCAAATATATTTTCCTTTGAACATTTATTTAAATAGAGCCCAGATTCTTTAAAATATTAAGAAACCATCTTAAATCTCATTTAAAAGATATATATTGGCATGTTACAAACAACTAAAACATGAAAAATGTAGTATATTATATTTTCACTCTGGAAACTCTTTTCAAGTATATTTTCCTAAAATGCAAAATCAATGAATATTCTTGGCTCCCTTGTCAAAGATTAGTTGACCACATATACGTGGGTCTATTTCCGGGCTCTTTATTCTGTTTCATTGGCCTATGCATCTGTTTTTATGTCAGTACCATACTGTTTTGATTATTATAGCTTTGTACAAAGTGACAGAATAATTAAAATTTAGTTCTGCTATCTTTATGTACTTGACATGTCCCATTTGAGGTGGAGAAAGACTAATATATCATATTTTCCCTCAGCCTAATATATATATTTCATTTAGAGTTTATAGTGCTGACTGAGAAGGGGTGTTAAATTCTTAGCTCCAAAGAATAATTACAAGAGCCTGTTGGAACATCCAGTGCTCCAGCACACTACCCCTGGCCACCTACTCGGTGGATGGATGCCTCATTTTGTGTATCTCTAGGCTGTAAAGGATTGCTGGGTGGTATTTGTACTTAGTGAGGGTGGAGAGTTTTCCATTTTATATTTTAACTAAAAATATTATCAGTACCAAAAACTTCACTTTCAAATTTACATGACAAATATTTACCAACCATTGTTTTCTGTATCTGACAAACAGATTACTAAATCTGGTGTAAGTCCTTTCTCAACTAAGACTGTCCACAGTTCTTTAGTAATAGGGCAGTTGTCCAGTACCCATCCTCCATATTTTGGGGCCCCAGAAAACCTGTTCTTGTTTTCTTCAGTGACCTGTAAAAAAAAATGACAGACTGATATTACCATCATAGCTAGACAAGTCAAGGTTGCTACCTTGATATATCACTTTTTGTAAACCATAACCAACTATCTTCTGAGTTCTTCCAATTTTCAGAAGAAAAAAAGAGCCACTTAATTTCAAAAGAGAAACTTAAAGCAAGAAAGTTATAAGTTTTAAAAGTTTAGAATGGAAAGCAAAAGCCTTTATTAAATGAATACAACAACACATTTTCTGTTATATGCTATTCAATATTACAGAATTCATACCCTAATTTAGAAGGTCTGGGGTGAGGCCAGAGAGTCTGCATTTCTAACATGCTCCCAGGTGATGATGATCTATGGCACACTCTTTGAGTAGTAAGGTCCTAAGTCCAGCTTGCCTTTTTTAATGACAACACTCTTCACTTCCCCTTTGCTTCTCATCCCTCAGGGAGAAAGCTGAGTTCTGAGATGGTTACTAATAGCCATGAAAGGAATTGGTCAAAACAAATGTTGCAGGTGCTTAATGAGTTTTGCTAAACTCTCCCCAACTTGCCACCAAGCAGCAGTAGCTTCAACGTAAGTATGAAAATTAGTAATGTGGATCTGTGAATACACCAATTCTGAGGGTTTTAAACAAGTTTGTGTGACACCAGGTAATTTCAGAATGTTAGAAGTAAGTCAAAAGGCAAGAGATGGCAAGTATAACCCTCTAGCCTATATAGAATTTAAGATTATTTGCTTTATGAATTTCTGTCTGAATGAAGAGTCTTTAGAAAAAAAATTGTAAACACTTTGAAACGTGTAACATAAGAGATTTAGAGGGTAAAAAAAAGCTATAGAGAAGAAATGTAAGTGAAATAAATAAGACAGAGAAAGACAAATACTGTATGGTTTCCTTTATAAGTAGAATTTAAAAGAACTAAACTCACAGAAACAGAGAACAGATTGGTGATTGCTAGAGTGGGGGGTGGGGGGCGGGGGGCGGATAAGTGAAGGGAGTCAAAAGGAATAAACTTTCAGTCATAAGATAAATAAGTCCTAAGGATGTAATGTACAGCAAGGTGACTATAGTTAACAATGTGGTATTGTATATTTGAAAGTTGCTGAGAGAGTAGATCTTAAGATTATTACTACACACAGATAAAAAGAGTAACTGTTTGAGGTGATGGATGTTAAATAAACTTATTGTGATAATCATTTTTATATATATGAATATATCAAATCATTATGTTGTATACCTTAAACTAATACAATATTATATGTCAATTATATCTCAATAAAGCTGGAAAAAATATAAATGATTAATAAAAATGCTACTATCCAAGTTTCAAAGATATAAAAATTAAAGCAATATTGCCATGGCCAGTTTGGCTCAGCAGTTAGAGCGTCAGCCTGCGGTCCAGAGAGACCTGGGTTCAGTTCCCGCTAAGGGCATGTACCTCGGTTGCAGTTTGTCCCCGGCCCTGGTTGGTTGTGTGGGTGGCAGCCACTCGATGTGTCCCTTTCACGGTGACATCTCTCTCTCTCTCTTTCTTCCTCTCTCTCCCTCCCACTCTATCTGAACAAAAAATGGAAAAATGTCCTCAGGTGAGAATAAAAAAAAAAAAATTAAAGCAATAACATATAATTTATAGTTTCCCCATCTCAATTTTTTTGAAAAAAAATTTAATGATTTTATAGTATTTTATCAAATGAATAAATCTTAATTTGTTTAATCATTCTCTTATTGTTAAATATTTATATAATTTATAATTTTATTATACCATTGTACTCATGTGGTGAATATCTGTATGTACAAACCTTTGTCCAAATATATATTTCTTTAGGCTAGGTTCCTAGAAGACGTGTTTTTAGGTTAAAGAGAATAAGAAATAAACATCTTTTGGCTTAGCATGTACATTGCAACATTGCTTCCAAAGTGTCTGTATCAATTTTTATTTCTGCTATGTGACTATGTCATTACAGCCTCACTAATATAAATGTTTTAAATACATTTTGCCAACTTTGCAGAGAAATTATATCTCATTGTTTTAATTTTCATATTTTTATTGAAACTTGAACATTAAAATTTTTCAATTAACCTTTTGTATTTTTTCTTTGATAAAATAATCTGTTTATATCTTTTGCCTGCTTTTATATTGGGATATTAGATTTTCCTTGATTTGCAAGAAATTTTTATATTAAGAAATTACTGTCATTTTATTATAAATTTTATTATAAATACTTTCCCCAATTTGACTTTTGCCTTAAAATTTTGATTTTCATAGAGTACTTGACCATTCCAATATTACTATACTTTCTTATAGTTAAAAAAAATGCCATTTTTCACTTCTGGTCAAGATGGAGGCCTAGGTGAACATGATACTCGCCTCCTCCCACAACCACCTCAAAATTACAACTAAACTATTCAACAACCATCATTCAGAACTGCCTGAAACCAAGCTGAATGGAAGTCCTACAACTACAAAATTAAAGAAGAAGCTACATGGAGACTGGTAGGAGAGGTGGAGGCGCAGACGGGCTAGTCGCATACCCACATGTGGCAGATAAAAATTAGGAGGATACCTTGGCTGGGAAGGTCCTCCTTGAGGAACAAGGGGTCCCCCATCCCACACAAGGCTCCCTAGCTCAGGGTTCCAGTGCCAGGAAGAGAAGTCCCCATAACGTCTAGCTGTAAAAACCAGCAGGAATTGGGGCTGACAGAGGCTGAGGCTTTTAGAGACCCAGGCAGTTCCTCTTAAAGGGCCCAAGCACTGACTTACTAGGACTTGCTCTTTCTGGGTTCTAGCATGGAGGAGGCAGCTTGAAAGGTGCCAGAGACATATGGGGAAGAACTGAGTTGTTTGGCATTGGGGTGAGAGCTGGAGAGGCAGGTTTCTCCCGGACAGACGTGCTGGTAGAGGCCATTGTGAGCCCTTCCCACATGGAGCTGGCAGAGGGGCATCATATCTGGGACTCCAGCAACCTGCTCACACTGTTGGCCCCATCCTGGTGATTCCCTGAGGCCCTGCCCCACCCAACTGTTGGGCCCACCCAAGCTGTTTCTAGTGGCTTTACCATAGGATTGGCCTGTCTTGGCTCCTGCTTCAGATTTTCCTAAATTCTCTCAAACAAACAGCATCTGGCCTCTGCGAACCCAATACTTCTCCATAATTGACCCCAGGCCCAGCACTAGAAGCCACAGCTTGGCTTTGCCTGGGCACCACCAAGCCCAGTACAAGCAGCAGCCATTTGCATATTACTTTGTAGCTTATGCCTGGTGGCCCTGGGTAGAACACAGGTAGAGGCTGACCTTGCCTCAGAGCCAGCACACCCAGTGGACAGCTTCAGACAATGGGGAAGTGCCATCACCTAACCATCTCCACAAGTGAAACACTCAAGGAGTGGAGTCAGTAGGTACCAGAGCCCTGCTGAACTAAGTCTTGCTCTGTGTGATGGGCCCCTGCACAGTTGATCCTCCAAAGTAATAAGAGGTTAGTGGTCAGTGGGCACAGCCAGTCCTGGCAGCTGATGTGCCAACAGTAATCAAGACTCAATTACAACAGAAGGGTGTACAGTTCACACTAGGGGTGCACCTTGAGGGCCCAGTTGGGGTGATCAGGGAGACTGTGCCACTGGACCCTACAGGACACCTACTATAATAGGTCACCCTAGGAAGTCTAGGAGACACAGCAACTTTACCTAATACATAGAAAAAAACACAGGGAGGCAGCCAAAATGAGGATACAAAAAAATATATCCCCAAAAAAAGATCAGAATAAAACTCCAGGAAAAGAATTAAACAAAATGGAGATAAGCAATCAATCAGATACAGAGTTCAAAATATTGGTTATAAGGATGCTCAAGGAACTTAGTGAGAACTTCAAGGAACTTAGTGAGGACCTCAAGAGCATAAAAAAGGACCAGTCAGAAATGAAGGATGCACTAACTCAAATAAAGAATAATTTACAGGGCATCAATAGTAGAGTAGGAGAAGCCAAGAAAGAAACCATCGATTTGGAATATAAGGAAGCAAAAAACACCCAATCAGAACAGCAAAAAGAAAAAAGAATCCAGAAAATGAGAATAGTGTAAGGAGCCTCTGGGACAACTTCAAGAATACCAACATTTGCACCATGGGTGTACCAGAAGGAGAAGAGAGAGAGCAAGAAATTGAAAACCTATTTGAAAAAATAATGACAGAAAAAACTTCCTTAGCTTGGTGAAGAAAACAGACATACAAGTACAGGAAACACAGACAGTCCCAAACAAGATGAACCCAAACAGGTCCACACCAAGACACATCATCATCAAAATGCAAAAAGGTTAAAGATAAAGAGAGAATTTATTTATTTTTTTTCAAAGAGAGAATCTTAAAAGCAGCAAGAGAAAAGCAGTTAGTTACCTACAATGGAGCTCCCATAAGACTGTCAGAAGATTTCTCGAAAGTAATTTTGCAGGCCAGAAGGGAGTGGCAAGAAATATTCAAAGTGATGGAAAGCAAGGACCTACAACCAAGATTTCTCTATCCTGCAAAGCTATCATTTAGAATCGATGGACATAGTTTCCCAGACAAGAAAAAGCTAAAGGAGTTCATTACCAACAAACCACTATTAAATGAAATATAATAGTCTTCTTGAAGAAGAAAAAGAACAGAAATATGAACAATGCAATGGCAATAAATACAATTGAATCTACAAAGAAAATGAACAAGCAGAACAGAAACAGATACATAGATACAGAAAACTTTCTGATGGTTGCCAGATGGGAGGGGTGTTGGAGGGATGGGTGAAAAAGGTGAAGGGATTAAGAAGTAGAAATTGGTTGTTAGACTGACGAACCTCAAAGGGAAGGGGGTAGGTGAGATGGGAAGAGATAAACCAGAGAACTTATATGCATATATGCACAACAAATGGACACAGACAATATTGTGGGGAAGGCCCTGGCTGGTTTGGCTCAGCAGTTAGAGAGTCGGCCTGCGGTCCAGAGAGACCCGGGTTCAGTTCCTGCTAAGGGCATACACCTTGGTTGCAGTTTGTCCCCAGCCCTGGTTGGTCGTGCAGGTGGCAGCCACTCGATGTGTCCCTTTCACGCCAATGTTTCTCTCTCTCTCTCTTCCTCTCTCTCCCTCCCACTCTATCTGAACAAAAGAATGGAAAAATGTCCTCGGGTAAGGATAAAAAAAAAAATTAAAAAAAATATATTGTGGGGAAAGGCAGAAAGGGGGAGAGAGTGGGGAGGAGGGGGGAACAGTGGGGGAAAAGAGGGGGATATTTGTAATACATTCAACAATTAAGATAAGTTTTTTAAAATGCCATTTTTACACTTAACTAATTTATATGATATTTATTATCATTTTAAAACTTTTATTGTTGAGATGTCTTACTTTTACAACAGATGTCTTCCATATTTTACCCTTTGATCCCCTCTACCCTGCTCCTGCCCTACCCAAGTCCTTTTTCCGAGTGGAAGGGAGGGAGGGAGGGGAAGAGAAAGAGTGAGAGAGAGACATCAATGTGAGAAAGACTCACCGATTGGTTGCCTCCCATATGACCCTGACTGGGGACAGGAATCAAACCTGCAACCCAGGTACGTGCCCTTGACTGGGAATCAAACTCGAGAACCTTTGGTCCTTGGGTTGACACTCTAATCCTTGAGCCAAATGAGCCAGGGCTTCACTGCACTCCTATTGTTTGTGTCCATGGGCTATGCATTCATTTATGCATAGAAGTTCTTTGGTTTATTTTTTTATAAGGTGACAATCTAAATTGGTTTTCCTCAATAATTAATTTTATCAACACCATTAAATCTTCCTTTGGATTATGATGTAAACTTTAGGATATAGTAAAGTTATATCTCTACTGAAGTCTATTTCTGTACCATCTCTGTGGTTTTGTTCATTCTTATATGACTATCAAGTTTATATACTATTGTAGCATTTCAACACATTTTGCTCGCTGGTAGAGCTATCTCTCTATTATACTTTGCCAAACTGTTCTTACCTACTCTTAACCACTGCTTCTTCCAAATCAGCTTTAGAGTTATTTTGTCAGTTTCCAAAATATATTGAGATTTGAATTAGCGTTAATTCAATCTACAAATTAATTTGAGAATGACATTTTAAGATTATGTCTTTACATGTGAAAAATGAGTAACTAACTAGCTACTTTTTGAAAATGGGTTTCCTATTCACAGAGATCACAGAAAATAGATGACAAATAAAACAGTCTCCTGCACAGGTCTCTGTTCTCTTAAGAAAGACAATCTGATATGAGATTTGATGGTGAAAACTCGTGTGATTTAAACTCCCCTGCAATCCCAGAGTCACAATGTAGTATCTAGTGATACTACATATATTTCTCTATCAGAAGTATTTTAGTAGTACTTCCTGTAGATTGGTATCCTCCAGAATAAATTCTGAAAGGAATGGAGAAATGTGTCAGTGAAAGGAGAGGGTGGGACATTCAGAGGGCTAAAGATGTCCCTCATTTGCATGTCTCCTGCTCAAGGATATGTGGTCTCACCTTCCAGGCAGAGATGACAGCCCCGACCTTGGTAAAACTCCTACACCTTGTACTTATCTGTTTATTATTTAGCACATAGTAACTCTATTATTGGATTATTGGTCAGCCTTCCCCAACCTGACTGTTAACTCCTTAGAAAGAGCTGAGTTTAATTCATCTTCATATCCCTAGGATTTAGTACAGTACAGGGCAAATTGTAGGTGCTCAGAGGGTTTCTGAAGAAATAAATTGATGACAGAACAAACAACCTGAAGAAATTCAGAGGAAGCTGAAAGATCTCTATTGGAAGTTCAGAATGGGTACAGCAACTCACCTTGGATATAACCTGGGGCTCAAGGAGCCCACCCAATGTGTTACAGAGTGGTTATATACTTTCACACATAATAATTTTAAATTGCATCATTTTCAAATTATAGAGAAGTTCATTGAGAGTCCAAAACTAATTTGTTTTCCTTGACTTTACTCTGCTTACTCAAGGTGTCTGTGCAAAACAGACCCATATGGATATCTTGTTCTTTGTAAACAAAAGATAGGCTTTCTCATTTGCCATCGATAGGATATAGTACCTGAGGCTTTATTTTCCCTTCAGATTGGAAAATCACTCATGTGTCCATCCATCTCCTCAAGGAACACACATTCAGGGTGGTTGGATGAAGTTAACAATGGAGCAAAATTTGTCTTGGTTTACAACTAATTAGATGAAATATATAACTTTGGTAACGGCCTCTGTACCAACATTTAACCAACTGACTGAATTAAAAACAGTAAAAGTTAATGAAGAATTAATTTACAAACTATGAAATTGTATAACATAATTGTTGATAAATGAAAAACCACCAAAGAGCATCAGCAATTGTTCACTGAAGTACATCATACATAATAATGTTGACTATAAAATATACATGAACTTGAAGGCTACAGATTTCAATACTGTCACTCTAAATTAATTATATATATATTAGGTTAACATTTTCTCAGTTTTTATTAAATTAATGATAAAAATAAACAGCCTGGATTTCTTACCTCTTCCAGGATGTCCTCTAAGATTTCAGCATGTTTTTCATATGGCTGTTCAAAGTTCATATCCTTTGTCATTTTCACAGTCTCCTTTATTATAGAAAGAACGTCTGGATGATTTGCAGTTATCTCTTCTATGGAGTCTTCTGTTGAGTTTAAAGTAAAACAAGTTAATAAACTAGTGCTATTAATAATTTTAGTGGACAATTCTATTTGCAATAGAACATGATTGCTAATACCTGACCTAACAAAGCACTATCTTTGTGTGACGATAGCACACTCTAGACTCTAGAGTCTAGAAGAAAGGGGAAATAGACTCTGGAGAAAATGTCAAGTCAAAAATCACAACATATCAGAACAGTGGCTTAAAGTCAGTGCAGCAGAATGAAAGTGAATGAGGCAAGAAGTCATGCTCAGGAGTCATAGGCAGGAGTCAAAACTCAGAAAGCTGGGGAGATCAGGTAGGCACCAAATGATTCCAAGGGTCAAGTTAAAGCACAGGTATCTAAGACATGAGTCAGAAAACAAGGTGAATACTTCCCACTACAAGCATGAGACTACATAGGACAGTAAGAGGACAGGAGATAAGCAAAGTTGGAGGGATAGAAGAAAGGGAGACATAGGCTTGTTTCTCAAGTGTTACATTTGATTCTTGCCCTTACTGCATGCTAAATGTCTCCTTACACAGCTGAGTTGACTCACAGGCAGCATGATGATGTAAATGAGAAAGGAGAATGGCTGTTCTACCTGACTCCTCTCCTTCTGTCTTGCTAATTGTGCTTCTTCAAGGCTCCATTCATCAAAGTCTCCTGCCAGAGCCCAGTTGATCCTAGCCCAGAAAATCGCAAAGGGCCTTTGCAAGAGCAGCTTCCTGCTGCCCTCCCTACTGTTAAGTGAGACATCTGTTCTCAGTGTTGGAGAGCCAGCAGTTCCTGGAGAGCCAGAGTGGAAGAGGCAAGAACCCATGGTCTTGGAATGGGGGTCATGGTGAGTCATAAATAGTTGGGCAAAGATACTAAATGTGATAGAAGCTGCTTAGTTTTCAACCCAATATTCATTCTCCTCTTCCTTAGTAACTTGCCTGATTTTTTGGAAATCAGCAAGGTGCCCAGCTAAAAACACTACATCTTACAACTTCCCTTTATAGCTTAGATGGCCCATAATTAAGATGCAAGCAGAAATTTAAAATTTTTTTTTGGTGGAGAGTCTTTCTATCATCTCTTTAAAGAGAAATAACTCAGCTGAAGGGACTGTCGGTTTTTGTCCCTTGACTTTTCTCTCTTCTGGTAGGCACACTGATATGATGGCTGGAGCACCAGCAGCCATCTTGTGAATTGTTATGGTAGCCAGATGCCAGGGATGGCAGAACAGAATGATAGATCTCCTGTCTTCTCAAAATTTTGTTTCAACAAAACAATATGATACATTATTTTTTTCTGTGTTCCTGCATGTCTGTTTATAAGAGTAACCTTTAAGATACAGTAAGGTGGGTATTAATAATGTTTTTTACAGAAATTACATATTTCTGCTTCAAAATTCTAAAGGAGCTATTTGTGATTTTTAGATCCACAACCTAAGAGAACCAAACTAACCAAATATTAATTTAGCTTTGTTTGAATCCAACTTTAGATCTGACTGTCTTGAAAACTTCTTTTAAATGTAGACATTTCACTAGGTTCTCTTTCATCTGTGAATAAAACATTATTAACACCTAAAGAACAGTATTAAATTGTAGGTGATTCCCAAAAAAGATTGTGGTATGGGTCCTGGTATCCAGGCCTCATATTCCTAATTTTTTAAAGATTAAAATAATAATCATAATAATAAAATAGGTAAACGTATCTATCAGCAGTAGAAAATAAAGATGATTTAATTAACCTATAACAAAACCAAGAGTAATTTCAATTTCATATAATGTCAGTGGATATAAATTGAAAAAATATGTACCAAATTTTCCCTTCCAGAGGTAAAGGCTGTGTTAATCTCAGATACATGGAGCAGGGAGGGTATGTTTGACCAGGAACACTGACAGTGTTGACATCCCTCCAGCAGTGGTTAGAGGCACTGATGTCTGCTTCTACCTTCGACTGCTTCCCCTAAGGAGGGAGCAGACAGTATGGGGGAGGGGCTCTCGGTGTATTGGCTGGCAACTCCGAGAAGTCACTTAACCAAAATTTCAATGTGTGTGTGTGTGTTTGTGTGTGTGTGTGTGTGGGGGGGCTGTATATATGTTGGGGAAGGAAGTGGACCATAACCTAAGTTTCTGACAGTGCCCAGTTCAGTTCCTACTGTGCTTAAAATATACATTAGGCAAGCACGCATCTGTCTGATTCAGGAGTAGAAACCAAACAAAAATATCAGCTCTACATTACATAATGAAACAAATTACAGATGCACTTAAAAACTAAATACAAAAGGTTAGATGAATTTTAAAAAAAAGAATATAAGTAAATATTAAATCTCTGGTTGAGAGGAAGACTTTTTAAGCCTGAAAGTAAACAGAGGAAATCAACAAAGGGAAAGTCATGATTTGACCATGAAATATAAAAAATTCCTCTACTTCCAAAACCAGCAAGGTGATATAAAAGACAAAGTGCCCAATTTTGGAAAAAACAAACAAACAACAACAACAACAAAACGAAAGAATAAGTGGCTAATATAGAAAGTTTACAGAGAAACCATATAACTGATTAACAACTTATAAAAATGGGCAAAAGAAACAATGGTCACCTCAGAAAATAAGAAATATAAACAGCTAACAAATATTAAACTTCAGAAACAGTTAAAAAATTAAAATATCTAAAAAGAGAAAATACTGCCTGGCAGGTATGGCTCAGTGGTTGAGCGTCACCCATGCACCAAGAGGTCGCTGGTTCGATTTCCGGTCAGGGCACATGCCCACGTTGAGGGCCTGATCCCCAGTGAGGGCCGGGAAGGAGGTGGCTAATCGATGTTCTCATCAATGTTTCTAGCTCTCTCTCCCTCTCCCTTTCTCTCTCTCTAAAATCAATAAAGAAAAAACATTTTTAAAAAAGTAAATAAAGAGAGAAAATACCGAGGAAACAATGACATGTACTTTGTATATTACTGAGGGGAGCATAATTTGGAACAACTTTTACACAAAGCAACTTGACTGTCTATAGCTTCATACTCCTATTTATAATTAATAGTTTTAACTAGTTCTTTATGTTGGAAACTTGTAATTTTTCTGCTACTAAAAATAATGCTCCAATGATTTTTTAAAAAAATCCTCACCTGAGGATATTTTTCCATTTATCTTCAGAGAGAGAGAGAGAGAGCGCGCGCTACATGAGAGAGAGACACATTGATTAGCTGCCTCCTGCACAACCCTGACCAGGGCCAGAGACCGAACCTCAACCAAGGTACATGCCCTTGACTGGAATCAAACCTGTGACTCCTTGGTCTGTGGGCCGATGCTCCAACTGCTGAGCCAAACCCACCAGGGCATCCAATGAATTTTTTACATAAAGTTTGTCTGCAAGTAGACCTTCAGTGGAATCACTGGTTTAATGAGTATGAAGCTATGGATAGAGTGCAGTAATTGAAAATGAAGGTTAAAAAATCTAATAGAATAATGTAATTAAATGTTACATTATAAATTTAAAAAGAAATAGTTTACATTGTATGCTTTGAATTATGTTAAAATATGAATGGAAAAACTTTATAAGGATAAATAGCACTAAAGGATAACATTTCACAACTAAAACTCTGGGTTTATGATGGGTGGATTTGAATGCATTAAGGGAAGTAGAGTGTTTTTAAGAAAAATTTATTATATGATAATAATTGTGTTACGTTTAGAAACATTTTTAAAAATTTGAGGTGGTTTTAATAAGATTAGATTAGTGTCATTAGTGTCTGTTTTCTTCATTCTGGTAAATCTAGTTTTGTTCTATAGCTTAAATCTGCAAGAGATAAGCTACTTTTTTTCTCTTGAACTTTCCATTTTTGGGGGTATTTGAAACTTCAATACAAACATGGCAAAATATGAAATACACGGAAATAAGATGCATAAGCATGGCATCAACGGTTCATTTTGTTACCATCTTTACCAGTTGTAGCAGCTTGATCACTGTGATCTGACTTCATTTTGGCTTCTTCATTGTCCTCTAACGAGCTTTCAATCTGGGATTCATGGGTAAAGGCTGTAATGAAGGAATAATATGCTTTATCAGCTACTCTGTCTATATTCGAAAAAATCTGGCCAATAAAAAGAGCAGCAACATATTTCTTTACCATCTTCCTCAAATGAAGAGGGCACCTCTTCTAAGCTTTTATCAGATGAGAGCTTTCCATATTCCTTCATTTTAAGTTCGCTTAAAGCTGAAAGATAGTAATTGGCTGTGTTAACAAAAGGTAGTTGGGATTAAGGAGACAGGCATAATGATTCATTTCTTTGCGATAAAGTTGGACCGACTTGGGTGTGAGTTCTAACTCAGTAAGCACGGCTTTGATCTCCTTGTTTCAATTTCTACTTTGCAAAACGAGGATCATCAAACCAAAGCATTCTTGCAAGGATTAAATACAATAATGGACGATGACAACTTAGAAAATGCTTGGCTCACAGGAAGCCTGCTCCATGTTAGCTGCCATTCTCTGTGTTATTCTATAATTTTCAGTGTTTGAAAACTTCAATATTTTCCACTGATGAATTTTTCTTAAAAATATTTTGGAGTAAAATTCACTAGCAAAAGTATTCCAATTTTTTAAATTTTTAGAAAGGTTAACCTCATTGTCATATTTAGAATAATTAATGAATTTAAAAAGAGGCTTTTAAGTTTTGTAGCATATGAGAGAGAGCATCTAATTCTATATTCTGGTGGCAAAAGGCAATTTGGGGAATGCTTTAAAATCTATGATTTTATGCCATAATGTCATGTGAAAGGAATCACTATAGACTCCAAGAAACGTTAAAGATCCCTCTTCCTCCTCCAGGACCCTGGCTAACTTCCTCCTTTGATCTAGGTTTTTATTAAATGTCTCCTCTTCAGTGAAGTCTTCCCTAGTCATCCCAATACTCCTGTACACCTACTCTAATTACTGCCAGCTCCATTACTGTGTTATTTTTTTTTACCTGTTTACTTGTGTTTTTTGCCCCTCTACCTACCATTAAAGTGTAACCACCATGAAGACAGGAGTTTCATGTGTCTTGTTCACCTCTGTAGCTCAGTGCCTAACACAAAGTAGGTACTCTAGGTTGAATGAATTAATGAATTCATTTTGTCCAGCCTTAAACAGGTTGAATAGCAAACCATCTTAGCAATCTGGGTCAATATTCTCAAACTTTAATTTGTGAGTTGTCTATGAGTATTTTTAAAAAATTTGGTTTTCATTTTGAAGATAATATACTAAAAACATAAATCAATTCTGCATCATCTGGATGATCATTTGGATGGCATGCAATTTCAATGTCTTTCATTGTTATTTTTCGTAATCCCTTAGGCACCATGTTGGACTCTCATATTATTTATAGACTAATAATGAGAAAGAAAAGAGGCAGATTTATTAGGCAATAGTGTGTCCTTGCCTAGCAAAAGCTCAACATTACCATGTAAAAAGAGGTAATTTCCTTATTTCTTAAATAGTTTCAAACATAGAAAATGATGGGAAACTTCTCAATTTAGGTAAAAAGTTAGTGAAACCCTGATAGTAAAATCTGACAAACAGAGCGCAGGAAAAGAAAATGTCATATACAATCACACTTGTAAGTGTAGAAAAAAATCCTAGATTAAAAACCAAAAGAAAAAATATGTTATAATACATCATGACCAAGTAAGGTTTATTTCAGAACCACCAGAATGGTTTAATGTTGGAAAAATACATTAGTATAATTGAGAAATCAATAGGTCAAAGGATTAAAAACTTTATGATCATCTTGACAGCTGCCAAGAAGGCATTTGATAATCAACATCCATTCCAGATAAAACTACTTAATAACCTTATGAAAAAACATTGGAAAGAATCCATTCAAAGAGGCCCACTATCACTGCCACTGTTTACACATCATTCTAGAACATAATTAGTCAAGAAAGGAAATCTGCATAAATAATGGGAAAAGAGGAGTTGAAACTATACTTCTTTTCCAAATGATATGAGTAGTTATCCGTAAAACTCAAGAGACTCAACAAAAATATCAATTAGAACTAGTAAGTTTAATAAGGTGGACAGTTACAAATATATAAATATTAAACATTTTCCCAATATACTGGTAATAACTACTTAGAAAATATTAGAAAATTATCTCATTCAATAGTAACAAAATATTTAGGAATAAACATTAAGAAAAGTGTAGATAACACATGAAGCTGTAACATGTTAAGGAAGGATACAAATATTACACCCCAAAATGGAGATTTTATCTGTCTCCATGAGAAGATTTTATAGTAAAGATGCTAATTCTCATCATATTATTGTTTAATGTAAACACAATTACCCCACTGGGATTTGTGTAGAACTTGACAAAATTCTGTATGTGTCTCAAAGCCTAGTTCAGCTCCTGGCACAAAGCACTCGTTTTATGAAATAAGTGAAAAAAAAAAAAAAAAAATACCCAGGAAAATTTTAAAACAAATGTTTTGAGGAGACACTTGCATTACTACATTAAAATGCACCATAAAGTTTTAATAATTACATTTTGTATTAAAGGCTGTACTAGAAAGATGAATAGAATAGAAAATTCAGAAGTTTATACACACATAAACTTAATATTAATATCATGGCATTTCAAATTTGTACTAAAATAAGTATTAGTAAATGTTATTTATAAAATTGGCCCACCATTTGGAAATAATGAATTTAAATCTCCATCTAACATACAATTTATTATAATAATTACATATTAATTAGAAAGAAGCATTCTTTTAAAACAAAAGAATGCAACTTTGCATATACCATAGAATTGCAATGAATTATTATCAATATGAATAGAAAAAAGAGAGGGCTAAAGAATGCATCAAATTCTTAATGGGATAGCTGTTGGGTATAACTACTCTTCCCAGTTTTCTGTGACCACTTGAGAGACAGAGCTAAGAGAACAGATTTTATTTGAATCCCAACTGATTTGCATTCCAATCACTTGCTGGCTGTCAACTGTGGGCAAGTACCTTAACCCCTCTGAGCCTTAGTTTCAGCACGTACTAAAAGTAGAGATAAAAATACCTACCTCTTAGGCCTGTTATGAGGATTAAGTGAGGTAATGCATACAATGCATTTAGCATAGCCTCAATGTGAAGTAAAGGCCTAATAAATATTATCTGATATTACTTTTGTAATGAGAAAAATTTTATTAGGAAAAGAATATTTGGAATCGAGGCAGTAATGGCTCTATTAGAGTATAGTAACTGCCATAGCTTCTGGAAATCCAAACAGTGGTAGTTGAATCTAATCTAAAATACTGGAGCTAATTTCAGATTTTGTTTCCAGATCTTTGAAAGTGAGAAATATCCCATATAGTGTATAGCAAGTGCTGCATTGTGAGTATTCCACTAAGAGGAAATGTTTAGATATTAAGCTACTTCCATGTGTTCTAATGTGACTGGTTACAAGGGTGCCAACTATAGACATAAATTCTACTAAAGCCAATCAATGAATTAAAAAAATAGCCATAAAATGAGAACTCTTATTTTTCACTGAGAAAAACAGAAAATAAAAAACCCAAACCCTTTGTTGGGTTGTATAAGTTATTTATATATTTTGGAAATTATCCCCTTATCAGATGTATCATTGGTGAATATGTTCTCCCACAGAGTGGGTTCCCTTTGCATTTTGAGGATGGTTTCTTTTGCTGTACAGAAGCTTTTTAGTTTGATGTAATCCCATTTGTTTATTTTTTCCTTTTTTTCTCTTGCCCTAGGAAGTACACTGGAGAAAATTCTGCTACACAAGATGTCTGAGATTTTACTGCCTGTTTTCTTTTAGGATTTTTATGGTTTCCCAACTAACATTGAAGTCTTTTATCCATTTTTAATATCTGGAAACAGCCCAAATGCCCATCAGTAGATGAGTGGATAAAAAAAGTTGTGGTACATCTACACAGTGGAATACTATGTGGCTGTAAAAAATAAGGATCTCTTACTCTTTGTGACAGCATGAATGGACCTGGAGATTATTATGCTAAGAGAAAAAAGCCAGTCAGAGAAAGACAAGTATCACATGATCTCACCTATATGTAGAATCTAAAGAACAAAATAAACTAACAAATAAAATAGGTAAAGGGACATGAATACATGGAACAAACTGACAGATCTCAGAGGGAAGTGGAGGAGGGTTAGAAGAGATTAACTGAAGAACATATATGCATATATACATAGCCCATGGACACAGAAAATAGTGCAGTGAGGGCCTGGGGTGTGGTGAGGGCTGGGTGGAGGGGGGAAAAAAGGGAGAAATGGGAGACATCTGTAATACTGTCAACAATAAAAATAAAACAACCCAAACCCTTGTGCCTATTCTTAAATATATGATAAGAAGTGAGATACAGCCCTGGCCGGTTTGGCTCAGCGGTTAGAGCGTCGGCCTGCGGTCCCGAGAGACCCGGGTTCGGTTCCCGCTAAGGGCACGTACCTCGGTTGCAGTTTGTCCCCGGCTCTGGTCAGTCATGCGGGTGGCAGCCACTCGATGTGTCCCTTCACATCGATGTTTCTCTCTCTCTCTGTTCCTCTCTCCCCCTCCTACTCTACCTGAACAAAAAATGGAAAAATGTCCTCGGGTGAGGATAAAAAAAAAAAAAAAAAAAAGAAGTGAGATACAGGAAGAGACAGAATGTCAGGAGAAAAAACACCGAGTTGTTGGAAACTAGGGTTCAAGTCTCAGCTATGCAACTAGCTGGGTGAGTTTCAGGAAGCTATTTAACGTTCTTATGCCTCTGTTTTCTCATCTGTAAAGTTAGAGAATTATGTTAGTTGATCTTAAGGCTTCTTCCAGGTTCATTGCTTTATGACCTTTTGAATTTAAAATTAATATTCCCCCAACAGAAAGATTTAATTTACAATCAGAGCTAACATACAAGCCTAAAACAACAGCAGCAGCAGCAACACCATCAAACTCCATGAGTCGGGTGGAGTGGTGGTTGTATCATGATTGGTGTAGATAAAAGTATAAATTCTGCTCAGTATCTGGCCAGCAAGCAGACTCGTAAAAGTAAAGCAATATAAATTTGAAAGATCTTTCTGATTCCTTTCCTTAGAAGTCTAGAGTTGAAATCTTTTCTCTGTTTATGAATCAGGTTGATGTATACTCATTTCTTCAATTATTTATTAAGAGGCTACAATGAGCAAGGTGCCAGATATACCAAGATGAGCAAGCCAAGCCATTGCCCACAGGTAGTCAGGCTTAATTGTTAACCCAACCTTAAAAAACACATTAAAAAAACAACAACAATGAATCACCTTGTCTTTTAGCTTCTACTTCTATGAGATGCCGTTCTTTCACAGCCTTAATAGCTGCTTCAGTGGCCGCAGATATAGTATTTTGTATTAACGTTTCAAGGGCTTTATCAAAACGTGGTTGAACAAGTTTGGCATAGTCAATTACCTGCAAAGAATATTTGAAAAAACCAACATAAGCACAGGTTACTGTAAAATTTAATACATTGTTCATCTATATCCATATCTGTAATCTATTCATATCTATATCTTTACCTATTTATCTTAAAATCTTAAAACTACTTGAGGTATGTTATTTTCAGAATTCACTAATCTTTGAATATTTGCTTTCATAGAGATTCAGTCCTATTTTTCACATAGGATTATATATCTATAAAGATATGTATCATGTAATATATCTTCAAGTTACATATATATTTAAAAAATCAACTTTGCATGTATAAGTTACATACAATAAGAGGTAGCCATTATAAGTATACAGCTTGATGAGTTTTTACAAATATATATATTAAAAAACAACCACAATCAAGATATAGAACATTTATATTTACTCCTTGAAGTGCCCTCATGCTTCTTTGTGGTTAGTACGTAATCTTTTCCAAGTGTTTCCCCTTTATCATAACATTTTTGAGATTCATCAGTGTAACTGTATTATTAGTAATCTGTTAGTTTTATTGCTAGATAGTATCATTGTATGAATATACCAGGTTTTTTCATTTTTATTCATTTATCTATTGATGGACACTTGGGTTGTTTTCACTTTTTGGCTATTATCAGTAAAGTAGTAATGAACATTTTTGATGAAATGTTCAAGACATTTTGTTAACACATGTCTTTGTTTCCCTTGGATAAATATCTAGGAGTGGAATTAGTGGGTCATATGGTAAGTGTACATTTTACTTAATAATTAGCCATTAAACCATTTCCAGAGTGGCTGAATTAGTTTGCATCCCTATCAACAATGTACGAAAGTTGCAGTTTACATCCTCACTGACACTTGGTTTGTGAATCTTTTAAATATTAACTATTCTGGTGGGTCTAAAGAAGTACTTCACTGTAGTTTAAATTTACATTTCCTTTATCATTAGTAATTTTGAGCTACTTTTTAGTACTTCTTGGTCACTCACCTTCTGTTTTTAAAAATGTGTATTTTGCCCATTTAAAATATTTGATTAAAATTTTATATATATTTGAATGTAAGTCCTTTGTCAGGTAGGTAGTATACTTTATACTGAATTGTTACAAGTAAATTTCTATGTGCCTTTTAAGTTTAAATATTTTCATAACTCTAGATTCCATTTTGCTTTTCCTTCAATATGCTTCTATTACTTTATTCCATGACAATAAATATGCATTTATACCATCATTTTTAATGGGTGCACAGTATTGTATTAGCGGAATATATTATAATTTATTGAACTAAAATATCAATAATATATACTTAGGTATACATGTTTTTGATATTATAAACTAGGCTATGATAAATACAATTATGTATATATCTTTGATGGTTTCTTTAGAAAACATCTAAAAATTGAATTGACAGTTCAAAGGATATGCATGGACTTTAGGCTTTTATACATATTTCCAATCCCCATCCCTAATAGTTATACTCTCACCAGTGTATGAGAATGTACTTTTCCTCATCCTAGTCACACATCAATATTGGGTGTTAATAGTGATCTTTCAACTCTAACAGCTGACATAACATAAATCTAGGTTTTTTTTTCATCTCTCTTTAATAACTATTTGTATCTATTATTTTGTAAATTGCCTGTTGGCTATTATCTTCCATCTGCATATTGATTTGTAAGAACTCTTTAGCTCTAGCCAGTTTGGCTCAGTGGTTAGAGCATCGGCCCATGGACCAGAGAGTCCCGGGTTCGGTTCCCGCTAAGGGCATGTACCTCAGTTGCAGTTTGTCCCCGGCCCCAGATGGGGTTGTGTGGGTGGCAACCAGTCGATGTGTCTCTCTCACATCGATGTTTCTCTCTCTCTCTCTCTCTCTTCCCCCCTCTCTTCCTCCTGCTCTATCTGAAGATAAATGCAAAAATGTCCTTAGGTGAGGATTTAAAAAAAAGAACTCTTTATATTTTAAAATTATAATTCCTTTTTCTGATACATATTGTGGTAGTTTTAAAACATATCCACAAATCCTTTAATACTCCTCCCTTCAGAAGATGGAGTCTAATTCCACTCCTCTTCAGTATATGCAGAACGTAGTGATTTTTTCATTAAAAAAGTGAAAGGCCAAACTAGAGAGTGATAGAAAATATCCATAATGCTTATAATAAAAAAAGAACTTGCATGATAAACACACAATACAATATATAGATGATGTATTATAAAAGTGTACACCTTAAACCTGTATTTTATTTACCCCATAAATTCAATTTATTGAATTTAACCCCAATAAATTCAATTAAAAAATAAATAAAGAGCTTGTATATAGACACTATAAGGAACTCTCATTGATAATATTCATTTTTTTTAAATGAACAAGAGACTTGAACAAACACTTAAAATAAAGAATATATGAATGGTCAATATAAAAAAATGTTCAACCTTCTTAGCTATCAAAGAAATGCAAATTAAAACCACAGTGAGAAACACCTATTACAATGGTTAAAGTTAGAAAGACTGCCCCTAACAAAAGTTGGCAGGAATGTGGAATAACAGAACTCTCATACACTGCTGATAGAATTATAAATTGGTAGAACTAGTTTGGAAAACAGTTTGGCATCATCTATATAAATTAAACATATGCATATATCCCTGTATCCTAGAAATTTTACCCCTAGATATAGCTCCAAAATATCTAAAGATATGTATGTGTGCACTGCAGACAAACATAAGAATGTTTATAGCAATATTATTCATAATAGCCCAAACTGGAGGTAATCCAAGTTTTATTAACACTCAACTGGATAAACAAATTGTAATATGATTCAATTAATGCAAGACAATAAAACAACAAAAATGAATAAATGATAGCTATATGCAACAACACATAAATAACATGCATAAATATCACAATCATAACGTTAACTAGAAGAAGCCAGGCACAAAGAACATAAACTGTTTAAGTCCATAGGGTTAAAAGAAAAAAATGCAAAACTAACCTATGGGATGTGGATGTATACTTAGATGGTAAAACCATAAAGGAAAAGTACCGAAGTGAACACCATCAAGGTCAGGGCAGTGGCTCCCTTTGTGGAAGGAGTAAGAGGACTGGTATTGGGAAGAGGCATGAGGGGACTTCTGGGATGCTGGCGACATTCCATAGTTAACCTGGGGGTTGGCTACATGGGGGTTTGCTCTGTGATAGTTCAGTGAGCTTCAACTATTCTGTATGTTTGTTTTATTTTACAATAAAAAAGATAAAAGCAAATAGAAAATGCTACCCCTTGTTTAAAAGAACTCAAGAGGACTTGGAGCAAATCAGACTCCTCCTCAGGGCCTGCACTGCTCTGACGACCTCCTCAGCCACCTTCACCTTGTGCCATCCTTCCTTTCACGCCCCACGCTCTGGCCACACTGGCCTTCGTGTCCACATTCCAATCCCTTGTCAAATGTTTTGGCTCTGTCTTCAAATTACATCCCCGATCTGCCCGCTTCTTATCACCGCTACTGCTCTCTCTCTGGTCCAACCTAAAAAATCATTTCTCTCCATTTTTTTGAGCGTGGAGAACAAGATCACTGAGGGGAGAGGTCCAGGAATTCACAGGCCAGGGAGTTGAGAGGTCACCTTTGTAGCTACTGAAGCCAAGAATTACGACAGGAGTGAGGATGTGGTGGAAAACTCTCTCCACATACTCACTTCACAGTGAGCCAGGAGGGCTGTGACCCACGATACAGTAGACCAGTGGGGCCAAGAGAGGGAATGGGTGGCATCACCTGTACGACGTAACAGTCAAATCTGGGGGCCTTGGGGACACAGGGGTGGGCTATGGTCTGGAAGCTACAATAAACCCCAAGGGAGACGCCTTTCCCACTCCAAGCCCAGAACAACAACTACCCAACTGAGAGTGTAAAATTAAGAAAAGTCAGTACAAATCCTACAAATCCAAAAAGCCTACAAATTATAACCAAGTATAAATAGGTAGAAGGCTAGCTAGCTAGTTAGATAACAGTTACCTTTCCTTTGTAATGTTCTGCAAGCAAACTGCAAAGTGTGGTTTTCCCTGAAGACGGAGGTCCGAATATGAATAGTTTAAATGGTGGTGCTGGCATAGGCGGAAGAAGATAGGGACGTGGATTCAACAGAAATGATTTTAGTGTTTCTTCCGAGGACAGACAGTATATTTTACCTAGAAAACTTAAAGTATGTCATAATCATAAACAACTGAAAAGAGATTTGGGGAAGTTTGGAAATTAAGTTCTGAAAAATCTTACTTACCTGACGGAAAAGTCCGCCACTCCTGGATAAATGTTACCTTCCTTTAAAGACACAGGACATGTTCGTCCCCATCTGCTTCTCTGCCATCTGTATCTTGGTGCAATAAGTTTATAAGATGCAAGGGTACGAAACAGTTCATCCTATTGAAAACAAATACCACATTTAATATGTGGGCATAAGTTTTGCTGAAAGTAATGGTATTATTTCATTTCTTATTTGATAACTGCTGTAACTATCTAATAAATATTTTAGAAAGCAAATTTTGGCTTTTTTTCTTAATTGCGATCATTCTACACTTGTTCAAAATTTAATAGGGATATAGCTTTCATTTCTGTTATAAGACCTGGTATAAATTTTACTGAGCATTTTCTATTATAAGGTAGAATGAGCACAAGGAATGTTTTCTATTATGTTTCAGAAAACAGATACTGAAAAATTCTTACCAAAAAGTTTGAAAATGTACCAAATTCTTAGTCAATTTACCTAAGTTTTTAAATAGCAAGAAGTTATATACAGATTATTTTTTCATTAATTAGCTCTTTCATTCTTCTTAGAATGTGAAGTTGCCCTCAGCAATTCTTTCTGTTGGTGATCTCCAGAGAAGTTAACAACCACTTCTCTACAGAGTGCAGATGGCTGAAAGGTTCACTGTCCTTGTGTTACCTTAGCAGGGGACAAGGGAAATGGAGAGAGGTGGCATGGTGGGCAACTGCCAGGGTCCAGGTTGGCTCCCTCCCACTTTCAGATGTGGATCTCACATTAGCTGCTGGCTCCTGAGCTGACTGTGGAGAGTGATGAGAATAGGAGCTATGGTCTTGCCTGGACCATTGCAGCGTCACAGAACAAAGAGGCGTGCACAGTGTGGAGACAGGGCATGAGTGTCCTCAACTGAAGGCTGGGGGAAGTAATTAAGTCTGAAGGAAACTGTCAATGCTCAGGGGAGCTGCCTGAGACTGAGAACCTCGTCGGTGGGGCTACCCCCCTTCCCCATGAAGTCCACAGACGATGAGGCAGTGACTGAAACGTAATCAGTCCAGTCAGGAGGCAGCCATTCTCCTTAGCATCCTTATTTCCTGACCCAACTTGAAAAAATGTTTTAATAACAGATCATACTTCTCTCTCAACTTCAAGTCCCTGGAGCCACATGTCTGCCGGTGCTGAGGGGCAATGAGACAAGGAGCTTTCAAATGAGTTGGATGTTAGTCTTAAGAACGATCAGGGCTACCTCTGGTTAAACAAGGCAGATAACACATGCATTTGTGTTTGCTGCTTCCCTAAAGCTTCATGAAAATGACAGCAGAGGAATAAACTCACAAGGACACAGACTGGGAAAAGAGACCAGGGAACTGATAGCTGACCCTCCACGGTTACACATTTTTGTAGCTAGAAAGCAGATGAATGAGTGGTAGTGACTTAGATTAGAGACAGGTGAAGTCGCAGTGTGGTAGCAGGAATGAGTGTGGGGGTGGTGTGGGGACAACAAGAATAAAGTTCATTCACTCTGCAAAACCCCCGAGAGGCTCAGGACCTGTTAACACCAGGCACCTCTGAAGGCAGGGAATGGAAAGCAGAAGACAGGAAGGTTGGCTGAAAATCTTTAAAAGGAGGTGCCGCCCTGGCCGGTTTGGCTCAGCGGTTAGAGCGTCCGCCTGCGGTCCGGAGAGACCCGGGTTCGGTTCCCGCTAAGGGCATGTACCTCGGTTGCAGTTTGTCCCCGGCCCTGGTTGGTCGTGCGGGTGGCAGCCACTCGATGTGTCCCTTTCACATCGATGTTTCCCTCTCTCTCTCTTCCTCTCTCTCCCTCCTACTCTGTCTGTACAAAAAATGGAAAAATGTCCTCGGATGAGGATTAAAAAAAAAAGGAGGTGCTAGTGGCCAGAGCCACGTTCCATTTCACTGAGTCAGCCAACAGCCCTGTCCCTCAGCCCAACACTACCTCTCTTTCAATCAGAAGACTGGAGGCTTCCTGCCTGGGGAGACTAAACCTGAGGATCTCGTAAGAAGGACCCCCAAAACACAGCCACAGTGAGAGGGAGGCACAAGAAAGTCGGCGGTTCTAGCCACTACACTCAAGCTCCCCTCCTACCCCAGCCTCTAGCTGCAGAACTTCTGGATACTTCCATGATCTAGCAACTCCCTTGTTAGTGCCTGGCACAGCTCAGGCTCTTTAGTCCTGCTGCCAGCTCTGTTGTGGTTGATCCTGCACAGTATCAGCTAATTTGCTGGGCCCAGTACAAAACAGAAATGCAGGGCCCTTGTTCTAAAGTGACCAGGAATTTCAAGACTGTAACAGCACAGCATTGAACTAATTGTGGGGCCCGTCTAAGCATGCGGTTCTGTGGGGCTGCACAGGTCGCTAGCCCATGAAGCCAGCCTTGCCCCTTCAATACAGATGTTGCGTATTTTAAATATTACCATTGGTTTTGGGCATTTTACAAGCATCATTTCATATAGGCGATATTATCCCTTTTTAAAACAATTGAACAAAGGGTAAGGTTAAGCAAAGTCACAGATCTGGTAGGCTGTAGATCTGGAATTCAAGTCCACATGTGTCTGATTTGAAAACTGATGCTGTCACTGTCTACTGTGCTGGATGCCAGCCTGACAGTCCTTCCTCCCACCGCAAACTCTCACACCCATCACCACCCACACGTCCGCCTCCTATCTAACAGCTCATCGACTGTTACAGCTCTCACACTCATCTCCCAGGGGTTCGAATTCACATCAAGGTCTGTTTACCTCTCACCCCTTTAAACCAGTGGTCCTCATCCCAGGCTGCACAGGGATATCTGCAAGGAGGTTTTCAGGTTTTTATTTTTTTCACTGTGGTTAGTTACATATAACATAAAATTTACCATCTTAACAAAGTTAAGTATACAATGCAGTTGCATTAAGTACACTCAAAATGTTGTGCAACCATCACCACTATCCATTTCCAGAACATTTTTTTATTAACCCAAACAGAAACTCTGCACCTATTAAACAATAATTCCCTGGTAATCTCTGTTCTACTTCCTGCCCCTTTGAATTTGCCTATTCTAGGAGCCTCACTTAAGTGTAATTATACAGTATCTGTCTTCTGTTTCTGGCTCATTTCACTTAGCACAATGTTTTCAAAGTTCATCCATGTTTTAGCATGTATCAGAATTTAATTTCCTTTTAAGGCTGAATAATATTCAATTGTGTGCACATACCACACTTTGTTTATCCATTTATGCACTGATGGACATTTGGGTTGTTCTACCTCCTGGCTGTTCACTATGAGTACTGATGTACAAATATCTACTTGAGTTCTTGTTTTCAATTTTTTGGGGTATATACCTAGGAGTAAAATTTCTGCATCTTATGGTAAATCTGTGTTCAACATTTTGACAAAATATCAAACTGTTTTATACAGTGGCTGCACCATCCTCAACAATACTTATTATTTTCCATTTTTTTCACACGCACGTGCGCGCGCGCGCGCACACACACACACACACACACACACATTCTAACACTTAACAGCAGTAATCTTGTACTTTTGATTTGCATTTCCCTAATGACTAGTGATGTTTAAATTCTTTTCATGTGTTTATTAGCCATTTATAAATCTTCTTTGGAGATTTAAGTCCTTTATATTCAACTCTTTTATATTGGTTTTCTTAAACTCACCTGCCTTTAGCAGAAGCATCCATCTAAAGTTATTCAAAACACACAGGGACTTCAAGACTTAGCAACCATGATAAGCCAGGATTCTTCAGTGTCCTAAATTTTAATTTCTTTCTTTATTGATTTTAGAGAGAGAGAGGAAGGGATAGGGAGAAAGAGAGAGCTAGAAACATCGATGAGAGAGAACATCAATTGGTCACCTCTTGCACGCCCCCCACTGGGAATGAGGCCACAACCTGAGCATGTGTCCTGACCAGGAATCAAACTGGCGACCTCTTGGTGCATGGATTAACACTCAACCACAGAGCCACAACCTGGCTGGGCCAGTATCCCGAACTTTAAAGTAGGGTTTCTCAAACATAAGTGGGGATAGAAATCTTTTCTAGATCTTGTAAAACTACATTTCCAGGTGCCACCTCTAGACAGATATTCTGGTTCAGTCAGTCCGGGATGTGAGTTTAAGGAATCTGTATTTGTAGTAAGCTTCCCAAGTGATTCTTTTGGAGGTGACCTGGTCTGCCGGGGAGAAATAGTGCTTGAGGGATATAAATAATTACTCCATTGTACACAGTCGCAATTTCTGCCCTTTTATGAAAGAGAGGGCAGGCATCCTTAGTCATATATCTTATGAACTATAACCTTAGGCAATAATCTCTAAGGACAAACTTTCCAGCTGGGAAATTCCAGCCGGGAACTTTAAAATTTTCTTTTATTGATGATCTAAAAGAGGAGGCTCAGGACACAGCCTCTGTGCTCGTCAGGCCCACCTTTCTTTTCTATTTTTTTTTTTTTTATTCTCACCCGAGGACATTGCATTTATCTTCAGATAGAGTGGGAGGGAGAGAGGGAGGAAGAGAGAGAGAGAGCAACATAGACACATCAACTGATTGTCACCCACACAACCCCAACCGGGGCCGGGGACAAATCGCAACCGAGGTACGTGCCCTTAGCGCAGTGGTTCTCAACCTTCCTAATGCTGCGACCCTTTAATACAGTTCGTCATGTTGTGTTTTTTTTTTTTTTTATCCTCACCCGAGGATATTTTTCCATTTTTTGTACAGATAGAGTGGGAGGGAGAGAGAGGAAGGTAGAGAGAGAGAGAGAGAAACATCGATGTGAAGGGACACATCGAGTGGCTGCCACCTGCACGACCAACCAGGGCCGGGACAAACTGCAACCGAGGTACATGCCCTTAGCGGGAACCGAACCTGGGTCTCTCCGGACCGCAGGCTGACGCTCTAACCGCTGAGCCAAAATGGCCAGGGCCAGTTCGTTATGTTGTGGTGAACCCCAACCATAAAAGTATTTTCGTTGCTCCTTTATAACTATAATTTTGCTACTGTTATGTCTTAGGCGACCCCTATGAAAGGGTTGTTTGACCCCAAAAGGGGTTGGGACCCATTTCAGGGTCAAGACCCACAGGTTGAGAACTGTTGCCTTAGCGGGAACCGAACCCAGGTCTCTCTGGTCTGCGGGCCGACGCTCTAACTGCTGAGCCCACCTTTCTTCCTCTTCAGCACCAGTTTGTGTTACTAAAGTCCCAGAACATATTCCAACAAAGTTCACCCATTAAGATCTAGGGATTACAGTCCGGCTGGTGTGGCTCAGTGGTTGAGCATTGACCCATGCACCAAGAGGTCGCCGGTTCGATTCCCAGTTGGGACACATGCCCAGGTTGTGGGCCCGATCCCCAGCTGGGGGCATGCAGGAGGTGGCCAATCAATGTTTCTATTTCTCTGTCCCTCTCACTTAGTCTCTCTCTAAAATCAATAAAGAAAAACATTAAAAAAAAAAAGATCTAGGGATTACACATTACAGGATAACAAAAGGACCTTTCTTCAAAGATTACTTTATTTGAATTATAATACTTATTTAAAAATTCTGGTGTTTGTTTTTTAATTTCTATTCATGTAGGTAAAACTGAATTTTTCAGAATACATTAAATCTCCAATTAAAGCTCTGTGGCCCCTTTAGCACTTAGCATTTATAATCTGATCACCATCACATCCATAACACTTCAGTGCTAGGAACACAGCGGTTGTTCCAAAACACTCGTTGAATGATTGAAGGAACGAGGAGTGCTGATGGAGTCCAAGGCTTTTATGTCTTTGCTTTCTTTGGTGCTGCAAAATGTTTAAAGTGAATTTGGTTTTGTCTTTCTCATTTTTCCTGTGATTAGTTGTTCTGCTTTATTTGTTATTTTAAATTCTCACTGAGGATATTTTTTTCTATTTATCTTCAGATAGAGTGAGAGGGATGGAGAGACGGAGGGAGGGAGAGAGAGAGGGAGAGAGAGAGAGAGAGAGAGAGAGAGAGAGAGAGAGAGAGAGAGAGACATCCATGTGAAAAAGACATCGATTGGTTGTCTCCCGCACAACTTCGACCAGGGCTGGGGATGAATCGCAACCGAGGTATGTGCCCTTCACCGGAATCGAACCCACGACTCATTGGTCCATGGGCTGATGCTCCAATCTCTGAGCTAAACTGGCCAGCAGGGTTGTTCTGCTTTAATTGGTTTTCTTTGTTTCATTACTTTTGTTTTGTTGTGTTTGGTGTCTATAAGAATATTGTGCCAATATCACAACTTCTTTCCAGAAATCAAATCCATCTTTATAAAAAGCACCCTGAAACTCCTTTTAAACCTTGAAAGGATATAAATTAAAACAGTAAAACAGTTCACTTTGAAACTCTTAAAAATAACTTACATTGTCCAATGCATCATTCATTTCTTCCTCAGCACTCTGAAGTTTAGTTATAACAGCTGCTTTTCTTAGGTTCAGAAATTTAAGTCGATCTATAACTGTCTAAATTTAGAGAACAAATCTTTAATTACATTGCCATTTGAACTTTTCTAATATTCTGAAAAAGTGGTGAGTTGATGAGTAATATATTTCCTTGCTTCTTCCTAGCTTCTGGTTGTTTGCTGGTAATCTATTGTGTTTTTGGCTTATAGGTGCCTCACTCCAATCCCGCCTTTGTCGTCATGTAGCCATCTTCTCCTGGTGTCTGAGTCTCTGCTCTTCTAAGGACACCAGTCGCATTGCACTAGAGCACTGTCATTCAGTATGATCTCATCTTAACTTGATTATATCCAAAAAGATCTTATTTCCAAATAAAGTCACATTCATAGATATTGGAGGTTAAGACTTCAACATATCTTTTAGGGGGACACAATTCAACCCATAACAATTTAACCCGTCTTCCTTCTGGTCCCCAAATATTCATGTCCTTAGAGGTCTAGCTCCATAGGACCTCTTCAGGTGAGAGAAGACAGCCATGTGAAAGCAGAGGCAGATATTGGAGTTATGCTACCCAAGGGATGCCTGGGGCTACCAGCCAGAAGAGGCAAGGATGGATCCTCTCCTACAGGCTCTGGAGGGAGCATGGACCTGCCAACATGTTGATTTTGCACTTCTAGCCTCTAGAACTATGAGAAAATAAATTTCTCTCATTTTAAACCACCTAGTTTATGGTACTTTGTTATGATAACTCTAGAAAACTAATACAGATACTTTGTGGAAGAATTTGAAACATAGTCTGAGATAAGAGATGGTGAGAGAGACAAAGTCCTGATGGTACATGATAACCTGTGGAAGATTGTGTCAATATTATTATTTTTTTCTTTTTCTTTATTGTTTAGAGAGAGGAAGTGAGAGGGAGAGAGAGATGGAAACATCAATGAGAGAGAACATCGATTGGCCGCCTCCTGCATACCCCCCACTGGGGATCGGGCCCACAACGTGGGCATGTGCCTTGACCAAGAATCAAATCGGCAACCTCTTGATGCATGGGTTGATGCTCAGCCACTGAGCCACAGCAGTTGGGCTAGATTGTATTATTAATTCACACTTCACCCTCTCCTCCCTTCCCTTGCTAATTCCCTAGTTCATGTTGGGTAAAGTACACACCCTATCCCCTTGGTGTTGAGCTTCTCCATGAACTTGTTTTGGCCAGTGGAATGTGGGGTCTTCACAGGCTTGGTAAGTTTCAACTAGGCCTATTAGAGTTTCTGCCCTCTCTCTTGTGTTGCAAAAAGTGCTCATATTTTGAATACATTTTGAAGGTGAAGCCTACTGTGTATGCTTGATGGATTGAATGTGGGGTTGAGAAAAATAAAAGAGTGGTTTGCAATTGTAGCCCATCTCTTATCCTCCAGAGAAGGGAGAGGAGCTAGAAACAGAGTTAATAATTAATCATGCCTATGTAAGGAAGGCTCCATAAAATCCCAATAGCATGGTGTTTGGAGAGCTTCCACTTGGAGAACACATCGACACCAAGAGGGTAACACACCCCAACTCCATGGGGACAGAAGCTTCTGAGCTTGGGACCTTCTCAGACCTCACCCTATGTATTTCTTCATCTGGCTGTTGATCTGTATCCTTTATCATGTCTTGTAATAAACCTGTCTTTCTGGTGTCCAGGAGCCATCCAGGAGCCTACTCAGATTCATCTCAATATAACAAAAGATGCTTCTAGTGCTCTTATCCCTTAGGCATTTATAGGGTTTGGGGGGCTCTGTGTCAGGAATCAGGGACAGAGACCAATATATATTTTCTTTTATCTCACAGAGGTCTAATAGTCACCTCAGATTTAAACACTCAAGATAAAACTCATATTCCACCATTACCACCACCCCAACTCAAATACACTTCTCCCACGTTCCTCCCCTCTCAGTAATGTCAAATCCAGCCTTCCAGCTGCTCATCCTTAGACTTTCAATTTTAAAATAATTTCAGATTACTTTTCACCAGACTAGATTCTGCCCCTCTGCCACACCATTTTATAAGCCCACCAGCAATGTATAAGTGTTCCAATTTTCCCACATCCTTGAGAACACTTGGTAGTGCCTGTTTGTATGTGTGTGTGTGTGTGTGTGTGTGTGTGTGTGTGTGTGTGTTTAATTTCAGCCATGTTAGTGGGTATGCAGTGGTATTTCATTATGGTTTTGTTTTGCATTTCTCTAATGACTCATATTAAGCACCATCATGACCTTATTGGCTGCTATTTGCTTTTACTTTTCTTTGAGGCCTTTTTTGTCATACAGGAATTTTAGATTCAAATGTAGTTTTGATTTAAATATAATAAACAAATGAATAAATATAACATCAAATTTTTAAGTGTCAAGATGAATTTTTCACACAATAAATGGTTAAAAAAGTAAAAATATTTCTGATGTTTGTTAAAATAGGTACAATTCAGTCAACAACTTTTTGATTTTCCAAACTGTGGGATATTCTTACTGAAAATTGTACTTACCATTAAGAGCTCCTCTGGGGGCTTATTTCCATCTAGCTCAATGAAATAACGGGGGTTGTGTTCAGCCATTACTTCCTACAGATAATAAAGATGAAACCTTATTATCTAGGATCATTGCGAAAACTACAAGATCAGAATTTTAATATCCTTGAAGAAATCTTGAAAGCTAAATTGCTTTATACATGAAATAATGTATGTTATTTTTAGTGCTCAAGCTATTCAAAAGGATGACTCTGGTATCTGTTCCTTTCAGTAGGGCATGAGTGTTTGCTTTACCATATTCTTGCTAGCATTAGAAAGTCTTATTTCTTGTTCATCTTTTCAAATTTGATCATAGAAATAAATACTTCATTATTTTTATTTATTATTTTATTTATTATCTTTATTGTTGAATGTATTACAGATGTTCCTCATTTTCCCCCCATTGGCCCCCTCCTCCCCACTCCCGCCCCCCTCCTGCCTTTCCCCACACTGTTGTCTGTGTCCATTGATTATGCATGTAAGTTCTTTGGTTTATTTCTTCCCACCCCCAACCCCCTTCCATTTGAGGTTTTTCAGTCTAGCAACGAATTTGTACTTCTTAATCCCTTCACCTTTTTCACCCATTCCCCCAACCTCCCTCCCATCTGGCAACCAACAAAATGTTCTCTGTATCTATGAGAATGTTTCTGTTCTGCCTGTTCACTTTGTTGTAGATTCCATTGTCGATAGATAAGTATTCACTGCCATTTTGTTTGTTCATATATTTTATCTTTTTCTTCAAAAAGACCCTTCATCATTTCATATAATAACAGTTTGGTGGTGATGAACTCCTTTAACTTTTTCTTGTCTGGGAAACTCTTTACATGGCCATCAATTCTAAATGACAGCTTTGCAGGATAGAGTAATCTTGGTTGTAGGTTCTTGCTTTTCATCACTCTGAATATTTCTTGCCACCCCCTTCTGGCCTGCAAAGTTTCTTTTGAGAAATCAGCTGACAGCCTTATGGGAACTCCCTTGTAGGTAACTAGCTGCCTTTCTCTTGCTGCTTTTAAGATTCTCTCTTTGTCTTGAACCTTTTGCATTTTGATGATGATGTGTCTTGGTGTCTCTTGGGGTTCATCTTGTATAGGACTCTCTGTGTTTCCTAGACTTGTATGTCAGTTTCCTTCACCAAGTTAGGGAAGTTTTCTGCCATTATTGTTTCAAATAGGTTTTCGATTTCTTCTCTCTCTTCTTCTGGCACCCCCAAGATGCGAATGTTGGTATGCTTGAAGTTGTCCCAGAGGTTCCTTACACTGTCCTCATTTTTTGGATTCTTTTTTCTTTTTGCTGTTCTGATTGGGTCTTTTTTGCTTCTTTATATTCCAAATCGATGGTTTGCTTCTTGGCTTTACCTACTCTACTATTGAATCTATGTAAATTATTCTTTATTTCAGTTAGTGCCTCCTTCATTTCTGACTGGTCCTCTTTTATGCTCTTGAGGTCCTCACTAAGTTCACTGAGGTTTTCATTGAGCATCCTTATAAGCAGTATTTTGAACTCAGCATCTGTTGGGTTGCTTATCTCCATTTCGCTTAGTTCTTTTATTGGGGTTTTGTTCTGTTCTTTCATTTGGGACCTGTTTCTCAGTCTCCTAATTTTGGCTGCCTCCCTGTGTTTGTTTCTATGTATTACTTAACTAGAGGTATGGGGCTATCTGAGACCAGATGCTGCTTGTTTGAAAGAATTTAGGAAAACCTGAACCAGGATCCAAGACAGGCCAATCCTATGGTTAAGCAACTGGCAACAGCTTGGGTGGGCCTGAAAGTTGGGCGGGGCGGGGCCTCAGGGAATCACCAGGCGGGGCTACCAGTGTGAGCCAGGTTGCTGGAGTCCCAGATATGGCGACTGTCTGCCGCCCCAGGGAAGGGCTCACCAAAGGAACAAAGGCCTCTTACAGCACATTTGTCCCGGAGAAAGCCCCCTCTCTAGCCCTCGCTCCAGTGCCAAACAGCTCAGTTCTTCCCTGTATGTCTCTGGTGCCCCTCAAGCTGCCTCCCCTCCAAGCTTAGAGGGAGAGAGTCCGATAAGTCCGTGCGCGGGCCTTTTAAGGAGCTGCCTGGGCTCCAGCTGCCTCAGACTCTCTGAGCCTCAGTTCCCGCTGTTTTTTTTTAGCCAGAAGTTATGGGGACTTCTCTTCCTGGCACTGGAACCCTGAGCGAGGTGCCTGGTGTGGGATGGGGACCCCTCAGTCCTCAGGGAGGACCTTCCCAGCTGAGGTGTCCTCCTGATTTTTATCCGTCACACGTGGGTGTGGGACCAGCCCGTGCGTGTCCGCGTCCGCCTCCGCCCCTCCTACCAGTCTGGATGTGGCTGCTGCTTTAATTCCGTAGTTGTAGGACTTCCATTCAGCTTGATTTCAGGTGGTTTTGAATGATGGTTGTTCTGTAGTTTAGTTGTGACTACAGTGTGGTTGTGGGAGGACGCGCTACCGCGTTTACCTACCCGCCATCTTAACCGGAAGTCCAAATGCTTCATTATTTACATTAGCATTTCTTCATAATCAGTGAAGCTGATCATTTTTCCAGAGGTCTGTTACTCTTTTGTCTTTCATTTTTGTGAATTGTCTGCTCATATCTGTAGTCTATTTATCTCAGAAGGGAGAGAACTTAAAGGTTTAACAAATAATTTCTATGACTTTTACATAATTAATGTGGATATATTACCAGTTTATCTTTTGAGTAATGGTTTTTAATTCTTTTATTTCTAGAAGTCTTACAAATAATAAAACTGAATTTATAATTTTTTTCCTTTGTGAGCTTGTCACTTGTTCAGCTGAATATCTGTTAAGCATTTACCACTTGCCATACTTTGGGCACTGCACTGGGCACGGGCAATGCTAGTATGTAAGACCTTGTCCCTAACCTTGAAGAGATTATATCTGCTTATTTTCCCCTGTGAATATAGTTTTCTAATTTTCTGAATCTGATTTTAATTATGCTTTATTTCATGCCCAGTGTCAGCCACATAAGGACTATGCAGGATATTTTTGTTGAAGGAAGAATGTTATATGTAAATATGTAAATTACTGTTAAGAAGCTATGTTTAAAGGCCAGGGATAGAAGAGAATGAAGGGAGGAATAAAAGTCATAAATAAGAAAAGAATTAAATTTGGTTCTCATTTTGAGGGGTAGATGACAAGAATTAAAATGATCCATTTATTTATCTTTAAATATGTATATAAACACAAAACAAATTATTTTAGTTTATCAGATGGGAAGAGGCAACTTGAAAACTGTTTTTTATTTGTCTTTGTTGTTCTATTGCTCAGCAAAATGCCTAGCTAAATACCCAAGTTCAACAGATGTTTGTTGAATAAATTTCCAACACAAATTTGGCAGTCTTCCCTAAATTTTTGGCCATATAAAGTATGTTTTTCATATAATTGTAATTTTAATAATCGTATTTTATTTTATTTGTTTATTTATTTTTTTGGTATGTGCCCTTAGCAGGAACTGAACCTGGGACTCTCTGGTCCGCAGGCCGATGCTCCAACCGCTGAGCCAAACTGGCCAGGGCAGTAATCATATTTTAAATGCTAGTTATTTTAATTAAAAGTTTCTTATTACAATATATAGTGGCTTTATCATGTTTATATATAATCAACTTTGAATGGGATATAACATAGAAACTAATCTGGGAATAATTCTTCTTTAGATTACAATTTAAATAAACTTTTAGAACAAAAGATACACCTTAGTGTACATTTGTTTTAATAAACCCATAAATTACAGATTGAAAATGATTTTACAAAATAGTGTGTTAACATCGGTTTTCCAATCTCCAACCATAAATGAATTCCCCTAGTTCCTTTTTAAAAATGCAGTTCATTTATCACTTTTCAGTAACACTGATCCTTTGTATGAGTAAAACAATATTGTTTTGTGAAACAGGCTTTGGGACAGAAGCCTTATTGTAACAGCATTCTACCAAACTCAAGTGGAGGAGAATCAGACAGATGATATGTAGGGGTGAATAAATGTGAAAGCCATTTAACCTAGTGACAGAACACAAATATCAATATTCCCATTTTCAGCAATATATCTTGTTCTTACTTCTAAAGCTTGAAGAATCATCTCCTTATAAAGTTTAACAGTGTGCTCAATATTTTCCAAAAAATCCTCAGGCCTTTGAACTAAATGTTGAAGAATTTCAGCCATCATCTGCATTTCAGCAATAAATATCTAAATGGAAAAGAAGAGATTTTAAATATCTTTATGTTAATGATTACTTAATTTACAAGCCATACCCCTCCCTCCTTACACCTAGATGCCATTTTAGGGTAAGAAGCAGGCAGACGGGAAATTAGAGACTGAGCATTTTTATTTAAGAGTGATTAAATGCCTTAGGGGGCCTTTATCAGATAAAATAAAACTTGAAATTGACTTTGATACTTACTAATTTCTTTGTGCTCCTCAATGAGTAAAGAGAAGCAGGGGAAAAACATCAAATTTTTAGAGAAAAAATAAAGAGATCAGATTTTCTCTGAATACCTGAGCTACTAGTTCGTTCATTCACTCCTTCTGTGAAGATTGACTGAGTGAACAAAACTAAGACACTGGGGATCACAGACCATACATACCAGTTGGAGCATAAAGAGCATAAACACGAAGACAAATAAATATGTAACAGGTTAGGTGATGGTAAGTATGAGGAAACAAGATAATGCAGGATAGAGGGGATGAAGAGTAACAGGAGAAGGTGGTATTTTAATCAGGTGGTCATGTACAGGTTCTCTGAAGAAGTAACATTTGAGTAGAACCCAGAAGTAAATGAGGGAGAGAGAGAGACACCGATTTCTGAAGAATGAACATTTCAAGGCAGAGGGAACAGAGTGTGTAAAATTTCTCAGCCCAAGGCTGGAAAGTGTTCACTATCATACTTATTATCCTATTTCATCATCATATTTATTATTTAATTATTAATTCTAGTTTTTGTCAGTGCATAAAAATCTGTTTTATACCATTTGAAATATATTACCTATTATATAAGCCAATTTAAACTTACTTGAAATGCTTTAAATACTATTTTATTAGTTAAATAAGAAATTAATATCCTTAAATATATGATTATTTAATCATTATTCTATAGTTGAACAAGACTGTTTCATATTTTTCACAATTATAAATAACATTTCACTGAATAGCTTTGCAGATAAATCTTTATATTGCTAATATTTTCCTTTAGAATAATTTCTACAAGTAAAATTACTGGGCCAAAGATTATATATTTCAAAGTAGCTTAATACACACTGTTTTTTTCCCAAAAGATATCATTCTTCTCTCTGTAGCAGAGGGCTTTGCTAGAATGCATGTGCATTCAGTCATTATACAACTTCTCATTAAGCACCTATTGTATACAGAGGATTGTTACAGTGGGAGATATGGTCCCTGCTGTATAAAGCTCACATTCAGTAGGATAGACAGATAATAAGCAAGTAAATAGCCCTGGCTGGTTTGCACAGCGGTTAGAATAATGGCCCGAGGACCGGAGAGTCTTGGGTTCGGTTTCCACTAAGGGCACGTACTTCGGTTTCAGTTTGTCCCTGGCCCTGGATGGGGTCGTGTGGATGCCAACCACTTGATGTGTCTCTCTCACATCGATGTTTCTCTCTCTCTCTTCCTCCTTCTCTCACTCCCACTCTATCTGAAGTTAAATGCAAAAAAAAAAAAGGGGGGTAAGTTCTATGAGGAAAATGAAGAAGGGTAAAGGGTTAGGCCTGTGTTGTTCAGCATAGTTGCCACTAGCCACATGTACCAATTGAGCACATGAAATGTGGCAAGTACACCTTGGAATGTGCTGTAAATGTAAACTACACACCGGATTTAAAAACTCTAGCATAAAAAAGAATGCATGATACTTAGAATTTTTATGTTGAAATAATATTTTGGATATACTAGTTTAAATAAAATGTACTATTAAATGATTTTTGCCTGTTTCTTTTTACTTTTTAAAAAAGTGGCTACTAGCACATTTAAAAGCACATATGGCAGGGTATATTTCTAGGTGCTCTACAGTGACGTCATCTCTGAGGCAACATGAAGGAGCAAGGTCATAAAGGAGATCTGGAGGAGGGGGCTGTAGGCAGAGGCTGGTCCAAAGGATGGAAGTGAGACTGAGTTCAGCACAGTGGAAGACAAGCTGGAAGGCCAACGAGGCTGGAATAAGTGAGCAGGCTGGGAGAGGCAGCAGGGATGAGCACCGAGAGTCTGGGTCCTTGGCCTTGTAAGCTATGTGAGGGTGTCTGAATTTTAATCTACAGGTAATAAAAAGTCACGGAGGGTCATGTTAAAAAAAAAAGTAGCTCTGGCTTCTAGAAAGAATGGAATGGGAGGGGGCAGGTCGAGGAAGAAAGTGAAAACTGAGAGAACTTGAACAGAACTATTGCAGAAGTTCAGGGAGATTGTTCACATCTGCTTGTGTATGGAGGCAAACACTTTCACACCATCTGCTCAAATGGGCAGCAGGTCTGCCTCTGAACATGGCTGTACCATTAGGCTGAGATCGCAAAAAACCGGGCCCTGGGGGCCGAACCATAATTTAATGATCTTCCACAGCATTTAATGATCTTTAATTATCTTTCTATCTTCTTTTTCTATTTTCTTTCCCCTTCCTCTTCTCCTTTTCCTTCCTATCTTCCATAATTTAATCCAGCCCATCACCTGTTAACAGATTTCTTCATATTAGATTCTGCATAGCCTAAATGGCGTTTTAAAATTTCAGATTAGTTGTCAAGAACTTTGTTTTAGAACGCTGATTTCAGTTTCTCTAGAGAAACCACACTACCTGGTACAAATAGGCCATTTTCCCCTCATGGCAACAGTTGGCTGGGCTGGAGCTAAAAGGGAGCTGTCCTTTGAAGAAGGGCATGCATTCTCCAACTGTCCAGAGGAACTTTCTGCAGTAATGGGAATGTTCTGTATCTGTGCTGTCCGATTTGGAAGACAGCCATGTTTGGTCACTGAACACTTCAAATGTAGCTAGTATTACTGAGGAACTACATTTTTTACTTTATATAAATGTAATTAACTTAAATTTAAATAGCCACACGGGGCTACTGGCTACCATACTGAACAGTGCAGTCCTAGACTACCTCAGTCCTCACTCTTCCCAATTATATCCCTGGCCAACATCACAAATGGACATAACCATAGCCCCTGTAACTGAGATGTAAACTTTGTATCTCACCATTTTTGACTTAAAATTGTTTTTTTTTTTTTCATGCTAAAATAGCACACTTTAAAAATTCTTATTTGGCCCTGGCCGGTTTGGCTCAGCGGTTGGAGCGTCGGCCTGCGGTCCTGAGAGACCCGGGTTCGGTTCCCGCTAAGGGCATGTACCTCGGTTGCAGTTTGTCCCCGGCCCTGGTTGGGTCGTGTGGGTGGCAACCACTCGACGTGTCCCTTTCACGTCGATGTTTCTCTCTCTCTCTCTCTCCCTCCCACACTCTATCTGAACAAAAAATAGAAAAAATGTCCTCGGGTGAGGAAAAAAAAAAAAATTCTTATTTGCTATGAGGTTTTTCTTTTTTCTTTTTTTTTAAAAAAAGACCTGTAATAGATGCTATTATCTTACACCTTATTTACACAGGAAAGATTATTTTACGTTTTTATATATGCTTTCTCATATTAATAGGTTTTTAATTGAGATATAATTGACATAACATTATATTAGTTTCAGGTGTACAAGATAATGACTCAATGTTTGTATACATTGCAAAATGAACACCATGGTAAGTCTAGCTAATATTCATCGTCATACATCTTTTTATTTTTTGAGAAAACACTGTATTATTATTTATTTATTTATTTACAGTGATACCTCGGTTCTCGAACGCCTCGGTTTTCGACCAAATGGAGATTCGAGAAACTTTTGTCTCGGAATCCGAACAAATATTTGGAACTCGAACTTCCGAGATGAGCCGAGTTGAGCCGAATGGCGTTCATTCGGCCCAGCGCGCCTTGCTTGCGTCATCAGTGTGAGTGCAGAGAGAGAGTCACGCTTTGTGGAGTCACGCTTTCCTATTGGGTTTCATTGCTTCGGTTCTCGAACAATTCGGTTCTCGACCGTCCTCCTGGAACGAATTATGTTCGAGAACCGAGGTATCACTGTATTTTGGTACATGCCCTTAGCGGGAACCGAATCCGGGACTCTCTGGTCCGCAGGCCAACGCTCTAACCGCTGAACCAAACTGGCCAGGGCATCGTCATACATCTTTACAATATTTTTTTTGTCTTGTGATGAGAACTTTTAAGATCTACTTTAAAATGAAAGAACAAATGTCAAAGATTAATTTAACTCATTAGTATGACAAAGCTAAAGTATACATAACCACTGAAATGAGATTGCAATGTTAGATACAAGGTTGCTTAATATCTTACAGGGCAATGGAAGTGTAACCTTTAGAAGTTATCTTTTGTACTGGGAAAATGCTCTGCAATGTGTCCATCTATAAATTAAAGTAGTCTAGGCCCTAATGGAAATAGTATTTACTTGTAATAGTAATTATAAATTATAGAAATTATGAAAAATTATAGAAATTATAATTAATTTATAATAGAAATCACATATATATTTCAGTAGAGCAGGAATTGGCACACTACAGCCTTTGAGCCAAATCCAGTCCATCACCTGTTAACAGATTTCTTCAAAAGAAATTTTATTTTCTTTATTGATTTTAGAGAGAGAGGAATGGAGAGGGAGAAAGAGATATACAGAAACATCAATGAGAGAGAACATGGATTGGCTGCTTCCTGCACACGCCCCACTGGGAATTTGGCCCACAACCTGGGCATGTGCCCTGACTGGGAATCAAACCGGGTGGGCAACAGATTTCTTAATATCAAATTTTCCTCATTAAGTCATAGTAGAAGATTCTTTTGATGCCCTATTGCATTATGCTTACTAGTATTGACTTTAGGATTGTGGTAACAATGTGTATATATGAAATTGGGCTCTACATTTCTTGTCATGTGCTCCCTTTGTCAGAGTTTGGAATTCAGATTATGTTAACCTCATAAATTGGATTATGTCTGAGCTATCTTGCTCTTCATCCTATACTTTGGCCTTTATTGCTCTAACTCCTCACTGTAACCTTGCGTAGTGCTTGACACATAGTAGGTGATCAGTAACTCTGTTGCTATGGATAAAGCAGATTAGCTGACAGTAGAAGGACTTCCATACTAACAAGAAGGTTAAACTTGATGACTTCCAGATTATGATCTAATAGTTCTTGAAAACAAGAAATATTTTGCTATTTACTCCAGACTAAATAAAAATGTAAAGAAAATGTAATTTTCTATAGTACCTGATATTTTCTATTATCCATGCTATAATTTAATGTAATTGTCATGAATTTTAAAAGTACAGTATATGGACCCAGCCAGTGGGGTTCAGTGTATTGAGCGCTGTCCCCTGCACCAAGAGGTTGCTGGTTAGATTCCTGGTCGGAGCATATACCCGGCTGGGGCTCATGCGGGAAGTAGCCAACTGTTTTTATCTTTCTCTCCCTTTAAAACCTCAATGAAAAGGTATTATTTTTAAAAGTACAGTATATGGTACTGGGATATTACCTCCTCTTCTTCTTGTTCTTCTTCCTCTTCCCCTTCCTCTTCTATTCTTACTTCTTTTTGAGTTTCTTTCTTTTTTTTCCTTCGATTTGTTATGATTTCTGGATCCCACTGATCTCTTGAATATATGTACCCTGTAATACTGTGCTGCCTTTGCCCAGAAACTTTTTGGCATAAATCATAGTCAGGGCACTAAAAAACATCAGTCATCAATTAAAACATGTTGAATATGCTTTTACTTCATATTCGTATATTATGCAATACATAAACCAAAAAGTTCTTTAAAATCCTGAGTGAATATAGTATTTTAAATGTTATCTTATATCAGGTTTCATCATATACCAAAAGAGACACAAGACACAACTTTTATGCTATGGTAACACTTTTCTTTCACAAAAATTAATATATATGAGAAAGTATCAGAAGTTTTAAAGTGATAAAAAAAAAAGTGTTCAAAGAAAGGTAAAAAGAGTTACAGAAATATAGTAGAAAGTCAGTTTAGCCTGCAAAGTTACACAGGAGAATTCTGTCAGATTAATTTCAAAAGGATAAGATGTGGTTAATATATACAATGGAATAATACTCGGCCTTAAAAAAAAAGGTGAAATCTTACCATTTGCAACAATATGGATGAACCTAGAAGGTATTATGCTAAGTGAAATAAGTCACAGAGAAAGACAAATACCATATGATTTCACTTATGTGTGGAATCTAAAGAGCAAAACAAACAAAACAGAAACAAACTCATAGCTATAGAGAACAAACTGATGATTGCCAAATGGGAGAGGGGTTGGGGGACTGGGTAAAAAAGATGAAGGGATTAATAAGTACAAATTGGTAATTAAAAATAGTCACAGGGATGTAAAGTACAGCATAGGGAATATAGTTAATAGTCTTATAATAACTATGAATGGTGCCAGATGGGTACTAGACTTACGGGGGGATCACTTCATAAATTATATAAATGTCTAACCACTATGCTATACACCTGAAACTAATATAAAGTAATATAAAATGTCAACTGTAGTTGAAAAACAGAAAATTTAAAAATAGAAAAGGATGAGAATGGAAAAAAATGGAGGAATATCCACACATTTTCAACAATAAAAAATATATTGTGCATTGACAATATTTACAGTTTTGTGGGTGAAGTATTTTATAAAATGTCAATCATGAATGGTACCTGAAAGGTCATCTATTCTAATCTAACCTTTTCATTTTGTAAATGAGAAAACTGAGTTTGATATTATCAACTACGGCAAGAGAAACAAAGGAAAAAATTGATAAATGGGACTACATCAAACATAAAAGCTTCTGCACAGCAAAAGAAACCAGCATCAAAAGAAAAGGGAACCCACTCTCTGGGAGAACATATTTGCCCATGAAATTGGATAAGGGGTTAACAGCCAAAATATATAGAGTATTCATACAGCTCAACAAAAGAAAGACAAACAATCCAATTGAAAATGGGCAGAGGACCTGAACAGACACCTCTCCATACAGGACATACAAATGGCCAGGAGTCATATGAAAAAATGCTCAACATCATTTATCATCAGAGAGATGCAAATGAAAATGACTATGAGATGTCACCTCACACCTGTCAGAATGGCGGCCATCAACAAATACTCATACAAGTACTGGCGAGGATGTGAAGAAAAGGGGACTCTAGTGCACTGCTGGTGGGAATGCAGACTGGGGCAGCCACTGTGAAAAACAATATGGTAGCGGTCCTCGAACTTCAGTGGGCATCAGAGTCACCTAAAGGGCTTTTCAACACAGATAGCCGGATGCCACTCCCAGAGTTTTTGACTCATAGTTCTAAGATGGGGGTGAAAAATTTGCATTTCATTCTTTTTGCAAAATGTTCAATTACAGTTGATGTTCAATATTATTTTACATTAGTCTCAGGTGTGCAGCAAGAATTTGCACTTCTAACAAGCTTCTGAGTGTTGCTGATGCAGTTGGTTCTGAAACCATACTGTGAGAACCACTGTTGTAGTAGATCACTGGCCCTTAACCTTTTTTTTTTTTTGGTAGTGCAAACCCTCTTTAGAATATAATGAATGCCATAGGCTTTTGTTTCAGAAAAATGCACATACATACAAAATTTTGCATGTAATTTTAGGAGATTCATGGATCCTGAAGGATTCATGGATCCCAGGCTAAGAACTTCTGCTCTAGAAATTCCAGATTTTATTCCCAAATAAGGCTAAACCATCAGGGAAGTGTGTGTTGTACTGAGTTCTGTCTCACATTAAGCCCTCTGATTACACGCTGGTTATGCTACAGAAACTGCTGTGGACACTCACTATCACACTTACAATATAAATGGGGTTCAGGACTTCATTCTCTATATTAACAATCTCTTACATTAACAGCCATGTAAGATATTTCTCTCATTTTTAATGAGAGTTCTTTTTCCTGAGGTTATTGCTTGTCTTTTCATGGGCAATGTGAATTTTATATAACTGGTCACATTTCCCCTTCTACTCTGGTTCATCAAACTTAGAACCAAATTGATGTTCCAACTTTGGTAAGCATTTTGGGCCCCATAGCCTGTGTGTTCTTGTTCCACGAAGTCTTAAAATTCCTATAAAATATATATTTTCTATGGCTTAGACTTTATATTTGGTTTCAGTTAATTGTTTGAGATCTTTTCTTCTCTCCATTGTACACATGTTCACATGACAGTCTCAAGATTACAGGGATTTTGATGGTCCTCTGACCACGTGACCGGTGGCTGGGGCTGCATGCGCAGCCCTGCAATGACACCTCTCCCTCACAGCTGACCACACAGACGGCTCCGAGCACCTGGGCTGAGAACCATCTAATTTATTTTGAGCTGCCCAGCCTTTTGGGAAATCAAGCAGGGTATGAATAAAAAGCTTATCATTAATTTTCATATAAACAAGTAGTCCTCACCTTACTGAACTCTTATCACAACCCACGAGGCAGTTATTATCATCTTTGTAAAGATGAAACTGAGGTTCTTAAAATGGGATTTACCAATTCTAATAGCTGAGAGAGGAGAAAGCTGGGAACAGGATCCAGCCTTGATTCTTAATCAGTCTAGTAGTGTTCTTTAACATTCACATGTCCAAATCATGTGTTTCTTCTTTCATGCTATTTAACTGGCAAACTTATTAGGTGTCAAGGAGGTGGAAATATTGTGCTACTTTATGTTTATATGAGTAAGACATGGTTCCTGCCTTCAAGTAAGGCCGAGTCCAGAAGGAAAATGTTCAATGATCATACAATAAGGTAATATGACAGAAAGAAGAGAGTAATATGGAAAGAGTGAATGGAAGCTACACAGACCATCTCCCAGGACCAAACTGGAATTACAACGAAAATAAAGACAAATCGTCAGGAAGGAGCAACTGAAAGGCAGCTTGGAGGGCAACATAACCAGGGACACTGACTCAATCCTGGTAGGCTTGCGAGGACGTGAGAGGGAGCCGGGAGCCCACGGTCCACAGCGGCCTGGGCTGGGACCAGGGGACTTGGTTGGAAGCTGCGCCCTCAGCTGGGTCCTGTGACCTCGTCTGGGTGCTACGCCCTCAGCTGAGTCCAGCTGCCTCAGTTGGAAGCTGCTGCCACCTTGGCTGCGTCTGGCGACCGCAGCTGGGTCCTGCGAATTCGGCTAGGTGCTACGCCCTCGGCAGGTGCCGCAGCCTCGGCCAACCTTGGCTGGGAGCAGCGGCCTCGGGTTAAAAGTCCCAGGCGGCTCCACGACTCAGAGTCTGGACAGAGGCTACATTGGCAGCAGCCACTCACCTTGGGCTCCGGTAGAGGGAAGGCAGACTGGACTGGAACTGTGTGGGGACACTCGGGATTTGGAGGGTGCTCAGAGCTTTTGCTGAGTGCAGCCAGCAGGACTGTGGTCATCTTACTCCTTCCCAGAGCCCTGGGGAGAGGCAGCGACCCCTCCCTCAGAGATTCAACCCCACCCAGTGGCCACTGAAATGCTAATTGAGGCCCATTACCAACCAGCATCTGCCCCACCCTCGGGAGATCCTCTTACACTGAGCACCTGAGGAAGTTTTTCAGGAAACTCAGAAACCAAGGTTCTTCAGGTGACCTCTACTAATAGCCTCCAGGCAAAAAAGAGTTAGAGGATAACTACCATTCCCTGGGCTAGCAACTCTAACCAGGAAAGTTAAGACTTAACAGTGGTGTGTAAGGTGGGTCCTCCCTGCCTCATCCAAACCCAGGAGGGGAGCCACAAACAACAGAACAGCAACACCCACAGGGAAAACTTGGCAGACTCCAAAGCCCACTGTGATAGCCAAAATGGTGAAAAACAGAGACAAAAGCCAAATGAAAGAACAAGAGACCTCTACTGAAGATGAAATATAGAAGGTGCAGTTAAGCAAGTTAACAGTACTAGAATTCAGAGCCATGATCTTGAGGAAGCTCAATGGCATGTGTAAGGACATAGAGATGCTGAAAATAAGCCAATTGGAAATTAAAAACCACCAAGAAGAGATTAAAAAACGACATATCAGAAATGAAAAACACATTGGAAGGTCTAAAAAGCAGAGTAGAGGAAGCTGAGAACCGGATCAGTGAATTAGAAGACAGAGTAGAAAAAATCAACCAATCAGAAAACCAAAAGGAAAAAACGATTAAAAAACAGAAAGACAGCTTAAGAGAACTGTGGGACAACGGGAAACATAATAATATTCGCATCATAGGAGTCCCCGAAGAAGAAGAAAATGAGCAAGGGTTAGAGACTATATTTGAAGAAATAGTGACAGAAAACTTCCCTAACCTGGTTAAGGAAGAAGGCATTCAAGTTCAAGAAGCTCAGAGAGCCCCAAGTAAGAAGAACCCAAACAGGCCCACACCAAACACATAGTAATCAAACTGCCAAAAATTAAAGGCAAAGAGAGAATCCTAAAAGCAGCAAGAGATAAGCAACAGATTACCTACAAAGGAAACCCCATAAGGCTCTCAGCTGACTTCTCACAAGAAACACTACAGGCTAGAAGGGAATGGCATGAAGTAATCAAGGTCATGAAAGACAAGGATCTGAATCCAAGACTACTCTACCCAGCAAGGCTATCATTCAAAATAGAAGGTCAAATAAAGAGCTTCCCAGACCAAAAAAAGGCTAAGGGAATACATTAGCACCAAATCAGCACTGCAAGAAATGTTAAAAGGACTGCTATAATTAGCAGAAGAAATGGGAAGAAAAATAGAACCACACTAAACAAAAATGGCAATAAGTAAGTACATATCAATAATCACCTTAAATGTAAATGGATTGAATGCTCCCATAAAAAGACACAGAGTAGCTAATTGGATAAGAAAGCATGACTCATCTATATGTTGTTTACAAGAGACCCACCTCACAACAAAAGACTCACATAGATTGAAAATGAAGGGATAGAAAAAAATCTCCCAAGCAAACGGAAAGGAAAAAAAGCTGGGGTAGCAATACTCATATCTGATAAAATAGACTACAAAATGAAGACCATAACTAGAGACAAAGACGGCCACTACATAATATTGAAAGGATCTATCCAACAGGAAGATATAACCTTGATAAACATATATGCACCCAATATAGGAGCACCAAAATATATTAAAAATCTGGAGGACTTCAAAGGAGAAATCGATAGCAATACAATCATAGCAGGGGACATCAACACCCCGCAGACATCACTGGATAGATCCTCTAGACAAAAAATTAGCAAGGAAACAGAGACTCTAAATGAAGCACTAGACCAAATGGATTTAATACATATCTACAGAGAATTACACCCCAAAACTACAGAATTCACATTCTTCTCAAGTGCATATGGGACATTCTCAAAGATAGACCACATGTTAGGGCACAAACTAAGTCTCTACCAGTTCAAGAAGACTGAAATCATATCAAGCATCTTCTCAGATCACAATGACATGAAACTAGAAATTAATTGCAACAAGAACATGCAAAGACATTTGAACACATAGAAGCTAAATAACATGTTATTAAACAATGAATGGGTTACCAAGGAGATTAAGGAAGAAATTAAAAACTTCTGGAGACCAATGAAAATGAAGACACACAACACAAAATCTATGGGATGCAGCGAAAGCAGTTCTGAGAGGGAAGTTCATAGCACTACAGGCCTACCTCAAAAGACAAGAAAAATCTCCAATAGGGTATCTAACCTCACAACTTAAAAAAGTAGAGAGCAAACAAAAAGAAAACCCCAGAGCAAGTAAAAGGAAGGAAATAGTAAAGATCAGAGCAGAAATAAATGACATAGAAACCAAAAAAAAAAAAAAAAATTCAAAGGATCAATGAAACAAAGAGCTGGTTTTTCGAAAAGATAAACAAGATTGATGGACCCTTAGCTAGACTCACCAAGAAACAAACAGAACCGAAATACACAAAATCAGAAATGAAAGAGAAGTAATAACTGACACCACAGAAATACAAAAGATCGTTAACAACTACTACGAACAATTATACGGCAACAAATTCGACAATCTAAGCGAAATGTACAAATTTCTAGAAACACACAGTCTCCCAAAACTGGACCAGGAAGAGATAGAAAACTTGAACAGACCAATAACAACAGAAGAAATTGAAGAGGTAATCAAGACTCTCCCAGCAAACAAAAGCCCAGGTCCGGATGGCTTCATGGGGGAGTTTTACCGAACATTCAAAGAAAAACTAATACCCGTTCTCCTCAAACTATTTCAAAAAATTCAAGAAGAACAAAGACTTCCAAACTTGTTTTATGAAGCCAGCATAATTCTAATTCCAAAACCAGAAAAAGATACTACAAAGAAAGAAAACTACAGGCCAATATCCCTGATGAACATAGATACCAAAATCCTGAACAAAATACTAGCAAATCGGATCCAGCAATACACCAAAAAAATTATCCACCATGACCAAGTGGGATTCATCCCAGGGATGCAAGGCTGTACAATATTTGCAAATCAATAAACGTTATACACCACATAAATAAAGAAGAATAAAAACCACATGATCATATCAATAGATGCCAAAAAGCCTTCAACAAAATCCAGCATCCATTTCTGATAAAAATGCTTAGCAATGTGGGAATAGGGGGATCATATCTAGACATAATAAAGTCCGTGTATGAAACACCTACGGCCAACATCATACTCAATGGGCAAAAACTAAAAGCATTTCCCTTAAGAACAGGAAGAAGGCAAGGATGCCCACTTTTGCCACTCTTATTTAACATAGTACTAGAAGTCTTAGCCACAGCAATCAGACAGGAAGAAAAAATAAAAGGGATCCAAACTGGAAAGGAGGAAGTGAATCTGTCGTTATTTGCATATGACATGATACTATACGTAGAAAACCCCAAAGACTCCATCAAAAATTTACTAGACTTAATAAATGAATTTGGAAAAGTAGCAGGATACAAAATAAACATCAAGAAATCGATGGCATTCTTATACACCAATGATGAACTCACAGAAAGAGAAACTAAGAAAACAATCCCATTTAACATTGCGGCAAAAAAATTAAGATACCTAGGAATAAACTTAACCAAAGAAATAAAGGACCTATTCGCAGAAAACTACAGGTCATTGAAAAAAGAAATAGAGGAAGATATAAAAAAGTGGAAGCACATACCCTGTTTATGGATTGGAAGAATTAACATCATTAAAATGTCCATATTACCCAAAGCAATCTATAGATTCAATGCAATCCCATCAAAATACCAACGGCATACTTCACAAAATTAGAACAAATATTTCAAAAGTTCATATGGAACCAAAAAAGACCTCGAATAGCCACAGCAATCTTGAAAAGGAAGAACAAAGTTGGAGGGATCACATTACCAGATTTCAGGTTATACTATAAAGCGACTGTAATCAAAACAGCCTGGTACTGGCACAAGAACAGGCATATAGACCAGTGGAACAGAACAGACAACCCAGAAATGGACCCAAGGCAATATGCTCAATTAATATTTGACAAAGGTGGCAAGAACATACAGTGGAGTAAGGACAGCTTCTTTAATAAATGGTGTTGGGAAAATTGGACAGCTACATGCAGAAAAATGGAACTAGACCATCAACTTACACCCTACAGAAGAATAAACTCAAAATGGATAAAAGACTTAAATGTGACTCATGAATCCATAAAAATCCTAGAAGGAACTGTAGGCAACAAAATTTCAGACATCATACGCAGCAGAATTTTCACTGATACATCAACTAAGACAACAGAAACAAAGGAGAAAATGAATACATGAGACTACATCAAACTCAAAAGCTTCTGCATGGCGAAAGATACAATCATCAAAACGGAAAGGCTAACCACTGTATGGGAGAGCATAATTGCCAATGATATATCAGATAAGGGGTCAATTTCCAATATATATATATAGAGTGCTCATACAACTCCACAAAAGGAAGACAAAGAACCCAATTGAAAAATGGGCAGAGGAAGTAAATAGACACCTCTCCAGACAGGACATACAAATGGCTAAGAGACATATGAAGAAATGCTCATCATCACTAATCATCAGAGAGATGCAAATTAAAACGACAATGAGGTATCACCTCACACCTGTCAGAATGGCCGCCATCAACAAATCATCAAACAACAAGTGTTGGCGAGGGTGTGGAGAAAAGGGGACTCTAGTACACTGCTGGTGGGAATGCAGAGTGGTGCAGCCACTATGGAAAACAATATGGTGTTACCTCAAAAAATTAAAAATTGAACTTCCATTTGACCCAGTGATCCCACTTCTAGGAATATACCTTAAGAAGCCTGAAACACCAATCAGGAAGAATATATGTACCCCCATGTTTGTAGCAGCACTATTTACCATAGCTAAGATCTGGAAATAGCCCAAATGTCCATGAATAAAAAAGCTGTGGGAAATATACACAATGGAGTACTAAGCAGCTGTAAGAAAGAAAGATCGCTTATCCTTTGAGACTACATGGAGGGACCTGGAAAGTATCATCCTAAGTGAAACAAGCCAAACAGAGAAAGACAAGTATCATATGACCTCACTTATTTGTGGAATATAATGAACATAACAGTCTGAGGAATGGGGTAGTCCCAGAGACGTGGAAGTGGGGTACAGACTGACAATCCCCAGAAGAGGGGGTGGTGGGGGAGAGATAAACCACAGAACTTATATGCATGTATGCATGAATAGTGGACATGGACAACAAACTGGGGACAGGGCAAGGAAGGAGGAGGAGGGGAGATCAGTGGGGGAAAAAAGGAGAAACATCTGTAACAAAAATTAATTAATAAAAAAATAAATTAATTGAAAATAAATAAATAAATAAAATAATCAATTAAAAAAAAAAGAAGAGAGTAATATGAACAGTCATCAGAGAAGTATTTAACTTTTCCTGTGGTAAGAGATGTGTTGGGGAATGGGTAGGGGTAGAGAATGAATTAGGTAATGGGTGTGTTAGTGTGCAGGCGGTGGCCCTGGGGAAAAGTTCTGAAGAGCTGTCGTTCAAACCAACTTTCAATGGATGACTATGATTAAATCTGGTGAAGAGGCAAGGAGGTATCTGCTGTGGATGGAGCTGTGAGTGCAAAACACAGAGGTAGAAGAAAAGAATAACTCAGTCCCTATGATTGATGTATAAATTAGTATTTCCCTAACTACTTAAATTTTTTTGTAAAATTCCTTTAATTTCACTGCCATCAAAAGGAACAGTTAAACTATATTAGAAAAATAACTATTCTTACCTTAATATTGATTATAATATCAGGTTTCAAACCTAAATTTTTAATTATGTCTATTTGCTGTGAAGTAGTCATAGTCTCCTGTGAAAGTGATGGTATTTCAGTGATAATATAACCTGTAGAGTAAAATATAATTTGTAATGTTTTATATTATCCATGTGAAAGCATGGATTTATTATTATTATTACTTTTTAAATATCATCTAGTTATGGATGAACACTAATACAAATCTTAAAATCATCTATCAAAAATTTTAAATCAATAGTAAAGGAAATATAAGTATGAATAATCTTTTTCTGATAATAAATAAAATCATTAGGCTAGGAGGAGACAAGCTGTCAGCACCGCGAGAAAGATCACAGCAGATTTTTGATGCTTTTGCTGGAAAACATAATGCTAAAAGAAGATTGGATCATATAAATGTAATTTGTTTTTTTTACAAAAGTAGAGTATGAAAAATAAAAAGTAAACAAGCACTATCTGAACTGCTCAACTGAATTCAGATTCTGGGACCTGTGCCAGGGCACAAGAAAGAGCACGTCCAGAAACTATCTGTGCCTCAGAAAAAGCACACGTTTTAAGGCTGCTCTGATAGACTCTGATGTAAAGAAAATAAACATACCAAAGTGAGAGACTTGTGGGGAGTTGAGCTTCTCCAACATTAGCTTTGTGACAAGTTCATCTGGAATGCTTTGACCACTGACCAGCATTGATTGAATCTAAGAAAAGCACAGATATTTTACGTTACTGTACAATACACTTGTGACACAGAGCTTTTAAAAAAATAATAGTAACTTTGAAATTTAGATTTGTTTACCATAACTCCTACTTCGGTTTCACTGGCAATCTGTTCTTCTAAAATTGTTAAAGCTGAAATATGAGTTCGAAGTATTAGCACAAACTGGTATTAGAATTGTCAAATTAAGAAACACATTCATGTGTTTTGTAACTGATAACAAAGGTTAACATATGTATATCACTTTAGAGTTTACAAGGCATATTTATGCACATTATATCATTTAAACCTAACCAAAGTGCTGAGGCAGCAGAATATATTCCATAGAGAATACGTCTCTGCCATCTTGGGGAAGCTAATTTACTAAACACCTCTGTGCCCTGCATACTTAATGCCCTGCATAATATGCAAGAGAATATGAGGATGAAATAAGGTTGTGTACATGACAATGACTTGGAAATTGTGAAGTACTGTAACCATACAGTTATGCCCAGAGCTCATTAATTTTGTACACTGGTTGTATAAAAGGAAAATGTGCATCAAGCAACGATGAAATAGATAAAAACTGATCAGAAAAAGGGCCCTAAAGCTGAAATATGAATAATGTGTTTCCTTTTTAAGAATAAATATTCCATCCCTTGATGGAAGACATCCTGGAATAGAAATGACCGGGCAGAACCCAGGAACTATATTATGTCCCTAGCTGCTAATAATCTATGGCACATTTGGTATTCTTTAAGATTTCCTACAAATGAATTTTTTGACCAAAGAAAGAGAAAAATTTAAAAGCTTTTTGTGTGTATGTGTTATTGAATTGTTTTTCCCCACACAGTGTATCCAATTGCAATTTCACTAATAGCCTGTGGAATGTTCATTTCATAACATTTTTGCAAATAATGACTGTGGAAAGTTAAAAAATTTACTGTCAACTTGATAGGCAAATATGGATCAGTGTTATTTTAATTAGCATGCCTTTGAATAACAATGAGGTTAAACTCTTTTTTTCTTATATTCGCCTATTTTTGTTTCTACTTTTGTGAATTGTTTTTCTATGAGGGCATAAGTAGTTGTATTGATCAACAGAATATTTATATATAAAGGTATCAATTCTTGTCTTCAATATTGCAAAGAATGCAAGTCAATTTATAAATAATAAAAAATAAAATTTTCACTGAAGATAATTAAGTCCTGGAATATATTCCCAAGAGCAACTGTAAGAGTTTCTTTTCTTTTCATTTTTCATAGGGGACACCCCAAACATGTGTATTCTCAACAGTTCTAAATGATGAAATCAGAGAACTGAAAGCAATAGAATGTAGTCAAAGACCCTTCATAAACCCTCCTAAATTCTATGAACAAAACTAGGACTAACCGAAGGGCAAAACATGTTTGATGCTATTATAAAGATAGTTCACTGGGTTGACAGTAATAAAGCAAATATAGCAAAATGTTAACCACAGACTATAGATGGTAAGTAGATGGGTTATATGAGTGTTCATTATACAAATCTTTACTTTTTATGCATATTTAAAATTTATTACACTAAAATACTGGGGGGAAAGATAAAATTTACCTTCTACAGAAATACATTTCCATTCTTGTGCTATGTGACGAGCTAACGTTGTCTTCCCAGTGCCCTTAAAAAGAAAGACATTATTTAAAACCCAATAAAATAGCTATTTGCCAGTGGAACAGATATTCTCACTTTAAAAGATTCTGTTGATGATTACTATATTATCAAGAAAATTATTTTGCAAAATAAACAAAGAATAACCCTAAAAACCAGGAAGCTGTACTAAAGTGGTATTCCAGGCAATACATACTTTTGAATGTCAAATTTTGTAATTTTCAATATAAATCATTGTGATTATATTAAGATTCATCATTTTATTTTTTTCTTAAAGTTTATAATCAAGAACGTTCTGAGACTTTTATTTAGTAAGTTCCAAGAGAAAAAAAGTCCTTCTTAATGGACATCTTTGAAAAGGATATTTTAAAGATAAAAGATCACTTTAATGAAGTTAACAGTTGCATTTCATTACTTTCACTGTAGACTTTTAAAACTCTATTATGTTTTTAGAAACACAATAAACTTATTGGAACTATTTCTTGGTATCTGTCACAGGGTCTATATAAAATTAGTCAAAAATAGGGTCCAGCCCTTGGTCTCCCCTGTTCTGGAGAGGCTTTTTTTCCCCCAAAGATGTTTTTATTAATTTTTTTAGAGAGAGACGAGGGGAGAGAGATATACTGATTGAATGCCTCCTGCACACCCCCCTGGGATCGAGCCCACAACTCAAGCACGTGCCCTGACAGGTAATCAAACCACGGCTTCTCAGTCCATGGGAGGACACTCAATCCACTGAGCCACATGGGCCAGGCTGGAAAGGCTCTTTAATTAACCAGCTTAGGCCCTCTAATGGTAACTACCAACTAGCTCCGTGGCTGAAAATAGGTTTTATCTAGAGGTCCTTACTGGAACTGCCTAGAAAGGCAACCTATCTTATGACAGTAATTTTTGGTTTCTTCCTGTTTTATGGAAAGACGATGTGTAGGTCCACTAACACACTGTGGACAAAGGTGAAACACCTTGCCTCTCAGTAGCTTCAGATGTTAATGGGAGAACTTCCCATTTGTCCTTATGTTGTCTCCTCTTCACATATCTAGAGAACTTCACTTTTCCACATAAAGCACATAAAGTTCTTTTTTTTATCCTCACCCGAGGACTTTTTTTTTTTTTTCATTTATCTTCAGATAGAGTGGGAGGGAGAGACGGAGGAAGAGAGAGAGAGAAACATCAATGTGAGAGAGACACATAGACTGGCTGCCACCCACACGACCCCAACCAGGGCCGGGGACAAACTACAACTGAGGTACGTGCCCTTAGTGGGAACCGAACCCAGGTCTCTCTGGACCACAGGCCGACGCTCTAACCGCTGAGCAAAACCGGCCAGGGCGGTTTTCATTCTTATATGGTAACATAAGATTAGGATTTTAAAAATAAAAAAATATATACTAAATAATTCCTTCTCAGCCATTAAAAAAAAAAAAAGGAAATCTTAGCTTTTGCGATAGCATGGATAGACTTGGAGAGTATTATGTTAAGTGAAGTAAGCCAGTCAGAGAAAGACAAATACCATATGATTTTATGTATATGTAAAATATAATGAATAAAATAAACTAACAAACAAAATAGGAACAGACTCATAGCTCTCAGAGGGGAGGGGGTAAGGAAGTTGGATGAAAAAGGTGAAGGGATTAAGCAAAAAAACCCCCAAAACAATACAACCTCATAGACAACAGTATGGTCTTTACCAGAGGGAAATGGGAATGGAGCAGGCAGAAGAAGGTAAAGGGGGGATAAATGGTGATAGAAAGAGACATGACATGGAGTGGTGAACACACAATACAATATACAAATGATGTATGACAGAATTGAACATCTTACACCTATATAATTTTATTAACCAATGTAACCCCAATAAATTCAATAAAAGAAAGAAATACAAATTGGTTGTTATAGAATAGTCATGGGGATGTAAAGTACAGCACAGGGAATACAATCAATAATATATAATAACTATATATGCTGTCAGATGGGTACTAGATTTATTGGGATGATCACTTAGTAAGTTATGTAATGTCTAATCACTGGGGTGTACACCTAAAACTAATATAATAATGTATGTCAACTGTAATTAAAAATAAAAATGATTTAAAAATGGAAAACAAAATAAAGAACAAAAATTGGCCAAATTAAGTTGTTAGATACCCTAGGGAGGTGTTTAGGACGAGAGTACAAGGGTCTGGGGTGCTGTCATGGTCAGTGTCTGCATCTGAGCATGTGCAAACCATGAATATCCACCCAGATGTATATCTGTGAGTCATTTTCTGTACGGTTATAAAATAAAATGTTTTAAAAAATTTAACTAAATAAGCTAGAAGAGATTACTTACTGGTTTCCCAAATACAACAAAGCAAACAGGTTTAGACAACATAAAGTGTTTTTCAGCTTCATCTTCATTAAATATATCCACAAAAGGATACTCTTCTATCTTCTCTTGAGAAGTCATAATACAAAATACTACAAGAAAGAGTAAGATTGTTAAGGTGCCTAATTTAGTTGGGACAAAAAAATTTAAAAGTATTTTTAAAAAATTAATAAAATAAAATACAAACATTATATAAAGAGGGTCAACAAAGCTAAATAGTGGTATTATGAAACAACTTATAAATAAAAAACTGTCAAAACTGATCAAGAAAGGAAGATAGAAGGTACAATTAAACAATATTAAACAGTTATTTTAGAAGTGTGTTTTCTTACATATCAAGACTAAGACTTTTCTATGTTTTGTTGTTTATTTCTAACTCATTATATCAGAGAATGTTCTACATTTTAGATTAATTCTTTGAAATTTGTGAGGCTTGCCTTGTGTTCTATCACAGGATAATTTCCAAAAGAACTGAATGGAAGTAGGTTGGACCTCCAGATAAAAATGCAGCTCAGCCAACCCAAATTGCAGTCTTGTGAGGCCCTGAGCAGAGGACCTTGCTTAGCTAGGTCTCCTGGACGTGGAAACTGTGAGATAATGTGTGTTGTTTTAAAATGCTAATTTTGTGGTAACATGTTGTGCCACATAGAAAACTAATATAAATGAACACAAAGTATGTGGAGCTTTGTATCTCACGAAGCATCCGTCTCAGAAGAGGAACTCACCAACCAGGTGGACAGAATGATTATCCAGTAAATGCCAACTGGTCTTTGTCCTTAGTCACCTCGGTGCTTGCCTAATAGGCTCAAAAATGGACTAAGCATGGTGGCAGGGATGGAGGCAATGCACGGGCTCAACAACAAGGCTCCCTCTCATTAGGCTGACCTAGTTACTACTTCTGTAGGATGTCTTACCTGTCTGTAGCAGAGAATGAGGCTGAGCCCTCAATGATACCTCCATTCAATGACAAATTGACTACACAGGACTCCTTTACCTTGACAGGGTAGCAGGTGACGTGTTGCTAATATGGGTTTGCCTTTCCTACCTGCAGTGCCTTAGCCAGCACCACTTTCTGACGATTGGAGTTGTTGCACTTATCACCATGGGATCCCATGTAATATTGCTTTGGATCAAAGGACCCCCTTTAGAGTAATGAAGATAAAATGAGGATCCATTGATCCTACCACATACCACCTCACCTAGAAGCTGCTGGTCTAACAGATTGTTAAAATGGCCTCTTAAAGGAACAGCTAAAGCCCAGTTTGGGATTGTGTGGGATTGAGACACTGTACTGTACTTTAGGATGAGGGATTTGCTTTGAACCAGTGGTTGGGTAAGAGTGGCTCCTCCCACTATCACTTCTGTGATTGACAGGAGGAATTTATATTAACCTCCCTCACAGCTTGAGGCTCTGCTGGACTTGGAAGTCCTGTTTTGATTGAAGAGAGAGATGCTTCTTTCAGGGGATCCACTTAGTTAAATTTCATTAAACCTAAAATTGCTGCTGGTCATATTTGGCTCCACATAGCTATTAAGGAGTTATTACACTGGTGGAGGTAGAGCTGCTGCTACATAATTAGGCAAGGAGATACATGTCTTGAATGCAGGGGATTCTCTGAGAGTCCTCTTAATGCTTTCATAACTAGTGAATGGATGACTGTAGCAACCACAACCTGATAAGGACATGATAACCAGGGGTTTACACCCTTCAGGAATGAAAACTGGTTACTCTACTGGTAAAACAATTCAGACCAGCAGCAATGCTGGCCAAGGGTAAGGGAAATTTAGAATGGGCAGTAGAATAGGGAAGTGATGAAGTATCAGTTACAGATTTAGGATTAATTTCAGTAGTGGATTCTGTAGCTTGTCCTGCTAATCACCTTTTTGTGAGTACATTTCTTTTAGAAATTGGGACCAGACACCACATTGAAGAACCAATCACAGATGGTGTGAATGTAATATGAGAGAGGAGTGGCTATGAGGTGGTGCCAAGGTTGGAACACAGATGTTATTAGGGACCTGCTCACATTTACTTGACATACACCTTTTCCATGCATGGCCAGTCCAACTTCCAACTGCTGGCTGGCATGTGTGACTCTGCCTAAGGGCTCTTTATGGCTGCCAAAACCTATTTTGCCTGAGCACAGCGCAGACTGGAAGTTCTAGAGGATTAACATTCAGCCAATAACTAACTGGTGGGGATTGATGAACAAATACCCCAGCTCCTTTGCCCCGTAAGAGTAAATAATTGAGACATACATACATCCAAGTGAATTCAGACTACAGAAAAATTTGCTTGATAATATTCCTTTTATTAGCTTCTTTCACTTCCCTGCTTTGGTTTTCAGGATTATTTCCCATATAAACTATTTGTACTCAAATTTTTGTCTGAGGATCTGTTTCGGGCTGTACCAAACTAAGACAAAGTTCAAATGGAAGTGCTTAATTATAATATAATATAATAATTGAAAACTAAATACTGGAAAGCCAGAACTCAATAGATATTTTAAGAGTTGTTATCCTAAATAAAAACATTGTGAAACTATTTAACTCATTTTCAGAAGAGTTGGTTTCCATTATAAATGGAACAGAACTAAATATTTTTCCCCAGTTAAAAGATCCAAGTCAATGCAAAATGCCAAAACTGACATGGTCACCTATCTAGTTCTTAATAAAAGGAGTTACCAAACTGTGAAAGAAAATTTAAAATGATTAAATATTTATTTTAAAAGTTTGGTAATTTCTCAATTTTGAATGTACAATATCATCCCAAATAATAGATTTTATTATATAATATAAACTCTAATATCACATTGTGTGTCTACACTATAATTTAATACAACTGTTAAGTTTCCTTACAATTTTAGCAGCTGAAAAACCCTCTAGCAGTGGGTCCTGAGGTTTGCAGGGGGCCCAACTCCGAATATCTAGCACTCTGCCTAGGCTAGGTTAGCTGGCACTCCAGTACATCTCATGTTCTCACAGTAGGTGCTCAGCAAATATCTGTGGAATGAAAACATTAGCCCTTAAAAGGGGAAGCGATTTTTCAAAGGAATTTATGGAGATTTCGAAGTTTAGTTTTGCAAGAAAAGAAACTGGTCTGGGGCGTCTCCGCAGGAGGTGGGATTCTATTCAATCTGTACCAAAATGATTTGGATCAATGGACTACCACCCTTACTTACCTGGGCGCAGTGGACCCCAGCGGACTTCACTGGTGGGCTACATCCGCCTCCGGGAACTCTGGGATCTGTTGATCAGTTGCCTAGGCAACCACTAGCTGTGCTGCGCGCTGGGACGCTTGTGGGTGGGTGGGGTCTAGGGGGCGGGGCATCGGGCGGTGGGACTGTAATTTATTTTTTATTTTAAATATTCACTGGTGTGATACACTGCTTTGCACCAATATGGAAGGCGATTCCATTAGGTCCGCACACACCAAGTGGAAGAAACCTTACGTGAACGCAGAGCTGCCTGACTCCAAAGCCAGTGCTACACTGCACTGCTCTACCTTCGACGGTCCATTTGTAGAATTTACAAATGGTTAGCCTCCGGCACAAATACGTGACAAAGTCCAAAATTTCCAATTTGGGTGATTAAAGAAAAACCTCCATGAACCAAAATAGACAAGAGAGAGACGTGAGTGGGGGTGGAAAACACTGATACTCAGTGAAACACCACCATAAAGCAGGTTTCTAGGAAAATAGAGGCACAAGTAGACGGAAAAAACAGACCAACTTGGGAATGAATCCACCTGTATCTCGGAGAAGCGCTTCAAAAGAAGCAATCCAGTCCCAAACCTTGCTTTTTTTCCAAAGAGAAGGACCAGATAAACGAGACTCAGCTACCTTGGTTACCTTCTCCGCCCACTTTGTCTCCTGCCCTCATCAAAAATGGCGCCCTTCGCTTCCTCTCTCGGCTGCACGCAGGTTCTGGGAGCCTCTCCACCCGACCTCTCTATGGTACACCCTCCAACCCGGCCCTCTAGTCCTGGGGCGGGGCTTGCCTGGAGGTGGAGTGTCAGGATCCGGAAGCACCTGAGCAGCAGCCAGTCATCTATGTATTTATCTTTATTTTGAGTGCCCAGGAGGTGTTTTTCCTGGCTGGACCTGGTGTTTAGGGACCGAGGTGTCTTTCTTCTGGGTCTCAGGGGGCGGTCCGGAGGCTGCCGCAACCTAGACTGCGGCCTGGTGCCTTGTCGTGGGGGTTCCCATTTGCTCCGACCATGCCTGTGGCCGCCGCCCCCATTATCAGCTCGGTCCAGAAGCTGGTTCTGTATGAGACTAGAGCTGTGAGTACCAGGCGCGGCGGGGCGCGGGCTGGAGGATGGCGGGCGAGTGGATGTGGGCCAGTGGGGCAGAGGCAGCATCCCCCCTACACCTCAGTTTCCCAGTCCCAGCCTTGGGGAATGTGCCTGAGGGGCTTTCCTCAGTGGTCCCAGGACACTGGTGCTTTTCCTTGTACGTATTTTCACTTAAATGCCATGGTTGGAACACTTTGGAAATAGGTGCTTGTAGTAGCTCAGAAACTGTTCATGAGGTTCTGTAGGAGTTACTGGATTCTTGTAAACTTTCAGAAAGTTTGTTCCAGTTCTGTGGTTCACTAGTTACAGTACAGGCATGGGTGTGAGAAAATATTTGACCTATGAATTGGTAACTTGTCTGTTTTCCTATTCCATGGCATACTGCCACTATGGTTGATGTTAATCACCAGAACTTTTATTGCTGAAACTTTAGGTTTTCCTTATTTGTAAGAAAAGGAAAACTATTTTGTTTGAAGACAGCTGATTTGTTTGGATAAAATTATTTTGCTTTTCACTTGATTTTTTTCCCCCCAATACATTTTTTTGTTTGTTTGTTTTATTACTTTAGATGGCCATGTTATTAGTTACTAGCCAGGTAAGCATGTCAGTTTTTTTATCCGCACCCAAGGACATTTTTCCATTTTTTGTTCAGATAGTGTGGGAGGGAGGGAGAGACACATCAACGTGAAAGGGACACATTGAGTGGCTGCCACCCCCACGACCCAACCAAGGCCAGGGACAAACTGCAACCGAGGTACGTGCCCTTAACGGGAACTGAACCCAG